GTCCTCGAAGCTGGTGCGCTTGATGTGGGCGTCGAGGAGGCGCATGTTGGTCTCCCAGGTCGAGGCGGCGAGGAGATAGAAAAAGGTGACGCAGTCGACGGTCAGTGCCCTGCTTCGGCTGCCGATTCGAAACAGGCCCGGGAAAATATAATCAAAATGCCAGGAGTGGGAGAGCACGCGGCTGAGGCAGTCGTGGAGCGAATGGTTCCGTTCGTCGGATGCCCGAGGGAGGACCAGACCGCCGCGGTTTTCGGACAAGGGGAGGCGAAGAATGAGATGGGATTTGGAATCCTGCTCGAAAGTGTAGGGAGCGTCGACGAGGACCAGACCTATAGTGTAGCATGATCACGCATCAGTCATCTGTCTCGAAAGACCGGGTCGCGTGTGAGGAGAGACTTACAAAGCCGTTTGTCTTCCCACTGTTCCGTCCAGTAGGATATACGGGTCGATCCGTTGAAACCGTACTTGTCATCCACGTTCCGCGGTCGTGGTAGGAAGTTCGATTGTCTTGGTGCAGAGACGGCCAAATGCTGATGCTCCATTCCCCAGATGCCATCGACGTACCAACACGACCATTTCGGCACCGATGGCACCCAGGGCGCGTATCCCCCTTCTCTCGCAGTCCACGCGCCTTCCTTCGTCTCGAACACCGACTGCCAAATCCGGGAAGCCTGCGGGTTAGATGCATGATCGACGAAGAATTGGACCGGGATATCCCAGATCGTGCCCAACCGGGCGATCCATGCGTAGTCAATGTTCTCCACGATCAGCACAACTTCACCCGTGGCGTCGGCGAGCGCAGTGAGCTGTTCGAGGGTCTTGATGGTCGTGCGACTGCGGTCCACGGAGGAGTGGAGCGTCGCCTGGACATTCCGCAGATGCGAATGTGTGTTTGCGCGATCTTGTAAAGAGGCGGCTTTCTCGGCCGGGAAACTTGCCCAGAAGGATTCGAGGTATGCGGTATCGTCGCCTTCGGGCGAGGCGTTCATTGTAACAGCGCTGTCGGCTCTCGTTCACGCTGCATGAAGGGTTTCGGCAGAGCAACTGACGCATGAGGTGCAAAGTCAAGTCGCGAAAGTAAGTGCGATCATGTAGGTCTCCCAAACAAAATGTTCATCTGTCCATTTTGTGAAGCCGTGCGGTGCGAATCGTGGACTACTGGGCGGCTTGACGAATCTGCCGTGCTGTACGTTGGCGGAATGCACAGCCTGATAAGCCACATGCATGCACCGGGCCTGGCCATTGTCCATCATCGGCGAGGACATCGCGTCGATGGCGCAGCCACTTCAGACAGAGCTGTAGCCAAGTCACTCATCCTTCCGACATGAAGCAGCATGACTGCTATTCCGGCTGTTGTCTTTCAGATATTTCTTTTCTCGTCGAATGTGCAATGGACAGAGGACAGTATTCCGGCAAGAAAAGAATGACGGGCCTCTGTATCGAGACCGGGTGCAGTTCCGAGCCGATGATTGGCCGGGATGGTTTGCCGCCCAAACGCGCGGCTGGCGGTGGCTTTTTGGTGTCTGCCCAGGTGATGAACCATTCGTCGAATCTACTGTTGTAACGACTATGTGCTCGGTACGTATGTACTCCTTTCCTTCAGGATAAGAACCCCTTTTCCTTCTACAATATCATCGTTCTGTAGGGCTCATTACAGTTCTAGCTGTCTTAATCGCGTGCTGTTTTGTTTGGTCGAGGACACGTGCTATGGTCCTCCGATTGGCTCCATGGTTCACCAGCTACTGTAGATCCTGTGGTTTGCGGTGCTTTGTCTCACAGGGGTAAAAACCATGTGTTTTATATATATATATATATATATATATTCTACGGCTACCAGTTCCTCCTCGACTGATCATGGTGATTACTTTGGAATGATGTCGGAATGAACCAAAACTTCAAGTACACCCGGGTATGTATGTATTCTGCGATATCCCACAGTACGAGACTTGTCAATATGCAAGAGAGAGACGACATAGCTCCGCGATTATTCCTGTGGGTTATCGTGGTTAGTTCTTCGCCGGACGGAAAGTCTCTCCCCACAAACGGTCGCCCGAATGGGGCAAAGTCAGGGCAGTTTGCAGCAGCGGGCGTGAGACAATCAATACATACCTACCCTGAATCTGATGAATCCCATTGTCAGTCATCATGGTATAATAAAAGACGATGGATGAAAGATGGCTTGAACAGGCATTGTGATGGCGTAGGAATATCTTCCGAGATGCTTCCATAATTTCTGATAACAAAGAATAAAATCGTGGATGTTTATTTTCTCCAATGACTGACTGACTCCTGAAAGAAGATTCCACCGTTGTTCTTCTCTCCACCTGCATCCACGCGATTCGGACCGCGCGCCAAGAACGTGTTCGTTCTGAGGAGGATCCATCAATCCCCTTGTCCTGTCGCCGTGGTCCCTGGGATCGTCATCCCCACTACGACCGAACGAACACGCACGACATCACCACTTCCACCACTACCGCCATCACCACCAGTATCCCCTTCCGATACACACTCATACACGCACCGTCACATCGTCACATCCACAAAGGAAGGTCCAGGCGTCTGTTCGACCGTCACATAGACTTACAATCACCGCGACGGTCAAGCGATCTCTCACCATCTCCGCGCTCAAATGCGTGAGGACTTGTCCATCCACCACCCACTCGAGTAATAACACCATCGCGACTCGCGCATTCACTACGACCGCGACGACCACCAATCTCACCGTACCTCCGTACACTTACTTTAATTTATACGTTATTAATCGCCAACCACCCAGCTCACTACTACTCGCCAAAGCTGTATCCGCGTCCAAGGACACCGGTTACATCTACAGTATCTCGTTCTGTCCTCGAGGAATTCATCGTCCGCTCTGAGCCCGCCAGCGCTGAAAGCGGCATACTCTCGCGCATGCGCATACTCTTCAACTGATCAGAGGGACCTGGCGTTGGTCGCCATCCGCCAACATGGCTCGACGCACGAATGAAAGCGACCTGAATAATGACTCGGGCAGCGACCCTTTTGAGCCCCCTCGTTTGAACTTCCGCGCCGGTATGCCGTCACCACGGACCGGGGACATCCCACCCATGCTCAGTCCGTTAGATGCTTTCGCTATGCATTCGCACATGCTCGCGCAGCGCATGGAAGAGGATCGGAAATCAGGTCGGCGCGTGAGTCGACTCCCGCACGACGTGGTCGCCAAAGAGATGTCAAATCGTCCGGGATACTTCCGAGCGTTCAGTAATAGCAGCGAGGATTATGATCAGCATCGTGTGCCAGATGTGCCCGAGGATGACGAAGGTTCGAGTCCGATTCTTTCAGGCATACAGACTCACGAACAGCCAAAGGAGGACAAGCGACCCAAAAGTCAATATCCTGTCTATGGTGTCACACGACCCGTCAGCGATTCATATCCTGAAATACCTGAAGGCCTGCCGGCATCATTGCCATTCTTTCCGCCAGACGCCCGAGCTCGCCCGTCAGAAGCACCACGTCCTGCAGAGCCGCATGACTATTTCGACCTGGGCACGACGCGGGCCACCTCGCCAGAGCAGGTGGAGAGCAAGTCCAATGCAAATGTCACCTCGTCCACAGCACCTAGCCTGGCTGGCAGCATTGACACGATCGCATCCTCATCGAAACCCCCTCGGACTTTGACCAATGATTCGGTAAATTCTCAACGGTCATTTCACACAGCAGAGCGAGGCCCAGGACTGGCACCACCGCACTCAAGTCAAACTCCATCCCCACGCTTTGGGCCTCCGCGATCAGCTCGTAGCTTTCAAAGCATTCGCTCCATTCCCGCAGATTCTGGAGACGAAGACGGCGGCGCAGGTCGAGGTCCACAATCCATCTCGAATAGCCCACAACCAGCGGTTGTCACAGAATCATCGGCATCATTACGGAAGTTCTCCAACAGCAGCAATATGTCCCGGCCTCAATCTCCACCTTTCTCTCCCTGGGTGCACGCGCCTCATCGCTCGCCATCCATGAATTCTGAGTATTCCATTGGCGGTTCTTCGGTACAGCTACCGCCACGATTTGCTGCCAACTTTTCTCGGCCCATGAGCAGTTCAGGTGGCCGAGGATCAATAGATCTCCGTCCCTCGATGGAAAGTCGGCCATCCGCAGAGAAGGTTCCATCAACAGATCTGCCCTTTCGGCAACTCAGCCGACTGACTGATACAACTTCCTTATATTCGGGTGACTCTCAGCTTGATTCTCCAGATATAGAAACACAATACGCATCAATGGATGGACCTACCCCTGGTCCTAATTTCAGCGTCGCTGCTGCCCAAGGAAATGCAACAGATCAAGAGAACTCACCGGCATTCGCTCCTCTGGGTGGCAGTCTGGGGGATCTCCCGGAGACTTCTGAACGACCCGCTACATATGTCTATGCCAAGTATAGCCTTCCTCGCGGGCGACCCATGGAACGGACGTCCGATGGAGGCATTCGCGCTTCGTGGATACAACGCCAGTTCGATTGGGATAAACCCGAGGCACCCACTTCCAACAAAGCCATGGAGAACAGCAAATCTCATGTAGAGCCACCTCGACCGGTTTTCGAACCTGTTCGTGCGCCATCGCCGATGCTTGACCAACGCGGGCGCTCTCAAAAAGACATGGGCGCAACCACCAGCGCGATACGCAGCCGCTCGGCAGGCCCTCGAACAATGAAAAACGCCGCTCCCGTCACACCTCATCCTTTTCCTCCTCCTCGAGACTTGGCTGGTCCATTGTCTCCAAACCGCCCTAAGACAGCAGCATCCTCATCACCTGCAAAGGATACTCCCATCACACAATTCTCCACACCAGCCAGTATCAACCAGCCGTACCTGCCATCACCGTCGATTGCAAATCGATCTGCGTCTCCTCAAACCCATCATCGGGCCACTTCCTCCTCTGCCACTGTCTCCACCACTAGCACCATCCGTGCTCCAGCTGGCGCTTCAAGCAACACTTTAGCAAACAAAGACGAAGCGCCTCGATCGTCCCTCTCTGGTATACCCTCCAAAGATCTCACTCCTGATCAGCATCTCGACATTGGTATTGCAGCTCACTCCGCCGGCGAGACCACCAAATCCACTTATCATCTCCGGCTCGCAGCGAATGCGGGCCTACCGACTGCAATGCTGCTGTACGCTTTGGCCTGTCGGCATGGCTGGGGCATGCGCGCCCAGCCGGAGGAAGGGGTACGATGGTTGCGAAAGGCCGTCGAGAAGACTACAGCTGGCTTGGAAACTGGTCTGATAGATTCGAGGATGAGCGCCCTTATGGACCCATCTGCCGCTGGTACTAGTGCCACGTCTGCTGCAGCCAAGTCGAAATCGGCTTCGAGCAAGACGGTTCAAGCGCAATATGCTCTTGCCATGTATGAACTCGGTGTTTCGTCCCTCCGAGGCTGGGGCTGTCCAAAGGATAAGAAACTTGCCTTGCGTTGTTTTGAAATTGCGGGATCATGGGGAGATGCCGACGCTCTGGCCGAAGCAGGGTACTGTTATGCGCAGGGTGTGGGTTGCAAGAAGGACTTGAAGAAGGCCGCTGGGTTTTACCGTCGCGCAGAGGCAAGGGGTCTGCCGGCGGTGGGTAATAGCTGGTGAGCCTCCTTGCACGGGTTCCAGACGTCTTCTCTTCGTACGAGGCCATCGTCTGGACCCTTGCTCTATCCACACCACGTTCTTCTAACTAACAAATCATCTCAGGATCTACAAACCCAAATACATGGACTCCACCGACAGTCCTTCTCCCTCATCAGGCTCCGCTGCAGGCGGCGGCGCCTCTAACAATAACACCAAATTCCGGCACAGCGAACAAATTATCCGCCCAACAACATCCACTTCCTCCCTCTCATCAGCCTCCCCGTACCCACCTCCCCCCGCCTTCCCCTTCGCCAATGGAACCTCCACACGTCCTACCTCATCTTCAACACTCAAACGACCCATCACTTCCCACGGTGGCAGCGGCGGCATCTTCGGCCATCAGACATCCCGGGACTCCGTCTCCACCACAACGACCGTTTTCCCTAGCGGGATCACCGCTTCATCCTCCGAGGAAGCTTCCCCTGCTGCGCCTACCACCAGCGGAAGCGGCCGCGCCCGCTCAAGGAGTATCTGGGGCCGACGCAAGGAGAAGAACGCGGCGATTGCAGCCGCCGCCGCGGCAGCTGGTGCTGCAGGTGGTGAACATGGCAAGGAGTTTACGCCCCAGCCTCCGCCACCGCTCCCGCTTTCGCCTTCGCCGTCGCATTCCATGCTGAGGAGCGCGACGCCGAATTCCTTCACTAATAGCGATTCACTTGGGGTGAATGCCGGGAAGATGAGGAGGAGCGGAGAGAGCGGTGATCGTTGAGGGCTGTGTGGGGAAACAACAGGCATCGTTGATCGAGGCTTGCTTTCTCATTGTGGTCTCGCCCGCCCTTCTTTCTGCAACTTTCTCCCACCTTGCATCTTGCAGCTACGATTTCCCCCCACAATGACCATGGGCCTTCCCATATCTCGAGAAAATTCCCCTGCTTTTTGTATAATGATAATGGGCTGGCGACAATTCGCGTGTACACACTTTTTCATAATCCGGTTGGTTTCAAATATATGACAAACCCAGTGTTTTGGCCATGCACGACTCGTGATAATTGCAATTCTGATGTAACACAGATCATCATGTCAATTTGCTTCAGGTGCCACCTTAATGCCTTGAGCGCGTCCTCGTCATATCCTCTTCGATGGAAAAGGGCCCTGTCAAGTGGGAAAGCTACGGCCGAATTCACAACAAGTGGGATCGTCAGGTTGGATTAGAGCATACGGCAGATCTCATGGCAGCATGTGACGACACCCACTCACACGAGGCCTCAACTTGCACGTCATATCTTGAGAACCAATACAAACCTTGTCGGGTTGTAGCTTGCCACATCCCCGAACCCACCGCATTTCGGCTGTAGATGATGTGGAATGAAGTCTGGAAATCTCTGATGTGCGATCGATTATGCGAAAGGCTGCAAGAAGATATCCAAGCTTCTCTGAACTACACGACGTACATCGAAGGCATGATGGCAAGCCGTCATAGTCTGCAGTGCGTACCCATGATCAGTCTGGGTACAGAAAAAACACAGACGACGATCTCGTCGCCACCGTTGGCGGCCCTTGCTGGCATTCACGGTGCGAAGGGTGAAGAGAACACTCGCGGCTGTGAGCAAACATGGAAGGAAAAGAGGGAGGGCGGTTCCTTGTGCGTGGGATCAACGGTCGTTGCGTGCCTTCAAGACATCTCTGTTGTCTTCCACTTCGTAACGATCGAAGAGGAGGTGAACACGGGCCTATGATCCCATCAAGCTCTGCTGGGCAAACCGCAGGGGATTCGTTAAACGCATTGACAGCTGGACAGCCTGGACAGCATGAACCCCCGGACCGTCGACAATGCGAAGAAAAGTGCGAACTTGCAACAACAACAACAACAACAAAAACGATGCCTTGATGGCTCTCCCATAGCGCCAGTCCACACGAAGACCTACAAGATGCACCATCGTCGGATCTTCTTGATGACAAGTCACTTCGAGGATGAGGCGAAGGACGATTGTGCAGCCTTCGAAGCAATTCAGGCTATACTCTAGGAAAGATTTCTGTCCACGGCAGGTGCTCCCCTCGTCGATCACTGATGCTATACATTCATTCTCTCGGAATTCATTTCTGGACAATCCTTCAACCTCCCCCCAAGCGGAAGCCGTCGTTTGATCGTTTGGAGCGACGCTTGACAAGGCAATTCAATTGGAATTTGTTGTGACGGGCATTTTGTGATGACAGATCGGAAAGACTGTGCATTTCGATCAAGTCATGACACAGTGGAGTGGTGAATTACGGTTTGAACGCCTGAGATGAGCTTACTAGGCATCGCACACCAGCACGCACCACCCTCAGTGCACCCACAAATCCTTCGAATCTCATGTCAAAAAGAGGGAAAGAAAGAAAAGGTACCTACCTAGGTGGGTAAGCAGAGGTATTCGAAATGCGATGGGTGGTGGGCAGTGGTGCAAAAAGGCAAAAGGACATGTCGCTTCTGTGGATCGAACACAGTACCTCCAGATACCGCACAGAATGCTGTTGGACCGAAGTTGAACTTCAGTCTGGCGCTCTCCCAAGTGAGCTAAAGCGACCAGTTTCGATGCTCGGCAGGAACCACGTTGCATCGCTGTGACGGATGTCGTACAAAAACAATATAGACCTAAAAAACAAAAGCCATCGTCTTTGTGAACGTTCGGCTTGTTGCTGAGAAGTCCTTCCAGGAAATGCAACCTTGGAAGGTGCGCGATGCTGACAACATCAAAACGTCATTTACAAATTGGCTCCAGCTTTCTGTTGCTCGATCGACTCCTCGAGTATATGCCTTCGGAGAAGTGGCCGCGTACATTCCGCAAGCATCGGCACCTCGCGAAATAGACCAAATTCGTGGGTGTGGAAGTGACAGACGACCTGCGAAGGGCCTCCATTCCACCCTGGTAACCCTACGATACACCATCACCCTGGGCACCACTCTAGCAGTGAGAACGCTTTCCACGTTTGCTTGGATTGTAAAATGCTATGTCTTTGAACATACATACCCAGTGTATGCTCCAGTCTCGAAAACCTGCATTGATGGAATTAACCCAAACCCTAATGACAGTGCCCCCGGAGGCGGAAGGTCAGTCACAACTTATCCGCTCACGTCCATTCTGCGCGCAACGATACCTCTAGTGAGGCGCGCATTGCAACAGTCATTGCTACCGGCAGTGCGATCAATGCTCGAACGCATTCATGTACCTTGGAGGGGAATCTTCGGCCCCACTGTGAGCCTTGATGCAAGGATGCGCTTGACTTTCAAGCACTTCTTGGCCGGAGTCTTTGTCGCTTGGACCTTCACACAAGTGCGTGTCTGAACGTCACGGCAACTATCTTGTAGGCCATGACTACAAAGAAAACGAAAGCACCCAACAAAGGCGCGAGAAGATCAGCGAGCCATGTTTGGTATCAGTCAAAGCGCTGGAGGCCGGAAGTGAAAGCTCCATTCAAAAGATTATCCATAAGACTCTTGAGTCCCATTTTTGGTGATTCCTCAAACAACCGGGGTAAGACCCCTTCTCGCAACGCAAATGAGAAAGCTCACAAAGACAAGGCGTATTCACGATTGGAAGCGCAAATCACCGACTTCACGAAGGCGCCGAGTGAATTTCTCCACGCGGCGCGCGTGGAAGTGGGATTTGCGACACTCGTACCGCGTCCTGGACCGTAAACCCTCCTCTTGATGATAAGCAAACGCAAAAGCAAAACCTGTACGCTTCTTATTCCATTTAAAGCGCAACGGCAACCGCGCCGAGGCCCAACAGAGCGCTGCCCATCCAGAAGGACGCACCCTTCACGGCAGCGCCAGTAGCAGCAAGAGGACTCCTAGTGCCCGAGGCAGCGGCGGTGGTTCGAGTGACAGCAGAGGTCTTGGCCAAAGTAGTTCCAGTGACGGCGATGGCTCCGTGACTGGTGGTGACGGCACCGCCAGCCTTGGTTGGGCTGGCAGTGGAGAGAGCTGGGCCGTTGCTGGTCACAGTGGAGGCGGCAGAGGCGACCTGCGCGCCGTCGGTGGGAGCCGGAGCAGAGTCGGTGGTGGCCTGGTCGGCGGCGGTGGAGGGAGCGGCGGCTTGCTGAACGGGAGCATCGGTGGAGGGAGCGGCGGTGGTCTGAGGAGCGGCGGTGGTCTGAGGAGCGGCGACAACGGCGGCAGCGGCGGTGGAGGTCGGGGTGGACGCGGCGGCGGTAGTCTTGGGGACAAAGCCGGCGAGGTACTGAGGAGAGTAAGTCGCGGTGCCGGAGTAGAGTGGGCAGCCCGGGACGTCGGTCTTGGGCGGGGCGCGGCCGCCACCGCAGTTGAGGAACTCGCAGAGTTCACCGGTGTCGGGGACGTAGTAGATGGCCATTTGACCTTGGATAGTGGTGGTGCAGCCGGAAATGTCGGTGCGGGCAAGGGCCAGAGAGGCCAAGAGGGCCGGAATCAGGACGAGGGTTGATTGCAACATTTTGGCGGTACCTTTTTCGCGATTGTAATGAATGTGGTTGTAAGTCGGAAATGCTTTATTGCTGGAATTGAATGAATGAATGAAGGAATGAATGAACGAGTGAGTGAACGAATGAATGAATACTGGCTGACGAAGAGCTTGAGAGAGAAGAGAGAAGATTGAGGTTGATCTACAAATGCGCGTCGGAGTGAATGATGAAGGGGAGATTCGTGAATGCAGCCCTAGTGCGGAATAGGCAAGGGAAGACGTTGTGTGATGGGGAAAAAGGATGATTGGCGACGGGTGAAATTTGCTAGCGACAAGGACAGACGCCCGCAGGTCACAGTAAAACACACTATTGCTCGAGGGCGGGAGATTAGGATAGACGATCGCCCAGCAAACGTGTGCAGGCCAGCTGACCTCCGATCACATCCTCATTGCGGAACGGCCTGCGCAAGTCCAGGACTCGTGATCTTCATCAAGGAGTAGGCCGTTGTTACAGGAATTCTCGTCGTCGGGATCTTCTGTGGTCAGTTTGTACCAACCAGCGCAACAAGTTTCGTCTCATCATCAGACACTGTACATCGAACCAGCGACCTGACTCCGCGGCTTTCTTCCCCGCTGCATCATGAACCGCCCGTTTGTCCGTCCACCAAGAACTCACGTTATTTTTATTTTTATGTGTTATGTTCATCCTACAGTACGGTAGTCGGAGTGCAGCCCTGGATCATCTCTGGAGACTCAGGATGTCTTGGACCGGTATCCTGCGGCTCAAGCGCAGTGAGAGCTTTCATCTTCCCACCAAACAAACGCCCGTGCTGCCGCAGATTTTGCTAATTCCTCGGGCGCAAATTCCCCCTTCACATTTCCGTCTGTCTCGTCTCCGCTGCTGGAACCACGTTTTGGCCACGTGCGATCTTAGATTTCATGCTCATTTTATGCAAACCTCCCGACCTCGACGAAAGCCATGGGCGCAAATTGTCTTCTTCGCAGACATTGCCACGCACATCATTTCTCATGGTCGCTTGATGCAGTCACTGGTTTCTCTCTCAAGTGGCCTCGGATGCATTGCATTGTTCTTCCCAGCTGCTCGACACGATTGCCCTCCCTCACTCGATGCTGGAGATTTTCTCCCAGCGCGGAGGCGCGACCCTGATGCGGTTAAAGGCGTTGTGAAAGAAGTGCAGCTCGTCTCGGATGTAATGACCTCATCCGGTACCCTGAGCGGCATAAATCCCGTGGCATTACCACAGGAGCGTGTAATAATACACACACTGTTGGTCGGATCAAATAGCCTATACATGCTCGGATGGACGGCCTTAGAATTGGCCAGAGGACGCCTTTCTGCATTTCGAAAGAATTGCGACGAGACGACGAGAGCCACTCAGACAGGCGCGCTGTATTTGCGGCCAGATCGTGTCTTTCAATGTCGACATGTCGAGTAACACCCTGGAAATTGTCCAAGAGACTCCGACAGACTGTCATGCGATGTCGTCTTCGGCAATGTTCCTTCGTAGTCGTGCATTCCTCGTTGTGATGGATATCTATCGATGGATTCTTATCTAGGATCTTCCGAAACGTCCGCTGCCCATCCCCGACAGTAGCAGACGCTTCCCAATGCTCTGCCGTCCGTGAGAGATCCCGCGCCTGCGCCACTTGACATCTCCATCGTCCCGTCCCCACACCTCGAACACCATTACACAATCCTTTCATCATGCTCGCATGCTTCTCTGAATTGTCGCTGTTCTTCAAAACGTCCTTACACCTGATCCTCCTCTATTGTTAATATCTTGCGTATGTCGCATTCACCCGTCGAGAGGATCGCAGACCACGCTCCAGCTTGCGTTTCGGCCCCCAGGCCCACGCGAACGATCCTCTACATCTTTACCCTGCTTTCTCCGTCGAGCGCCATCTTGCAGCCAATGCGCAATCATTCGATTCTCAACGCGCCCTACCCACGGCAATCACCTTGACCGGCGTTGTAATACACTCCGGGCACGCATTTCCGACTCACTCTCGATCCTTCCCAAACGGACAGAAGCCGGCTGCGAAACATTCAAGCGATCATCTTCACGTACTCTCGCGCATGAAAGAGTCTGGCGACATACCTTGAGCCGGGGCGCTTGCGCCAGAGATAGAGGCTGCAGTCAGGCGCTATGTCATTCTTTTCCAAATTTAAGAGTGGTTCGGTATGTCTCGGCTACACATTCGCCAACATGATTGCAGATGCTAGGAGGCTTGGACGCCATGTGGATGACAGAGGATCGCTGACATACCTGATCATAGGCCGCGGCCGGGCAGTCTGCTACCTCCACTGGCAAGAAAGATGCTGTCGTGGTGCCGCAAACGCCTTTAGAGAAGCTCATCGCTGGAGATACTGGACCGCTGCGAGTAGATGGGAGTGATAAATATTTTGGGTTCGAAAATGTTTGTTGAAACATCACTTGCGGTTTTGAGACACTTTGAATACTAACACTCTCTCCATAGTACGGTTCCACATGGTATGCGATCGCGTGCGACATGAACCAGGCCTCGTGCTAACCCATGATCCTTGTTCAGCTATTGTAATTCTATAATACAGTGCCTATACTACTCGGCGCCATTCCGAGAACATGTTGTCAACTTCCCGACCAAAGCCATTGTTATTGAAAGCACAAAACCTACGAAACGCACCTCGTTCTCACCACAAGCGACATCTACTACGCCATATCCAAATGTCTCGTCTCCTGCGCGAAAGGTCATTGCGCCGACCTCGCCATCACCGGGGGGTGTCAAAGCGGAGGAAAGTAAAGAGTCGGCAGAATACAAGAAGCGCATGGCATTACAGGCAGGTCCGGTGCTTAGCATGACGCATGATCGCTCAGGTCGCTATGGAATGGAGGAATCGCTTTTCACTTCACTGCGGGACATCTTCGAATCGATCATTGACAGTCAATCACGGATCGGAGTGGTCAGTCCACACAGGTTCTTGGAGATCCTCCGTCGAGATAATGAAATGTTTCGATCGGCTATGCATCAAGATGCGCATGAGTTCCTGAACTACGTGCTCAACCAGGTGGTGGACGAGGTGGATCTATTTGTTAAGAAGAACCCGGAACTGGTCAAGCAATTTGCAATTGAGAAGAGCAGGAAGAACACAAATGGTATGGTGGGAGGCTCAGTAACAGACGATTTAGATGCGCCTGTGAAGTCAACTATTCGCCCTATAGATCAGAAATGGGTGCACGACATCTTCGAGGGCCGACTGACATCCGAAACGCGCTGTTTGACGTGCGAGACGACATCTCAGCGGGACGAGCCATTCCTCGACCTGTCGGTCGACCTCAGCCCGCATACCTCGGTGACGGCTTGCTTGCGAAAGTTTTCAGAGGAAGAGATGTTGTGCGAACGTAACAAATTTCACTGCGACACGTGTGGAGGTCTACAGGAAGCAGAAAAGCGAATGAAGATCAAGCGCCTGCCGCGAGTGTTGGCTCTGCATCTCAAGAGATTTAAGTACACGGAAGCGGTCGCTACCAATGGTATCATTGGCGGATTGACCGATGGCTTCTATGCCGCACAACGACTCCACAAGCTCTTCCATCGGGTAGTCTATCCCTTCCACCTCCGGCTCTTCGACACAACAGATGATGCTGTGGACCCAGACCGGCTGTACGAACTGTACGCCGTCGTCGTTCACATTGGCGGTGGTCCTTATCATGGCCACTACGTCAGCATTGTCAAAACCCATGACCGTGGCTGGCTTTTGTTCGATGACGAATTAGTCGAACCTGTCGATGAGAGTTATGTGCTCAGCTTCTTTGGTGGCGAACCTGTACCAGGTGTCAATGATCCGCGTCAATTAGCTTGCGCGTATGTGCTCTTTTACCAAGAGACCACACTTGAAGCTGTGATAAAAGAGCAGGAGATGCGTGCGCAGTCACCCTCAACTAGTGCTGCGTCCGCTGCAGCAGCCGATGAGATACGTAAGTCTGCAGAAGCCGAGGCTGCTACTATGCTCAAGCAACCCAATGGCTTTCACCGAAGCAATACGAATGATTCCCACACGGTCAATGAGACGTTCAATCCGGCCTCAGGAGAACAGCCAGTCGCAGTGCACAAAACACGAAAAGAGACTCGCCAAGAGACCAACATTCGCCGCATCGATGCTCTTAAACGGGCAGAGAGTAATTTAAAAGTGAACGGACGTCCTGGTTCAGCAACGTCTACACCAAACGAGCATGCCAAGAATGATGGTGAAGGTGTTGAAAGCAACAACAGACCTTCCATCAGCGACAACAGCAAGAATAAAGACAAGGAGGGTGGTCTCTCGAGATTTCGACATGGGAACATGAGTCTCAGAGGCACGACAAGGCTGTTCAGCAGCGGGAGCATGAAAATTAAGGCAAACAAGGGAGATGAAAAGTTGAAGGAGAAAGGATCATCAAGCCAGCTCCAAGTATCGGTCAACTCTGACGTCGTGCCTTTAGCGCCACATGAGACTGAAACAACGACTGAGGGCGATTCTACTTCCACTCTTTACAAGGATGAGAACAGCACTCGTGCTACGTCAACTAAGACTGACGCGACATCTCTGCCATCCGCACTATCATCTCCACCATTGCCTGCAGCGGATCCACTATACGCAGTCTCAAACGCCTCCTCATCAACACCACCTCCATCCTCTCATGGCGCCACCAGCGACTCAGCACATCATATTCCTCGCAAACCCGTCAGGAGAACACCTTTCGCCCCGTTCGGCCATTTCGGCCGCAGCGACAAAGCAAAAGAAAAGGACAAACACTCCCTCGCATCATCGCTGTCTAAGAGCGAGCACAGCCAGCCTCATCACTTAAGCACCATACCGACCACCATCAACGGCGGTCCCGCTTCAACTGCAAGCACAACAAGTGTCTCGACAAACGCCAACGAGCCCATAGCCCCCGCCTCGCAACATCCACCTCCATCCTCATCCTCGACCTCGTCCTCCCTGCCAGCCAGCGCACTCCCATCCGCCGTTCAGAATAACCATACTGCTCTCCCTCCACAGCAACCCTCGGGACAGACTCTGTATCCGCCTACAAAGGAGAGCGCACCCACCGCCCTTCCGACTTTCAATATCTCCTCACCCACGAGCGCGCCTCCTCCAGCCGGATCCGTGGAGAACCCGCCCCTCGCTACACGGGAGGGCAAACCGATTAAGAAGCATCGCTTCAGTCTCGGCGGGAAGAAGAAAAGTAGTGCCATGGCATGACTTAATTTGTGGGACGAACGCTAAGCCTTCGTCACCTTCTCTGAAAGGTTTTCCTGCGGACTCCGGGATTGTACATATGCAAAGATCCACGGAAAAGCTGGATACGAGTCGTCGGAAAAGTTATAGAGAGATCGTGCAGGTATTGGCAAGTATAATGACAACAGGCGTGAAAAAGGATCACCGCCCTCTTTTCGCTTTGGATACAGTCAAGGGGCGAGCTGGATAGGTGTATGTTGTATGGAAATCCTCAATTCCCACGTCTGGATGATGCCCATGTCTTTCATATGCATCGCAATCTACATTAGCCGTCAATGCGATGTTGCCATGGGAATTCACACACGTATCTCTGTCTTCCGGAGCTCGGTGCAGAAACCTTAATGAGACGAGGTGTTTTCGCGCTGATAGTTGTCCCGGGAAAATGGGACAGAGAGTACGGAGGCACAATACATTGCGAGATATTTTGTATTCACAAGGAAGAGAACGACCAACAGAAGAGCAAAATGCATAATTCATTCACTGCCACCATGCATTGGTGATGTTCTTCGCATGCTCGTGTTGAGTCCAGAGCCGACATTCGCTGTCCGTGGTCCTCTGTACTATTTGCATCGGTGATTGATTCTCTCATGCAAGCAGGAAGCGTAGCCGTGAAGCATTCGATACCGGTTCTTGACGTCTCCTTTCACCACAACATCATCATCTCTAAAAATTTCCTCTTCTTTCCTCATCTTCACTGCTTCCATCTCTTTGTGCGCAAAGCATGCGCCTTTCCATGCAAATGGCTATGCAACGCAAGCGAGCTCGATCAAAGCGGATAGCGCACATAGCGATCTCACTGGATTGCGGGATGTCGTGGTCGTCGTGAAGGTCATTAGATTCTGTCTGTGACACGCACATCTCCGAGCGGCGGAATTCGAGAACTCATCTTGCAGCCAGAACAGAGGGCGGCGTGCGGGACTGGTGTCGACGGCGAACATCTCAACCGAATGCGATGGACCAGATGATGATGAGAATGTTCAGGAAAATTAAAGGTACTGTCAAAGAGGCATATATGTCAGCACTGTCGCTCGTGACGCAGATATGTGCGTTTGTGTGTGTGGAGAGGAGTCTGGACCCCAGAGTTGGAGGCAGGATATTGATCCGAGCGGACGTGGATAGCTGGCACAAAACGTACTTCTCATAAGTGTCCGTACAGAATTGATCAGGTTGATCATCTTCGCCTTGACGCTAGCATTGTCCTGGCCTCCACCGCCGAAGGATGGCTCGGCCTGCTGTTGTGAGGAGCCCCATCCGACTGTGACATTGGTCAGATCAGATTTTTGTTGCTTGTGTCAGCACACATGTGCGACTTTCATGTTCACGTACTCCGCGCAAGGAAGCGATCTTCTGACAAGACGGCGATGGCGTTGACGAGCAGGACGGAAACTGTAATTCGTTGTCAGCTGCCATGTTTGCGCTTGTGATCGTTGGGGAACGTCGCCTTACCTTGGAATAAACCTCCGAAGCTGAAAAATAGCGTCGCCATGATGACCAGATTTCCCTCGACCTCTGTCGAAACCGATCACTCAGTAAGTGGGAGATGCAGTCGAGAGATGCAATGTCGGAAAGTTTGTCGCATTTGGTGGGCTGCAAGAGATTCAGGGCTCCAACGGCGACGTCTCCGCCTCGTACAATTCTGTCAGGGTAACATATGTAACCTCAGGCTAGCCGTGACCGTCCCAATGCCATCGACTTTCACGATCGCCAAAATCATATCATGTCATTCTTCAATAATGATTACTTCTGGCGGGCTGTAGAACGACGCGCTGGTATCGCACAGAATTCAAGAGAAGACCAGAGGGAGAGTTGGTCGAAGATGTTTGGTGAGCAAGATATCTTCCGGACTTATGCTAGAACAATCGCCAATTAATGGTTCATTAGTCGATTCTGCTCTTGGGTTGCTGCTGCCGACCATCATCCTGCTTCACTGCATATGTGCGCCTTACACTAAGGTCGAAGAGTCATTCAATATTCAAGCAGTCCATGATATCGTCACTTATGGAATCCCTCATGGCAACGTTTCCAAAGTTCTCGCGACATCCTACGATCATGTCTCCTTTCCTGGTTCAGTGCCGAGGACATTCGTCGGTGCATTGGTCCTAGCTGGCATTGTCCGGCCCTTTTCTACCTTTGTCTCGTCCCCAGAGCAGATACAGACACTCGCTCGCGCTGCGCTCGGATTGATCAATGCTGCCGCGTTGCTCTCTTTGCGAGCTGCAGTAGAGACCGCCTATGGCAAAGTCGCAGGCCGATGGTTCGTGCTCCTCCAGGCCGGTCAATTCCATGTCATTTATTACGCATCACGAACATTACCGAACATGTTTGCCTATGCACTGACGACCATTGCGTTGCGAAACCTCATCCTGGTCAAGTCCGTGTCATGGAAGTCACGTCGCAGCTCCCGCAGGAGAGTTATGGCGATGATCCTCCTTACCATCGCGGGCATCATATTCCGTTGTGAAATTGCAATTCTCCTCGCAGTGGAGACCCTATACCAGCTCGCACAGCGGCGCATACTCATCATCAAGGAGATCATTCCAGCCGGCATCATTGGTGTGGCGATTGGGTTAGCTACCACCGTTGCCGTGGACAGCTTTTTTTGGCGCCAGTTTCCTCTCTGGCCAGAATGGGTCGGATTCTATTTCAACACTGTCCTCGGAAGATCCTCCGAGTGGGGAACTAGTCCGTTCTATTTCTACTTCATTGACGCCCTACCACGTCTCCTATTGAATCCTGCGATATACTTCTGCATACTAATCGGCACCAATCTTGCACCCAGCTCCGATATTCTCAGACCACAGCTTATTTTCATTGCGATTTATAGCTTGTTGCCTCACAAAGAATGGCGGTTCATCATCTATTCAGTCCCGGCCTTTACAGCTGTGGCCGCAGCAGGTGCGGGCTGGATTTGGATCCGACGTAACAAAGCCTGGATCTGGAAACTCCTCAGTATTGCCCTTGTGGTGTTAACTGCGGCATCATACGTAGCAAGTCTTGGCTTTCTGTATATCTCGAGCCTCAACTACCCTGGCGGTGAAGCGTTGGCGCTGCTGCACCAAGTGGTGCCCTTATCCGACAACAGCCATGTTCGCATTCATTTGGACAACTTAGCATGTCAAACAGGTATCACGAGATTCCAACAACTTCATTTAAATTGGACATACGACAAAACGGAGGATGAGTCTCGGCTGCTTGATCCTCTCTTTTGGTTGGACTTTGATTATGCGATCGCTGAACAACCCGAGAGGGTGATTGGAAAATGGGCTCCAATCGGCGTGGCAAATGGTTACTCTGGAATCACATTGAGACCCACAAATGATGAGGACGATATCTTACCCTTGCCATCAGTTTTCCAAAACCGAGTTGGGCGAATACTTCACCGACGCTATCACGACATTGCTTTATTTTCTCGGAACAAGATCACACGAGGCCTCTGGCCCGCAGTCAAATTCGAGCCACGTCTTTACATCCTCAAACGCCAAGTTTCGCCTGCGAAGAGCTCTACTGCTATGATCTAAAGCTCAGACATAATTTGACAATCTGGAAAATGTTCGAATTAGAAGAGGACAGAGACTGGACTCGAGGATTGACTCGAGTTCCGAGTTGAAGAGTAATTTTCAAACTCACTCGATGAGATTGCCGTCTGGGTCGCGACAGTATACGCTCCGGAGTTTGCCGACCGCGCCGGTCCGATCGACAATCGATCCGCCTTCAAGAATCTGCCATCCGCCAATATGATTCAGCATCGATCGCTTAGTGTAAACACAAGGCGCTCAGACCCGCCGAATGGTCACGCGAGAGGCGCAGTCACATCATAGTTGATATGTATGGAAGGTGGCACAGGAGACGAAATTGGCGACCTATTCAACCCACCTTAATTCCAGCTTCCTCCCAGCTCGTTTTCACCTCCTCAATCGGACATTCCGTAATGAAACACAAATCCTCACTGCCGGGCTGAACGTTTTGCGCATGGGGGATAAATTCGTGTCCTGCACGATGAAGATTGATCTTCTGCCGACCGAAGGACAACGCATGCCGTTCATCGCCTTTCGACGAGAACTTCTCATGGTGCATACCAAGATGGGTGGTATAGAAGGCGATAGTAGTAGAGATGTCTTTGACTGTGAGCACGACATGATCGATGGACTTGACCGTGATCGGAGGTCTCGAAGACGTAGCCATCACGGCACACTCTGCAATATTCCTTGCCAAAAGTTTGTCTCGATGTGGAGCGTAGGCACAAGTGGGCAAGGTCGTCGCAGCTGCGACCGCACACGTTCCCAAGGACAATGTCTTTCACGGAGCTGAGTTGCCTATTTTGTCAAAATGTGACGCTTGACTCGTGGTAACCGTTGAGCGACAAATTATCCAGCACGGTCTGACTTTTTTACCAGGGTAGGATTCAGAGAGCTATTGGTACAACAAAAGTTGACATTGTCTGGTCGTCGTAGGGGCCGCCGAAGTTTAATATAATATGAGGACTTCCGGATGGTCGGCACGCAGGAGCTTGTGAGCAGGTCGTCTGCGTCATCATCAAATTCCGTCGGATGCCGGCTTCACGCACTCTATGGTATCGTTCTTCATTTTGGCAAACAGGGGCTTTGGATATAAGTACGTGTTCCATGTTTTCTGAGATCTGCACGAATGTAAACCCGGAAGCGTGCACATCACATCGGTTGAATTGACGCCAAGTGGGGCTCGGAAAGCTTCAGGTGACGTTCAGCCGTCAACTACCTGCGCCCGAGCGCGCACAAAAACAGCCACATTGCGCCACGGATCTAACAATTCAGGATCGAATCTACACTCTTCGTCAAAATGTACCGTAGCCGATCAAAGAGTAAGCACTAATGTTGCTGATCCCACATCGGAATGCCTTGCAATCCCGAACTTGTGCATGATCCTCCAGACTCTGAGTGAGGAAGCAGTGTGGCAGCGTACCTCGGCGTTGGCATGAATATTTTCAATTCTTGGCGCAGGTTCAGATGAGAGTGCTTCGTCGACGACTGTACTTGGCCCGTTGATTCATGTAGCGAGAATAGCGCGATGTATCAATGCATCATGTTCCACCGCGAACTCACTGTTTCCACTCGAGTACCATGTCGATCCATCCACCACCTCCATGCTGTGCTTGGCTCGGACCCTGACTGACAAAACCGAATGTTTCGTACCACGGCACTAGGTGCTCATGTGCAATCAGCGCTGCACGATCTGCGAGATCCTGTGAGGCCATACGCTTGAGATATGTCTCAAAAAGCATTGTCGCGAGCCCAAGACGTTGATAAGCTGGAAGAACGGCGAGGCTGTGGATGCAGAGGGTCCGGCCGTGGGGCTCATGGCCTGATGGTGGTGTGACTCCACTCGGCGTCGGCACCGAGGAGCCCTGGCTTGAGGATATTACGGCCGAAGACGGGCGCGGCATTGACATGGCTTGATCAAGGACCACGGAAGCTGTGGAAAGAGTGGATATGACATGCCCAATCAGCTTGGGGTTCTGCGACGTTGCCAAAGATCCGTCCAATGTATCGGTGTCAGATGCTCCGAGGCTGCGTTCCAGGTCTGGCTCAATCTGCGAGGTGTAGAGACCTAGACCGAGCTCGTTGCAGTGGGAGAGGCGGTATTGAATCTGTCCAAGAGGCGAGAGACATGATCAGCAGAGTCCATTAGAAAGTCATAAATCTGAAATCAATGTGATGATGACACAATGCAATATACAGTACACCCTTTTGTAGACAGGCAAGCCACAATGCAGGCGGACATCTTTCTGTTTTCCCGCAATGTCTTTGCAGTTTCGGGCATTTCGTATCACCACGGCAAAACAGAACGAGTATCAATAGGGCAGGATCTCGAAGATCGACGTGGGCGATGGCGTTAGTTCGCGTTGCTACTTCCCATATCATGGAAGAAGTGTCGGAGCTGAAGGGGCGACGTGGGCCCGTGACACCGCTTGACTCAAACCGTCACTCCAACTCACAATTTCCTGCGACGCTTGCTCTGCTGGTGGAAAGGCAGCATGCTCAAGCATAGTACAGCTCTCCACATCTGCTACCGTCAAAGTCTGTATGAAGGGACGCAATGAGTATGTCCGGCTCTGGCGAGAAGCAGCATTGTCACCCTGTAGGGTGTGAGTTGGGTCGGTTTCGGAGGATACTGTGCTCAGAGTCATTATGACGTGTGATCTTTCTCCAGCGGCTTATTCTTTTTCTTCTTCGATCTGACAGGCGCTGGAGCGTCAATCGGTGCCTTGACGTTGTAACCTTGAGATATTCAATTCGACTATGGACCCAATCGCTGTCGGTCTACCCTCAGAGGTTGCTATGCCGAGGTTTTCGCTCCGAGGAACTTTGAGGTACTGTCGTAGGTTGATCCAGACCTGGCTAGAATAGTGGACTGTCACGAGCACGGGCAAGCGTATGTCCGGCAGTCAGGGCAATGTATCTTGCAGGAAATACCTCGAGCTGCATAACAGCTGACATCGATTGCACTTCGAATCTTCAATGGGCTAGATGATTTACTAGGTGGAGTGACCAAGCCTCCAGTGGACGTGGCTGCTGATACAGTTGAACGCCGTTCGCTTAACGTCATCACCTTACCTTGGTTGTTGCGCGAGTCATGTCGTTGGATTCGTTGACCGTCCTCGGCAGGGACAAGTGCAGGCTAGTTATGATTTGCTTTAGACAGTGCACAAACGACGAGCGTCCCGACACGTCACATCCTGCCCAAAGTAGAATGAGAAATGGAATTAATGCAGGTCACGAGCCATGTCATGTTGGATGGCCAGGCGAGCAGACCCGTCAGAGCGGTATGCTGTCCTCACATGGCGGATAGGCACACATTTCCGGAATTTCGGCGCCCTTTCCGCCTCAATCAACTGATAACTACTAGGTAACCTTGGAAGTCGCTCCACATGTCGGCCGCGTGGTTAATGTCCCGGGGCGTGGATTTTCTTCCCTGGGCGGGGTTTGCGCACATCGCACCGACATGACAGTAACGCGACCATGTGGGCAACCCAAGTTGTGAACAATCCTGAGAGTGCGCCGGTAATTCGTAGGCTTGAATACATATGTATCGATCATGAAGATGGCGACTTCCGCATGCGAGGCGTTGAAGAGCGCTTTGTCAAGCTTCCTATTGATGCGAACTTCTAACCAACTTTTCAAGCTGCCGGACGCTCCCTCACTTTCTATCGGAATGCCTCGTGGACACCGTCCACTTCAGCTGTATTCTCTGATTTCTGGCCAAGGTCCACTCTGAGTCGATAGGCCGTCATTTGCGATGATCATTAGCGGTTCGACAGCTGCGAACTGGGTAGGAGTGGACGTTGTGCAAAGCACTTACGCACATATCGAAGCACGGTCCAGTACAGCAAGTGATGGGTCCGTGGCTTTCTGATCATCGCCCACAGTGCCCTGCACTTGTGCTTGTTCATGAACGATGGCAGGTTGTGCCGAGTTCGAAATCAAAATCGTTTCTTCGTCGCTAGGCGGGTGCGAGGTGCCCGAGACAGTGGAGTTGGTTGAGGTCCGCGCACGCATAGCGCAAACTTGAAATGTATGGCAAGGAGAGAAGCTAGTACACATCAAGGCACTGACATGGGTCAGTGGTGGAGCGTTCCGTTGGGCTCGACACTGTTGTGACGTGAGTCACCTCGGCCATGTTCCCTTAAGTGCGGCGACGGAATAGGGATGACGCACATTGGTCGATGTGTCTCACACAGAGATCTTTGTCCCATAGACGATACCTCACAGGCACCAGGCGCTTCGCCGAGTTTTGAAGGAAGTCATCTTGCATGACTCGAAATGTGATTTCTCGATGAAAGCATGGTTATATAGGTAAGACAATACATATACCGTCTCTGGGCATACCGTCTCTCCCTCGCCGGCTTTGAGCGTGTGCACAGAGTTCAGGACAGATTCATTGCCGCAGAGCACGTGTCACGATTCCATCATCCCAAGGTTACCATCGACACCGATGCATAAACGTGCATGGCCTAATCGAAGTCGTCGTGCGAGGAGAAGCGTCCAACCGGAATGTTGTTTCCGATGCGCATCGTTACTGGGCATGGACGGCCGCACGGCCTCCGAAGCTGATCAGGATTGTACTCCCGGCGGCTTGCGACGTTACAATGCCGGATGCTTGATCCTGATTTCGGCGGCCTGTCAATGTGGAAGCGTGAAAATACGGTATTGACCGCTGGCCGCCGGCCATCGAGTCCATGCGAAATACATGCAGTCGCGAGATTACTGGTTCCGTTCATGACCGCACGAGCGCGGATGTCAGCATGGTCAATGCAGCAACAACAGGGACAATAGCTTGACTTACGGTCACCGCCACACTTCGTCCGCTGTACGTGTGATCATTCCGTTGTCCTCCCAGAAGGAGAAGTAGCACGATTCTGTGTTAGCCTAAGATGTGACGATCCAAAAACGTGCAGGTGCTGCCCTGCTGCGACGACTAAAAGCTGCCCGTGTCCCCGCTACGCCGTCTCGTCCTTAGCCGCATGAATAGCCCGAATTCAGCACACGGCTGCTCCCGAATGACGAGCTCAAAGTTGAAAGCTGGAGGTGTCCTTGTTTGTCCTCTACAGCAATGCTTTTCCGATATTGAATGACATTCAAAAGAGACAGCATTGCGAAGAGCCAGTTGTTCCCCATTCGAGCAGAAATCTGCCCAGCTCTTGATGGTTGGACAATGTTTACAGCTTCTGCAAACAAAGAGAAGAATCCTGTTTCCTGGTGAGGAAGGAGGTTCGCGCTACTACTACATTTTGGGGGAGTTGCTAGGCGCCAAATAACTTTTCTGCTGTCAAGCCTCATCAGGAACAAATTTCGATATCGGCAGCTGCTTAGGTTCGATGCTGCATGCGCCTCATGTATCCAATGCACGACCGCAGAAAGCGGAAATGCCTAAGTCATGGATGCATTGGCTTCGGATAATTCTTCATCTTCCAAGGTTCACGTTATACCTTTCCAATGCGTGGCGTGTCGATGGTCGAGACAAGTCGACTTAGCTCAATGCTGGGTCTCATCACTTCGCATCTCGGCGGTGTGAGCAGCATCTTCTAGCGTGCGCGAAGTGCTTCCATTGACCATCTCCCTCGAAATGTATGCTCATGCACTTCTCTTTAGACTTCATACCTACCTAGGTAGTGCAGACCTCATATTGCAGCCCAGTACCCAACCCGGCGTTGGCTCCGGCCTATGACAAATGTCACAGCCTGTCGAGCCACAGGCCCGCCAGAAGCGAAGTATGTTAGCGATATACGAAGTTAAAGAGTGATGGTGACGCTTACCCCCACGATGTGCATGTACTTTGGGGCCAAGTCTGAGACGTCAAGCCCATTTTGACGGGCGATATGCATGCATGCTGAGAAATCTGCAGGTGCCGCCCCGGGTTGTGACTTTTGCACAGTACAGTACGCCGATGGGGGACGGGAAATCTAAGGCCGACTGCCATGCGGCGCGATAATGTCCTCAAGTGGTACGAGGCAGCATACGGCACAGTACATTAGGATCTCCCTCCTAGATCCCTCTTCGCCGGCCATTTTTCTTGCCCTTCCTTAGAATCGATATTCCCTCATGCTAGCTCCCATCAACTTTGCCTCCCTGACACACAGAGCGAAAATCATACTGTGGTAGGTGGAGCAAGTCTTTCGTCGGCATTGTGCATGACGATGACGGATATACAAGGGGTATGATGAATGGGCAGGGTCAGACGAGACGGGAACTACCTAGAATTTAACTGCTGTGCTGTAGTGAATGATAATCCGGGGTCAGACAAGGCCCAAAATTGGGTTTGGATGGCGGCCACGATGCTCTAGCGCGTGCCGGCGGCGTCGTGTGTCCAAGTGCAAATCGATGACTTCGACAGCGCTGGGCAATGTGCCCGTTGGACGACATTCTCGACGTGCCCAAATGGTTGGCGATGAATCACATCGCTATAACCGACATCGACTATGGAGCATACCTACCTGTGCTATACCGGGGTCAACTTCTGCGGCAGGCAGCTATCGGCATTTGCAATGGAGCATCTTCGGCGGGCGCATGTCACCGTCCCATCCATCACGAGCTGTACATGTTGGCAGCAATGCAGATGTTGTGGTGGCCGACCAAATTTCCCCATTCATCTAGCTACAGCAACGCCCTCGTTCGTGACGATCCATGATGATGATGATGATCGATGATGATGACTACCCACGCTCTTTGCATCCTTCTCCAGAATGATGCTCGCCGCCGGCATACAGTAGCGCGTACATCAGCCCCAAGCCGACCTACCTGGGCATGTAGTGCATGCGCATGCGGGCAAAGATTCCATTCTCCCATTTCGAGACCCACCACCCATAAGTCAGACCCGCCGTATATCGAACAAAACGTGGCAGGTGTCGTTTATGTACCACACCGACTGCTGGAAACCCGCCTGCATCCTCCCATTGATGCCAATTTCACCTCCTTCTCTTCCACTACCACTAACATCACAGGGCGAGCGCAGGGACAACAACAACCACGACCAGATCCATCCATACATATCCATCTCTAAATTTGCGAGTGACCTCAACGAGTTGGTTGTTTTTGAACGCGACATCTGCATTAGTTGACCCGCCTCTATGCAGGCTGATGGTCATCATTGCTTGTTGTTGCTATCACTTGAAGATTTCGAATCACCCGTCACGGCCACGCTACATTAACCACGTAACCTGTGAACTTCCAACGATTTTCATCCACGTGCTGACGATAGCACGATTCCTTCGGCAGAATCGCCCATCCATTGTCATATCTCCCTTCCTCTCTCATACATACACACACACGCGGGCGCGGGCGCACACGCACACACAAGAGCATCCACCCGTTTCGAAGCAGCATTATATGCGCCCACGCACATGTCACGCGCTACCACGCTCCCTCCGAAACTTATTCCAGGATACACCATCTTCTTTAGTCTCTCCACTATTTACTCGCCGCGTCGGTCTCACCCGAGCTCTGTGGAACTATAAACGCTGCTTGAGCGCTCTCTTGCGGAAGGCACTGAAGTCGTCCTCGGCCGGAGTCTTACACAGACACAAATCCGCATCGGCTACTGCTATCCTGATTGTTCACACTCCTTCCCGGCGGCGCGATTTCACTTGCCAACACCGATCCTCCAGACATTCCTGCCACCTCCAGAGCATTTGAACTTCATGTCTTGCTGAGCCGGAGCCTTTGCCCATAACCGTTCAAAAGCGTTCCGGAAGAAAGAAATAGGCAGACACTATTCACTCTACATGCAGGAAATTTCACGACGGTGCTGAATCCGTCATCCCAAGTACCCCCAACACACCCACACCAACGATACATTCACAAACATGTAAGCAGTATTAGAATCGGCATTTCTCAACCATATCTGCTCCCATGATGAGCCACTGCGGGCGTGAGAGAATTGTGTCACAAGTTTTGTCTGACATGATATATTATTCACAGGCCTCGTGTAACTATATCGACGATCGCTGGAACGCAAGCAAGGAACGATGGCGAAATACTCAACTTTGACCTTCCATCGGGTATGACGGTGGGAGCTCTCAAAGAGATGATTCAGTCCGAGACTGGAGTCCAGGCCGCTGCCCAACATCTTTACTTCAACAATCGGCCAATGCGGGACAACAATCAAACTCTCGAATCAAATGGCATCAAGGACGGCGACATGATCGCAATGGTTCTGCGGAACAATCAAACTCAAGCGCAACAAAGCAGTCAAGGGTTCATGGATCGTCGTGCACCTTCTGCAGAAGCTCAGCATATAGAATCGACTCGACAACGCTTGATCAACAATCCACAGGCGATGGCGCAGCTTCAGGAACAACAGCCAGCGCTATCCAGCGTCATACATGATCCTGAACGCTTTCAAGCCATTTGGCAGGAGATGGTCAACCATGACAGACAGCGAGAAGGCGAGCGACTAGACGAGATTGACCTCCTCAACGAGGATTTCATGAACGTTGACAATCAGAGAAAAATCGAAGAAATGATCCGGCAGCAACAAGTGATGGAAAATTTGCAGTTTGCCTATACGCATAGTCCGGAGGGTGAGTGATGCTGTTTCGCTGATGAAATCAACGCTGCTGACGAGAATCCAGTCTTTGCTCGGGTCACTATGTTGTACATTCCTGTCACTGTCAATAACTACCCAGTGAAGGCCTTTGTCGATTCCGGTGCACAGACGACTATCATGTCACCATCATGTGCGGAAACATGTGGCATCATGCGGCTCATCGACCGACGTTACTCTGGCATCGCCAAGGGAGTCGGTACAGCTCAAATACTTGGAAGAGTTCACGCCGCCGACATTACCATAGGCACATCGTCCATGTCCTGCTCATTTACCGTCATGGAAGGCAAGGACGTCGACCTGCTTTTAGGCCTGGATATGCTCAAGCGATTTCAAGCTCTTATCGACCTGCGGCGCAACGTACTCGTCTTTGGCGACAATAACGAAGTCAGCTTTCTTCCAGAGTCGGAGATTCCACGACGGTTTGAAGACGCCGAGCCCACTGTGGCGGGACCCGGCGGAACGGAGATTGGTGCAACCACTGGCACTGTCAAACCAGCGGGCTCATCACAAGCAGCAGCAGCAGCATCAGCTGCCGCAGCGAGTACGCAGAACCACAGCGGACCAAGCACTGGCAAGACGAGCTCTGGTCTATCACCAGCATCGATAACAACATCGCGGCCATCGAACCCTGCCACTGCTCCACCCGTCCCTGAGCTGTCATCTGCAGCATCACAAAACTCTTCCAAATATCCCAGCGAGGCCATAGCTCAGCTTACCGCATTGGGCTTCACCGAGGCACAAGCGATACAGGCGCTTGACGCGTGTGATGGAAATGTCGAGTATGCGGCCGGGCTTTTGTTTGGAAGCTGATAGCTGGAGCTTCTTGTCTCAACACAAGGAGCTACGCGGTAGAAATAATTGAAACCGTGGAACGGGCAACCCCACCTGTTCAACGAACGTCACGGCTCTTAAATTGCGTCTTCAGTCGCGATTGCATTTTATCAAGCGAGCGGATCGGAGGCGCAAGAGTGGCACTTTGTTATTCATTGTGATACCTTTACTGTTTCAGCAAGCAGATTCCGAACCAAGTGGAATCTTTTCTTTTTTGAGAATCTGCCAACGGTGGAGAATGTCACATCCGTTTTCATTTCTCGTAGGTGGAGTTTCGGACACAGAGGCTATCTGCAACGCTTTTACTTGTGTTTTGAAGTGTCACTTCCAGCTTATGCTGACATGATTATCTCGTCACTGTAATAAACTCGGTGTCGTTCAAAAATTGCTTCTGACGAGCGCCCGTTTCACGTGCCTGCACTTCAACACTAACAACTTTTTATGCATCTGACTTTCACATGCTGATTTACACGGCGGAACATGATCTCTCTACCTACAAAACTCCCCTAATAAGGACTTCAGGGCTGTCTTCCTCGGTGAGACTGGACTCCATAATCCAGTCCCTTGTGATCGTACTTTTAATTCCTTTCCTCAAATGTAATCTTCTGCGATGAGTTATTGACAATCCTGTTCTAATGTTTCTACTCCTCGCAAGCGCAAATTGCTTCGAATTTGAGAATCTCTTGCTCATGAAGCTATGTGGACGGATGTGTCTTGTCACATGGAAAACTATTGAGGATCAGCGAGCAACCTTTACTGGCTGGCTTCCGGAATAGATCGGTCGAGGCAAAGGGATGTGCCCTTTCAATGATGTTTTTGTCAGCAGAGTCAGGTGGAACGTCGCGGCCCATCTGTTACCGATACCCTCTTGAACCAGCTGCTGCACTGGTTTGTCGAAAATTGCGCCACGAAGTGCTGCCGATCTTCTACCATCGAAACTGCTTCAGTTTTCGTGCAATCATCACCTCGCACAGCCCTACGGTCGACCATCGTCACATTGAGCAATGGTTGTCGACAGTAATCGTGGCAGCCAACATCAACGCCGTCGAAATTGTTTACGAGCTACATTGTTCTCGAGAAGTTATATGTTTCAAATCTTGGTCACGCCGTGGGAACCACGGCGTGACCACAGGAAACTTCCAATGCTTGTCGGATATCAAAAAGCTCGAGAAGCACCCCAGATGTCGGAAAATAGAGCGTGTAGTGCAACGCAGTCTCGACGTGATCACATCACGGCCTGAAGCAAGCTTTGTTTCTGCCTTGAAAGCATTGGAAAGCGATCCCAGTAGAAGCCGCCGAGGGGAAGTCTAATGCACGCATTGCATCCCCTTGTCGAATGGGAGCTGAACAGTGGGAAGAGCGACAACGCCACTTAGGTTGATCGCAGGGGAGCACGCAAGTTATCAACATTCATAGCAGCATCTGTATACTAGCAAAGAGACATAATCTACTCGGATGTGCAGAAGAAGACCTTTCATCAGGAACGCCCGGTGCTATCCGTATGTCGGTGTCTTGCTATATTGCAAAGAGTGAATGAAGTAATGTGCTGCTGTTGCTGTGGGAGCCTGAGTGGGAGAATATTAGGGTTGTCAAGTCCCAGGAGAAGGCGTCGCCGCTTGCAACCTAGGAAGGCAACTGCCACAAGCAAGATCCCAAATCATCACTTGCATCCATACCTAGGTATATATCTACCTTGGTATTTATCTAGCAGATAGCTGCTGTACATTACGGACTGAGCTATGCGCTGTGCAGCTTTGATGCATGACCACGTGGTTCGGAACGATAAGAACACAAGTCCATTTGGCCGGCACCGGCCTGCCTGACCGGTTACGTGCAAGCCGCGCACAACAAGCTGTGAACGGATCGAAGCAAAGGCTTCGCATGTTCCCTTCGAAACCATATGGCGAAAAGCCTTCTTGCACTGAAAAATCTCCCGAAACGCAATGGACTCCACGCCAGTCCCTCGTGCTGGCCGCTTGTGGACCAGCAAGGCAGATTTCTTTCGACCCTTTCGAACTGCCGCAACACTCGTTCAGAGCGAGAGAAACACTGCCAATGAGGATGAAAATGCAAATTCAATATATTTCGATCCGACGCACCGTTCGACTGAGATGATTCAACAGGAACGTGAGCCTGACCTGCGCGATCTCAATGCGGCTCTTGCTGCGCTCATCGATGTCTTTCCAGCGATCCAACCGGATGTATTTCGTGAGATGTTGACTAACGTGAGCGCAGAGAGTCGCCTGGAGGTAGTCACTGAACATCTGCTGCAACGAGAGGCAAAGTGGGTTCGAGGACGGTTCCGTACGCCTAGCCTCGGGGCTATCTCACGGAGCAGTGACCGTTCGAGCAAGGGGAACACTGCAAGTACCACTGAACCGAACTCAGTAGTTGAGAAAATGCTTAGCAGCGACGATCATTTTCGGAGCGAGGCTTATCGTAAAGCTGTCAAACAAGTCTTCTACCAGGAATTCCGTTCCCTGAGTCATTCTACAATCAAAGGCGTTCTTGCCGAGCAGAATTTCTCGTACAAACTGGCACGACCGATTCTTCATCAATTAGCGACACGAGGATGGCGGTTCTCGATCCCGTATTTCTGGTCTCGCCCTGCGACTGCGCCTACCCCGACACTCGGTCAGCCTCCTTGCGTGGTCTGGCTGGAAGATACAAGAGTCGAGGGCAAACAGATTCCTCATCTCAAGCGAACAGGGAGCGTCGAATTAGATCTGGAATTGTACGAAATGTTTGTCGCCGCCCCGATTGCCAAATACCGGCAAGAAGTTATTGCCGCCAACTTTATGGCGGCTAGTCAAATTAACGAGGCAGAAGCAACCGAGGTAGGAGCACTGTTTGATTGCGAATGTTGTTATGGCTCGTATGCTTTCGAGGAAATTGCATCATGTACCGAGGAAAGCCACCTGCTTTGTCACGAATGTGTTCGTCGCACTGTCAACGAGGCACTGTATGGCCAAGGCTGGTCACGCACAGCCGATCTTCACCGTGCGACTGTTCGGTGCTTCGCTTCCACATCACAAGACTGCGGCGGATACCTTAGTCCAGATGCCGTACGTAGGGCGCTCAACGATGATGGCAGCGGAACCCATGAGCAGGATGAGTTGTGGACGATATTTCAGAACAGACTTTACGCCGATGTGCTGGTGCGGAGCCACCTCACACTCCAGCGCTGCCCGTGCTGCGATTATGCGGAAGTCGACGAGACACCGGTATTCAAGCTTCGGCATCCTCTAGAAATCTGGCACTACATCGGCACAAGAACCACTACTGCCTTCCAGCTCACCTTTCTCTGCGGCCTTGTTGCCACTTCCGTGTTTGCAAACGTACTCTTCGGTTTGCTCGCCGGCATCTATCTACTCTTCTCTCTTTTGCCTGGATCGAGCCGTGTGCTACACGGTGTCTTAACACGAATCTATAGGCGTCGGCGCAGCAATCGTTTCAGATGCAAGAACCCGACCTGCCTCAAGATAACCTGCATGCGCTGCAACGCCATTTTTCGCGACCCTCACACCTGTTTCGAGTCCGAGAAAACATCTCTACGCACAGCAATCGAGACCTCTGCCACCGCTGCCATCAAACGCACCTGTCCTCGATGCCTACTCAGCTTTATCAAAGAAAGCGGTTGCAATAAATTGGTCTGCAATTGTGGCTACACAATGTGCTACATCTGTCGACAGGAGATTACAGCGCAAGAGGGCTACGGGCACTTTTGCCAGCATTTTCGCCCTGCAGGTGGACGCTGCACCGAGTGTTTCCGATGCGATTTGTATGGCGATGAGGATGAGGAGAAGAGTATCCGTGCAGCGGTCGAGGAGGCGGAGAAGGCCTGGCGAGCAAAGGATAGCGGTGGTATTGAGAGGAACTCCCCGACCTCTGCTCCTACTGCTGACGAGGAGGCCACAAGGCGGATGTTGGAGGACGTCGCTGGTGGAAAGAAGAGCGTGAAATGGTTGGTGGAGCAATGGATAGATGCCCTCGTCGAGGCCTGTTTCACTTGGGACATCACCCCTGCCGCCTCTTCTGACAGTGTAGAGTGATCGACTCGTGTGCTCGACTCGCTGAATACTTTCATGAAGCATCGAAGAGGTGCACATTAGGCAACGTTAATCAAAGGCTAGAATCCTTCGCCCGTGCCAGGCATGCATAACTCGTACCTGTGGCGTTATCGAGCTGTGGAGCTTCGAAATGATTTCTGTCGAGTCAGAATGCCATAGACGATAGTTTATTCTGCTCATGCTGCCGATGACGAGCTTTTTTTGAGCTATTCAGCTGGAGCTGATTCCGTCGCAGGCTGATTACCAAGTATCACCACATCAGCCATAACGGCAACCTCATCGTCCGCTTCTGCCCACCCATATTCGTCGATCTCATCATCATCCGAATCAGCGACTTCATCGTAAGGGCGCTTCAGACCATTCTTGACTGGGCTTGACGAAGAAGGGGCAGTCGGCTTATTGGAGTGGACATCGTTCGTTCCCTGTTCGTCACCCAATGGATGACGAAGCTGCCCACCATCAAGGACTTCGAATCGAGTGACAATCCCTGTATGACCAACCGGATCCATCGGCTGGAGATTCTTGCCTTGCAACTTCTGCACTCCGATAAATCGACCTGCAAAATCGCGGAACAACACAACGCGATTCCACACTCCAGTCTCCCACTCGGCACCTCCGATACCGGGCGCAATCGCGGCTCCTTTGCCACTGTCAGTCCTGCTGCGCGGACTACAACCAGTTGTCACGATGACGGCCATGCCATGGAGGGCGGCGAGTTTTGTGAGGCCTGAGATCAAAGAACCAAGGACCGCATAACGTCGACTGGCCTTCCATTTCTGCGATTCAGTTCGCGTGCTCGAGAGGTATGGTAGACGTGGGTAGTCTTGGTCAACAATAAGATTCAGGCTGTCGATGACCAGCAGCTTTGTCTTGGCCGGTGGAAATGACGGAGGTGGATGAAGCACAAGCGTCACCAGATGTGAGAGTGTATGTAGGATTACTCTTTGTAGTGAGTTTTTCGACGAGGATGCTGACGATTCGCCATCACGGTGACTCGATCCAGCAGTGACTTCTCGCGCAAGTGCGTCAACATTCGGCGAAGTAAAGGGTTTTGAGGCATCTGTAGACTGGCTTAGCAGTAATTCACAAACTCCAATGAACGGGAAATCTCAAGAGGTCAGGCATGAATGAAAGGACATAATTACCCAACCATACGACATTGCCTGCACTTTTCAAAGTCTCCCGAGCTACCTGCAGTCTATATACCACCAGAGATCAACAACGCGGCCCTCGAGAGAACGCTTGTTCTGTGAGGGAGAGAGACTCACGCCAGGAGAGTTTTTCCCGTGCCACTCGGGCCCCATATCTCAGTGACCTTCCCACGATCGATTCCTACCGACGAGGAACTGTCGTATCCTGCGAAAATCCGATCGAGACGGGCAAGGCCAGTACGAATTACGATTCGGTCGTCTTTTTGCAAGTCTAGAAGTGCTTCTGACGCGCTTTGTGTTGGCAGGCGATCTAAGCCAGCAAATCAGAATTCACTGTATCGGTTACAATGTTTGACGATATCGACGACCTACGAGACGATGATGGCACCGCAGCATTGGTCATGATGTTTTCAAGTATGTACAAGGCGCTGTTCGAGCCTCCATTTCATGCGATTTCAACTTGCTTAGCAGGTCTTCATGATGCATTGGGGCTTGGTGCGAAACATGTAAATGGTGGCTTCTTGTTGTGGAATCTCGATGTGGGACAACTTTTATTTATTGCTGCAAGGGCCTGTTGCTTCCGCCAACAACGGGGCTCAATCCTCTGTTGGAATTCGGCTCATGATCATATCACCACTTTCATCAACAGGAAAGCCTTACATCCATATGACAAGACAGATTAAACAATAGAACATGTCATAAAGTGATCAACAGGTTTTTATGTTGTACCGGATGCGGGATCACGGGCTCATTTGAACACCTGACAGCGCGCGGGTTCGTGCACGCGTTCCTTCCACTTCGCGACAGCCGACAGCCATCAAATTGACATTGGAGACCGCCCAAGCTCTACACGCCCGGTTGAACGATTGTACGCTGCTACGAATTATGAATCTGCGGCCATGAACAATCATTTTCCGCATCACCGCGACTAATATCCCTGCTGATCCGAACCTACTCAACATGGCGGATCTTGCCCCGGTCCCCAAGAGGCGCAAACTCTCCAACGAGCATGATGCGCCAAATCTGGACACCACAACAACGCCAACCTTCCATCATGTCGTTCCGGTAGTGATGGTATCTCCAAGCGCGGGAAATGCGACATTACCTGCCACGAAACCCATGAGCGAAGCCCAACGGGCGTGGCTGGCGGCGAAAAGTAAGAGCAAGGGTTACGCGAAACGAATCAATCCCAGTGCGACCGCGTCAATAGTCACCGGTGGACTATCGCCTGGAGCAAAAATTACGGTGGCCCACACTCAGAGTCCTCGGAAGCAACTTGATCCGTTGAAGAATCAACGCGGACAACAGCAGCAGCCAAGAAAGCCGAATGCGATCGAGGTCAAGAGCTTCTTTAAACAATTCCATGCACCACTCCCGGCGACCGCAGCTGCCAACGAAGGGGAAGGAGATGAGATACAGGTGGCGCCACGTGCAACGGGCAAGACGCCCGTACCGAAAGCGAGGAAGAATGCGCATGGAATCAAGATCACCAAAACGCTGGCCGAGGGAGTCGAGCACATTCCAACAAACGCGCACGATGGCATCGTCATTGGGAACGGTGAAGACGAGTTGAATGGACCTACAACATCGGCATCGCGGACTTCTTCTCAGCAAATGCGTCCGGTGCTGCCGCTGCCGCAATCTCATCTACTTACGCCCACGAAAGCTTCGAAGAAGCAGTTGGATCGACGGAAAACCCCCCAGTCCAAGGCCAAGGGTGTTAAGCTCGGGGTCGCAGGGAACGATGTGGCCATGATGGATATCGATGGGAGACGAGGAGCCAACACACCAATACCAATTTCGTTACCAAAGCCTAAGCCGATTGTACACCGAACGTGGCCGGTCTTCATTTTTGAGGGTCGACATGTCGGATCCATACAACAAATTTTAATGCAACGTCTCGCCCGGAAGCGGCCAATGCGATTGGTAGGCATGAAAGACGAGTATGCCAAGGTGTCCAGATTGGTTGAACAAACTGTGACGGCTGGCGAGAGCAATAGCATGCTACTGATTGGCGCTCGAGGGAGCGGCAAGTCTGCTATGGTCAACCAAGCCATCCGCGAGCAGAATGCTCAACACAGAGATGACTTTCACGTTGTCCGACTCAGTGGATTCATACATACCGACGACAAAATTGCGCTACGGGAGATCTGGCGGCAGCTTGGGCGTGAAATGGAGCTTGACGAAGATGAAGGAGCGGCAAAGAATTATGCCGACACGTTAACGACATTGCTAGCTCTGCTTTCCCATCCGGCCGAAACGGGACAGGTTGCGCAACCTGGGCACATCACCAAAAGTGTGATCTTTGTCATCGATGAATTCGATCTTTTCGCCGGTCATCCGCGCCAGACACTATTGTACAACCTCTTCGACATTGCACAGAGTCGCAAAGCACCCATTGCTGTTCTCGGACTGACCACTCGAATCGATGCAGTCGAAGGCCTCGAAAAAAGAGTAAAGAGTCGATTTAGTCATCGATATGTTCACCTAGGCCTGGCGAAGAGCTTCGGAGCATTTGAAGAGATGTGCCAGTCGGCATTATCCATTTTTGAGGAAGAGCTCGACGCCGACGAAAAGCAGCAGCTGGGGGTGTTGTCGGAAGAATCTGAAAATACGCTCGAGGCTGCCCTCGGACCGCTGACAGGGTCGTCTTCTGTTGTTCAGAATTGGAACAGCCTCACCGAAGAGATCATCGCTTCCACTGCTGTTGCGCATTACCTCCGACGACTTTACTACACTACCAAGTCTCTCCCAGACTTTCTTTCCACAATGCTTCCTATCGTTGCGACGCTACCCTTTTCGATGTCGGAAACCACCTCGACGCAGATACTCGCCCACATCACCGCCGAATTTGAAGCGCAATCAGTCGAACCCGCCGACTCCAAACTATCACTCCTGCCTTCCTTGAGTACTCTTCAACTCGCCCTTCTCATCTGTGCTGCACGTCTCAACGCTATCTACAGTACAGAAATCATCTCTTTTATCCTCGCCTACGAAGAATACAAAGGCATAGCTTCGAAAGCGCGCCTTCAAGCTTCAGCCGCAGGAGCGATTGCACAGGGCGCTGGCGCCCGCATTTGGAGCAAAGATGTCGCACGTGGAGCTTGGGAGACGCTGATCCGGTATGGACTTATCATGGAGGATGGTCGTGTCGCAAGTGGCAGTGGAAGGGTTGACGTCGGCTTGGAGGAGATTGGTAGTAGTCGTGCTGACTTGGGCAGCTGGGCGAGATGGTGCAAGGAGATCTAGCGTCTTCACGTAAAGTAACGATACCATGTGGCCTCCTCTATCATCCTAAACTGCATTCATGAGCGCTATGAATTTCCATGCTGATCTTTTCCACTCATGGTGTCATGGGACACTATCTTGTCAAATTCTTAGCGATATATACCGCAAAAATTCTCCCTCTCTCACTACCGTAACCACGAAGATTCAATCTTCGGAACCGGCTCGTGATACCATACCAAACGATGCGCCAAACTGCTTGGCAGCATTGGGATCACGTGATCGGCCTGCTGGCGCAACGGTAGCGCGTTCGACTCCAGATCGAAAGGTTATCCGTTCAAATCGGGTGCGGGTCAAATCTTTTTGATTTTTGGGGGGTTTCTGCGGATTCCGGAGAGGTCGATGAGCCGCGCATGACGTTGTGTTTTGCTTGGAGACCAGGCGATGATTCGACGATGTTTGGGTGGTCAGTGTGGTGAGATTAAATAAATGGCTACATGAATGAATGGCGTGGCTCTGGCGATATGAGCTGAAGCGTCGACTCTGGTGATCTATCTGTGGTATTATCGAAGGAGGGGATAAAAGACGCGCTGCCTTCATTGTTGCTTTTTCTGCAAAGGCGCTGAAGACGAATTCCCGATGGTCTTGTTCAGTCGCAGGAACATATCGAGTCCCATGAGAACGGCTGGAAGAGACGTATCAGCATTGACTGCTCCAAGACCGATGTCAGGACTGTCTTACCCAATGCAAGGTATGGGATGTAAAGCTTGCCGAGCTCGACCTTCTCGCTGTTGCTGTAACCACTCCAGGAGAGATATTCTGCAATGCACGTCGCCGTGGTGAGAGCAGTCTGAACGGAGTAGACAAGTAGATGGATTGGGACTTTAGGATCGTCTATTCGAGAACAGTTAGACTTGGGTCGTTGTGGCACAGGATAAGGCAGTGATAAGGTACCTCGCAAGAGCGCTCCAATGGCCCAGAGGCTCAATGGGACGTGATAGAGAAACTCCATCCAGATGTACATGTCAAACCATGCGGGCGGTGCGATGAAGAATTGATCGCGGAAGGTTGTGATGTAGAATTTCCGCAGCTCGGTGATGAATGTTGGTCGGATCGAGTCAGGATATAGAGGTGCGAGATCGACGCCTGGGAAGAAGATCAGCACAGTGCTTTTATCACTCTAAACAAGGTCTTTGTTGAAAACTCACAAAACATCACAGGTATGTGAATGAGGAAGAAGACCAGATACGCCAAATCGCGTTTTCGTGAGAATATCGATGTCATGATTGAGTGCTGTCGTCGGGTGTCGTTGCGCGAGTACTTGTGGTGAAAGAATTATGTCTTCGTTCTTTGATATCAAACACAGGTAACGAGGTCGTACGTTGCATCGCCCCCTTTACACACGTGCCTGGTGACTACTCAGGCGTGTGACTCCGTGTTCTCCGAGGCATAATTTCAGGCACGCAGAACTCCTCTCGACTTCCCTCCCTCCCGATTACTACTACTTTTAATCAATCACCAGACGGGTAAACACAGATTTGTCTTCAAAATGGGCGTTTTTGGAATTGTAAAAAATTCCGAACATGTGCTACCTAGTTACTGTCGTCTCAGATTTGTCGTGAATATGCTTGTACTGTACAAGGTTCGTCTATGTAATACATCCCGTGCACAAATATGATCTCGCATCCAGACCGTTTCCGGAATCTGGATGTGACCATGATTCTCTCCTCTGACTCGAGTCTTGACCGACCAGCTCTACCTTTTTGAGAATGGAGCTCTTGCAGCGCACACATATCAAACTTTGGTGCTGACGGGATCGTCGGTCGTCCCTGACCGGGTGCATATCCTTGGTGACGCCTTCTTCTCCGGATCTCGTCTCTGGAAGCTCTCGTCTAGAGCGCCCGTGAAATGATCGCCGCAAGGTCTTTGCCTACCACTGGTCGACCTGCAAGTTTCCCGCCCGAGCCGGTCAGGACCTTCATCACGATGCCAAGATTGCGACTCTTTGCGTCCAAAGAAGTTATCGCCTGCTCGACTGCCTCCTTCATTTCCGCCTCCGAGACGGTGTCCACATTGCTAGCATACTCTTGAAGCACTGTGGCCTGGGCATCTTCTTGCTGGGACAAATCTTCTCGGCCTGCGGCTTTGAATGATTCTCCAGCTTCTTTTGCGGCGGCAATCCGTTTTCTGATAAGTGACAATACTTGTACGTCTGTTTCGATCGCTCTTGAAGTTTTGGCAGCATTGGTGACTTCCGCGAGAAGTGCGCGAATGACACTAAGCCGAGCTGTATCTTTCGCTCTCATGGCAGTCTTGAGATCAGTCCTCAATTGAACAAGCAGAGGTGATGAAGGTGGGTTTGAACTGCTAGCTTCTGCAGCGTAGAACCGACAACGAGCACAATTGTAAACTTTCTGCATTGGACCACTTCGCATCCATACCCGTGAAGGAAAAATCATCCTTGCTTTTGAAGCCATCTCTGGATAATGCAAAATGTCTTGCGCGACTGCGATGAACCACCATCGACGCTCGAAAGATCGTGTCTCGCGGGTTCAAGTGCTTGTGAGTTGAACATTGAAGGCATTGAAAGGCCCAGGAACAGGTCTTGGCGCGCATAGAGCTCGGACGACGCGATGATGGACGCGTTCCGCTTGGGGGAAAGTTTGTATCGGAGCTATTGTCACATCTCTTGATTTATGCCCGACCTGTTCATTAGAGCATATACGAACACACTTCGACGTTCGCGCAACCACATCGTGACACTCTCCGTGTCTGTCGCAGGGACGGATATAGAGTGTTGATCGCTCAGTGACTTTGCGCTACCTTTACGCGTTGGGCACACTGAATGCGACAACATCAAAACTGCTGATGCTGTCCTGACAGCTCACGATCTCTCGTTTCTTCCCTTCGGCTGGTCACCATCCGAATCAGACTCGACAGATTTGAGCTTTACCCTGGGAATACATTATGGCCTCCGCACTGGTTCCTGCGACACCGCAGCGACCGCTGCCAGGCGCTTTCTTTGCGACGCCAGCCCAGCCAGTAGCACAACCGTCGATACACGGCAACACCATATTCGCCCAAGATGCGGCCAAATTACGAGTAGCGGCCACGAACACACCCACAGAGCCTGCTGGTACCGCGCGGAAATCCGAACCATCACCGGTGGAACGCGCAGCCCGTGTAATCAATGAAGCGCTCGTCGCGGAGGAGCGATTTCCTGAATTGGAGACATACATCAATCAGGGCGTGAGCGGAGATTATGATATACCACAAGGCCCCGCAAGGGCGCCCTTCCAAAAACTCAGAACCCATGATATTCCTTTGAAGCTGCTCGAACAGGCCAACTATACTGGTATGGCGATGCAGATGGGCATCTTCCCACCTCTCAGCCATGCTTGGATAGCTTTGGACAATGCGCTGTATCTGTGGGACTATACGCAATCGAATCCGGAAATTATCGGATACGAAGAGGCAACTCAGCCCATCACAGCTGTTGAATTGGTTCCGCCGAAACCAGGCGTTTTCATCGCGGACATCAAACACATGATTATCATCTGCACAGCGTCTGACATGCTTTTGTTGGGCGTGGCAACTCAGACTACATCAACAGGCGCACAGACGGTTGCCCTCTACAATACAAAGATGTCGATCCCAATTCGTGGCATCGATGTACGAGTGATTACTGCATCCAAAAAGACAGGTCGAATCTTCTTCACAGGCGCAGTAACAGACGACATTTTCGAATTTCAGTATCAACAAGAGGAAGGATGGTTCCGTGGCAAATGCAACCGCTTATGCCATACCAAAACTACTTTGGATCTGGTGTCTGAAAACGTCAAGACTGTAGGACATTTCTTCGGCTCGAAAGGCAAATGCAAGATTATTCGCCAGATGCTTGTTGATGATTCGCGCAACCTCATGTACACGCTCAGCACCACGAGCGAGATTAAAGTTTGGCTGATCAAAGACAACATCGAGCATGCCATGATGCGTCCGCTGGCAAGTCTGCTCCAAAACGCAGGGCATTTCGACAGTCGCACGGAGCTATTGACTGCTAAGGATGTCGAAATTGTGTCTATCAACGCGATTTCTGTCGTCCAGGCTCGCAAGTTAGGACTGATGGCGACAACAAACACTGGATGCAGGCTCTACCTCTCTCTGACACGTGGGTACGGTTCGCAGGCCGACGCACAGAACCCTCCTTCCAGCATGCAGATCATGCACATTCGGTTCCCGCCACGAGATCCACACCTGCCTTCGGCGTCACAGCCCGGACAATCCGCAATGATGCCATACAATACCCACGCTAACCAGAATAGCCAGATCGACTCTACATCCCGCTATCTGACACCTACGAACATGGGCTACCGATATTCCCCAGGATATTGGATGGCTTTCCAGACCCATCCTCAGGATGGAACACGGGATCGAGTATTCTGTACGGCTCCGGACTCGGCGCGGCTCAAATGTCCACAGGACAGTAATCAGATACGGTACTCGGAATCGGGTCAATGGATTGATTTGCCGGCCAATCTTCAACAGATCATGCCTTTGGGCGATGAGTTCGGCGCCACCAACGAGCCTCTTGGGTTCGGAAATGAGCTTGCCGTGCAATTTGATCGGGCATCCTCAGAATTTGCTATTGTCACAACTGCTGGTATCCAGATTTTGCGTCGCCGTCGTCTTGTGGACATTTTCGCCGCTTTGATGAAATATGGATCCTCCGACGACAAAGGGACGGAAGGCGAGGTCAATCGATTCGTCCGCACATACGGTCGTGGCGAAACTGCTGCTACAGCCTTGGCAGTCGCCTGTGGTCAAGGCCTCGACGTCTCAGAGAGTCGCGTTGCTAACGTCACCGACTCTGAGGTGATTGAGAAAGCTCGCCGAGTCTTCATTGAACAAGGTGGCAAACCGGAATACAGCGCGAACGCCGTCGTAGATCAAACAGCAGAACCTATCGACAATGTTCGACCAAGCCCTAGACACGAGGGCATGGCTCTGTACATCTCGCGCCTCGTGCGGCCATTGTGGAGAGCCAATGTCATGAAGGAGAACGCCGCACCCGGAGCGCCAGTCAAGCTCGGGCCTAATGTGAGCTTGGGCAGACTACGGCTTGTGCAGCGCGATCTGACTGCACTCAACGAATTCTTGAGCAAGAATACAAGTTTCATTGAAGGCCTGTCTGGTCCTCAAGCTCTTAGCCGTGTCAGCTCTCGACAGGAGGAGATTGCACTTCAGGGTGAAGCCCGCGCCATGACGAGCCTGTTGCGATTAATCGATAGCATCAATGAGGGCATTAGCTTTGTCATAACACTTTTCGAAGAGCGTGTCGAGGAAATTGTTGCCCTGCTATCTGATGAGAACAAGCGCAAGGCAAAAGAGCTCACGTTTGAACGTCTCTTCGTCTCTAGCTCCGGACGTGAACTTGCGAAGGATCTCACAAAGGCCATTGTCAATCGCAGCATCGCGAACGGAAGCAACGTTGATTCCGTCGCTGAAAGACTCCGCCGCAAGTGCGGCAGTTTCTGCAGTGCCGATGATGTAACCATCTTCAAGGCACAAGAATTGGTCAAGCGTGCTTCAGAAGCTGGCGCGCAGTCCGAGTCAGCGCGAATCAACCTCAACGAGAGTCAACGTTTGTTTCAAAAAGTTGCGAGCAACCTCGGCGATGAATACATCGAATGGACGGTCGACCAGTACGTGTCGATGGAATTTTTCGCTGGCGCATGTCAACTGTGCCTTGTCGTTGCTGGCGAACGGGACAAGTCGAACAGAGCGATGGCTTGGATGAGGGACGGCCGACCAGGATCTGATTCTCGCCAAGCATTCTTCGACCAGCGGTTCAGATGTTACGAATTCGTTTTCGACACTATCAAATTCCTAGATGATACGGTAGCGCGGGCTCCCGACGTAGCCACCACGCATCCAGTCCAGGCGAAGAGGATAAACGAAGCTTACGAAGTCATCAACAGTTCCGAAGATCGAATCTTTTTGACCTGCCTTTATGACGAGTACATTCGACAAGGTAACCCACTTCGACTTTTGGATATCGAGAACCCCTTCGTTGTTGAGTACCTTCGACAGCGGAGCAATGACAACCGTGCGCATGCCGATTTGCTCTGGCGATACTACGCACATAATGATCTCTTCCTGGACGCTGCAGCTGTTCAGCTCGACGTTGCTCGCTCGCACTTTGAGCTGCCATTAGAACAACGAATAGAGTATCTCAGTCGCGCTAGAGCGCATGCCAGCACCAGACAAAACATGCTGCTCGACCCACGGAAGAACAAGCAGAAGTTGATGCGGGAGGTCTCTGATCTCTTGGAGATTGCCAGCGTACAAGACGAGATCTTGGAGAGAATCAAGGGCGAAACACGTATTGCCCCAGACCGGAAACCGACCCTGATCGCTGATCTGAATGGTCCCATCCTCAGCGTTGGCACCCTCTTCAGCTCTTACGCAGATGCCGCTGGATACCACGATTTCTGCATCATACTGTACCAAGTCGCCGATCACCGGAATCCTGCAGATATCCAGGCATCATGGCGATCCCTTATTGACCAGACGGATAGCGGTGCTCCTGAACAAGTGCAGCCATGGGAAGCGGTAGGTGATGAGGTCCGGAGAATGGGCCGTCGTCTTCACACTGCCAATGCCAGCTTTCCGATCCAGTTCCTGCTTCCACTCTTGGAGCGCTACGCGATCGACCCCAAGCGACAATCGACGCCGCCTGAGTCATGGGCGGTTGACCTCTTCTTGGATCTTGAAATTCCTCACGAAACCCTGCTTCCAGTTCTGGAACAAATGTATTACAGTAATGAACAGCCGTTCATCGGCAACAAGCGCAAGATCATCGCGGCTAAGATGGTCCACCTCATTCAAAAGTGGTTTGAAGTCAGCGAGCGAAGCGGTGAGCGGGTGCTATTTGGCGGCGAGGAGAACTTTTCAACCGTGCAGGACTGTCTGCAGACTTTGTTGCGCCAAGGTCAGCTCACAGACGCCTGGAAGAGGACAGCCGAAGCTTTGGAGGCACGTGTATTGCGAGCGGTCAGGTGATGTAGGGACAAGCGACGCGGAGAATTCCCATTGAGCTAATCTATTGTCCTTGCATTTGCGATGAGATCCAGATCATTGGGCTGAGTGTAATTTTCATGGGTGATTATGTGTGCTTAGCGCAGGCGTTGTATCGTAGACACTTGTACAACTATCCCGTCATATTACTGTTTGACCACGTTACACGTCGCTGGTATGGATGCTTACTTCATGTCGAATTAACTCGTTGACTTGAGATTCCCATCTCCGTCGACGTATGGTAGTGGCCGCTGTTGGTCATGAGGAAACGGCGAAACAAAAGTGGGGGCAGAGATCGAGGCTGCTTCAATCGCCATCATCTATTCTCTGATCCGCTGCGAGATGAACATGTGATCGAGCCTACATGAATGTTGTAATAATTGAATGGGCCCAAGAACTGCCGCCCAATCGGTCGTTGTACAGTAGTTCAAACCAACACCAAATGCATGACACTGGGCTAAATAAGCAGCCCTCGGTAGCATTTTCCCTACGTAAAGCCATGACTCACCCGCAAGCCTCGTATACTCTCGCAACATAGCTTCAGATAACTTACGCGTCAAGGACCGGGTTTGCCTCGAGCTTTCCGACGTCTTTCCAGGTCTGAGAGGAGACGGCTGATAACGCTGGATCGCCGGAAAACCACGGTCGGACAGGGGCAGACGTTGCACTCCGGCCTAGTGCGAATTTGCCGAGATGAAGATCGGAATACAGAAGGCAGATGATGGATTTCAGTGACGCAATGGGATCGCAATCTCGCAGGGACCCTCCTGGCCGCTGGGACACGACCAAGACGGTGCTTGGCGTGAATTTGTTTCGCAACACTAAGGGATGTTTTGCTGATGGAACTGATGTCAGGTTTCGACGTGTTAGCACAAGTCACCGATTGCAGTACATAAGCTGCATATCCGCCTGCATGAAGATGCGTGGAAGACGGCCTTGAGGGCCCGGTTAGCACGCGGAGCTCGAGCATGCGTGTGGCTTTGGAGGGTTGTACATGCCCAGTGACGGCTCTCCACTCATCAAACCGGTCCGTTAGGTCGCACACACCCAGAAAAACCAGTAAATAGTCCGTCTTTGGCCCCTAGGTACGCAGGAACCAAGCCTTACGACAGAACGGTGATACTTTCTGGATCCTATCCTCTTACTTGTCGTAAAGGAAAGAGAGTAATGAAATTGGTGCGCAGAAGATCAGATGAAACCTAGCCAGATTGGCGGGACGGAATGTACAGTATACTCAGTGTCAAAGCCCAGTCCCATGGCCGTGGCCGTGGGTCCATGATTTACTGGGACGGCCGTTGAAGATTGTCGGCTTGTGTAGGACGACTAGTGGTAATGATACACACAAGTATCGTTAGCCGACGTGGTACTCCCATCGTGGGCGACCGCGCCGCAATGCCACCTCTAGCCTTTTCTTTTTCTGTTCACTAGCAGTATAGTCCGACAAAAGCTCATGTTCATGTCGTTGCGGTGCTCGTCATGCTCGTGCCTCTTGGAGACAAAGGGCGAGAAGTACGTAGTCCGGGTGACTGGGGCGACTCCATAGTCTTGGTCCGGACGGTGTAACCACACCATTTCGGCAGGAAGAACCTCTGTCGTGCGATGATATGTATTTCATTGTCAAGGAGGCTCATGTTACGTACTTGCATGGTGACAAGCGTCAATCAGAGGAGGGTGTCCGCCAGCTAACGTTTCGACTTTGATGAGCCCATCAAACGTATGCCGGTAACAATGGAAAGCATCAGCCCATGTGCGACCAATCGACACCTCGTGGGTTGTTTACGTCCGTTGTTCACAAGGTGGCTTGCTGCATGCAAATGATTCCGACTTGCAGTAGTGAAAGATGTCCCGAAGGTCGGAGCTATTCGGCTTGCACCTATTGTCGTTGCGGTAGCACAGTCCGATCACCCAGAAAAATCAGGAGGTACGTCGCGATCTATGCCATGTTCCGTTCTTCATGCTCCGGCGTCTAGAGCTAGTGACTGGTCGACTCAGAAGCGTGCTGAGACGGCGTATGTTTAGACCGAGACAACGCAGAGATCTCCCGCGCGATACCTATTCTTTCGGACTACTCCGCCGTCATCACGCTGCTTTGTTGCGCGACGCCCACTATTTGCTGTCTGCCAGCCAAGCTTCGATATGCTGCGATTTGTTGATGTTCCCGGCACAGCTTCATCGGCGAAAATAGCTGGATGTCGGGCTAGTATTGCCTAAGTACGGCCTTGGGCAAGGTTGTGGATCCGCTCTCGGCGTGAAAGAGACGAGATATCTCCCTTTGATCGTTTCTTCAGTCTCATCTTACATCATGAATCGTGGTCAGTCTTGCCCTCACTGGAGAACCGAGCTAGGTCCATAATGTCGGTTGTTCCTCAACCACAAAATGATAATTGTGTTCGGTTCAACGATCGTCTTTATTCGACGTTCGCTGTGACCAATCGTATACATTGCGTGCCTGTTGACGAGGTAAGTTGCCGTTTTGGTAGGGAAACGATGCTCTACTCTCCGCAATAAACGACTATTTCTACCTCCCATGCTGATTTGATCGGACCCGCGTAGGAAGAAGAACAACTTTCAGACGAATTCAACACACTTCTGCGGGAGCTACTCGGCCGAACAGTCATACCACCGATTCCATTAGAGGATATAGATGAGCCATGCGTATTGGACTGCGGATTCGGCAAAGGCGCCTGGATCGATGATCTGCTTGAAGCATACAATAGCCAAGAAGTTCTGGTGAGCTCTCATTGTCGCCGTGCAATGACACTGTCACGAACGAGACTGGGCGAGACGGCAGGACTCGGCGGTCGACTCACGCTGACGATCCGATCGTGCAGGTGACTGGTGTCGACATCTTCACAGGACGAGGGACGACCAGCGATGAAGAGGACGAAGAAGAGCAAGGAGGCGTCATGGAATTTGAAAAAGAGCGGTGGAACATGAATGAGACCTTTCAGAGGTCTGCGCTGTCTCCTAAATCGTTTGACCTCATCAACAGTCGTATGCTCGCCGATGGTCTCAATGCTCCACGTTGGCCTTCCTTTGTCCATGAGCTCTATCAATTGTTAAAGCCCACCGGCTGGGTACAGATGGTGGAGCCGCAATTCTTGTTTCAATCTGACGCCGGTGAAGACCTGCCGTTCCTGCATCATTGGTGGAAAAGCTACGCCGACGCGCTTCAATGGTGCAACAAAGATGCTCGCATTGGCACGCGTCTCTCCCAGCACATGACAGAGGCAGGATTTGATGAAGTTTGGTCATATCCTTACAGACTTCCGATCGGATCGTGGGATCCCTCCGTCGGCCTGGGAAACACCGCATTGGAGATTTTCAAACGGATTTTGTACTCTCATTCGGCTTGGTTGTTCATGCACAGTCCGGGAGGTATGACTCCGGCTGAGCATGCGACGCTATTGCGCGGTGCGTTGGCCGAGCTACTGAATCCGAGTTATCGGATCTATATCCATGTGTAAGTGGAGACCCGTTGTTGGAATCGCGCAGAGCTGACATGAGCGAAGCCACGTTTGCATCGGCCGCCGACCTCTGGAGTCCGATTAAGAGGAAGCTTTTCGGCTTCGACCGCACTCCTTCAACCACGCAGCATATGGTTGAATGAAGAAGCATCATGGCGCGTTATATGAAAAATCAAGAGATACCGTTATGGGAATAGAACGCGCGAAGCCGCCGTTGACAACAGGCCAAGAATACCTTGAGACCCGCCTCTCGCAGCGTTGAGCGTCAGACGAAAATTGGTGCACAGTATCCACTTCATTTCGAGTATCAACTCAAAAAGGCATTCGGATCGCGGAGCAAGCGAGCAGACAATCAAGACTTGGTGTTGGTCCAGCAGCACCATCGCACATTGCCCTTCTTGTCGGGGTTCAACACGCGGATTGGTGGAGGTAGCTGAAAGCCACGCGATGGCACTTTTGGGATTCGATTCGGCTTGGGTGAAGCGGACTGACGAAGCCGTTTTGAACGACAGGGAGCCGCGGCAGCGATTAAACATGATACCCAAACAATATTTGTTACATTCGACCTTTGTTGTCCTTCAATCGCGTATGGAGGACACTGCCGCAAGACGAACAACGAGCAATAGAGAATTACACATGGCCAACAATTTCACGCCTGAGAATTGTGTCATCGCCCTACCTTAGCTCCGTCGGCGCGTGTACAAGGAATGTGACGAGACGTGCAGAATGCAACTCCGTCACACGTTCCGTTAGCGGCGGTGAAGCCGTGGACTCGACGGAACACATTTTTGAGCTTGAACTCTATGGCGCAATATACGCAACTAAATTTTTGAGCAGTATTCCGGGTGAATTGATTAGATTGCTACGGTGTCTGCTATCAATAGAACCCTATGATACCGCCGAGGACATATCTCAGTCGCGTCGACTATGCATTTCGTCTGTTCGCTGACGGAGTATTGTTCAGAGCATGGAGGATTAGAGACCCGTTTGACGTTCCCTCGAGCTTGGCTTGCTGTCCGTGTGTTCATATGAGGCCATCGTCGCTCAAGCTCTTGGAGGATTCCATTGAATTCAACCGATAGCTTACAATATGCACGAACACTTTGCTCGCCTCCTTGAAGCTCAATTTCCACCGAGTGCGATGCGGACTTACAATGAGATTGACAGCACGGTAGTTTTAAGTGCCTGAGACTAAAGTTTTGCCAGAAAGTGTGTGGTTCCGTGTGCGCGTGGAGGATTGCATGCATCTCAGGAAAGCGTCGCTGGAGCGACTCGCCAACAAGGCGCTGTCAATACTTACATAGGTTGTAAAGCGTGTTCCCCTCAATGGCGCCGCATCGTGATGCAATGCGCAGAAGCGATGTCCAAGACTGGACGCGTGATTCCCAAATGCTGCTTTGATCATGCTCAATCACGTCTGCAACCAAGGAAATGCTTTTAGTGGAGCCAAGCAAAGTTACTAGCGATTGTCGCTCATGCTCGAAGGCGACTTGTCTAAGGATACCCACGATCGGAGCAGGCCTGATGTCTTGATCGCTTAGAACTGTTCTCTCGCGACCTGCATGAAGCACTCACTTCTTGATGTGTGTCACCAGCGCGGCAAGTCTTGCCCATGAGAGCAGCAATGCAGGAATTGTCTCCGGCTAGTCGAAGTCCATATTCCAAGAAAACAGCAGGAGGGCTTGCCAAAGTGTAAGCATTCTCTCGCGAGATCACCGCACGATTTAGAATGAGCCATCACGCATTGACTGAACGGTTGTCGCCGTGTCGGTCCAACCGTACCATGCGGACACTCCAGGATCGTTGGTTCTTAAACCCGAAGCTGCCCATGCGGCGGCACACCCCGAGTCTGATTGAGGCTGCGTCTAATGAGGACATCATGAGCTCGTTCTCACATTTTAGGACATGCTGCCATGGTAGGTGGAGTGGCGGGAGATCACCTCCATCCCACGGGATCGCTCATGGTATGAAATCATTTGTTGTGTGGCAAGGGCATCAAGACCGGTCCGGAAAAGGAGATCCCTCCTTCCACGAGTGATCTGCAGCGCACGAGCACAGCAAGTCATTTGATTATACGCCTATACGACCGGATTTCTGGACCGTAGAGGGAGGACAGAAATATCTTGGCCTGTAGAGAAGCTGTCGCCGTGGTCCCGCGGTCCCACTTGTGGAGAAGAGTGTTGCTTGGCAGTTATGCGAGGTCAGGCCATATATAGGCTCGGCTTCCCTAGGCATCCAAGCCAAAAGCCAATGACGATTTCGAGTCTGCACGGCGCAACTGCGAATGCGAACACAGCCGAGGAGCTGATGCCAGAAGTGACGGCGATGGCGCTGCCAGCATGACTGCGGCTTGCCACCGAGAGGTTGGGATGCAACCTTTCGACGAGCTCGATTCGTTGCATCGTGGAAATGCCAATGCATCTTTGCGCCGCTCTCAGGGTAGCTCTTTCCAATTTTGTCTACGGTTGATCCGTGTGATGGTGCCGTGAATTTATCTTTGCATATTCGCCTTCTTGCGTACGTCTGCCAACTCGGCTAGCTGATGGATGGAGGTGGCAAAGCGACATTCAGTTGATTTGCAGACTCCCTGCATACACCATGACGGACGCCAAATCTGATAACCGGGTAGGCAGGTGGCAGTAGGCATCACAGTGCAAGGTTATCGTGACTCAGAGAATCTGTTTGCCGACTTCGTCGTTTCCTCGAAGGTCTAGATCGTCTGGTAGAGATGTGGTCTGATGGTGCGACAAGCTCCGTGCCCAGCTATCAAAGCCTTAGGCATAAAAATCGGTCACAAGACAACATGCTTGTTTGGGACTTTGGAAAGGGTGAAATTGCATTTGTGATGGGTTGAATCAACCGATGTGTGAAGAGACTCCCAACATGCGCGAAGAATTCATTCCGCGCTCCCGCTTACAAGACATTCATTTTTTTCCAAACAGAATCCTTCTTCCCAAAGCGGCTTTAATTTTGTCGCTTGCCAGCAGAGAATCCTTCGCGCCGAGTACCCGCCCGAAAGCCCAAGCGCCGGCCATCACGATAATGCACAGAGAACTCCATCATGAGCCCCAAAAAGCGCTCGAGAAACAAAACGTCTATCACAGGTGTTGAAAGGAAATACTGTGCAGCCACCCTCAGACCGTAGCCGCAACCAGATTTTGACGTAAAAGTGCCTTCAAGGCCAATGTTCGGGTGCAGACCTCCACCAGTGGAGCGGGTATTGTTGAGAAAGAGGACAACGACCTCCGATGATGTTGAGGACCATTTCCAAAGTCTAATGAAGCTGCTGCCCAGGCATCTCCGGAGCGCGTCAATGTCTCGGCGAGAATCGAGAGGAATCGTTCGAGGTATGGAATGTCTCCGAGGAGATTGCCCGATGCGATACCACTGCTTGCGCCAATTTCGTAACGTGTAATTATGATACGAGCGGCATAGACAAGCAAGTTCAGTAGTTGCGGATTCCGACTCGCGCAAGAGCAGGACAGGATCATAACGGCGATGTGCAGGATTGATCGATTGGCAGCCATTAAATCCGCGACGGTGCTGGGCTCAGTAGAGCTTGTGGCCTGCGTTGACAGAGCCTTGGTTAGTCTCGCAACACAGGTCTCGCCGGTCTGCGCAAAGCGGCATTCCAAAGTCGTTGCAGCAGCCGGTTGACCATCTCTGAGCCACGCTTCCGGGAGCAATGCTGAGTTTGTTGTAGGTGGTATCACGGGCATGGCAGTGTTGGTGAACGTCATGGGGTGTCCAGGTATATCTGTGCGGGAAGAGTCAAAGGCGCTTCCAGAAGCACCCGCTACATGAAATGCATTGACACCATGCAACGTTGGATTTTGTGCGCCTGCACTTGAGGAATATGATGCCGTCATCGTGGGTGAATGATCGACGGAGAGGGAGCCGAAGCCGAAAGTTGAATTGACTGGCGATGATGATACACTGTAACCATCGAGGTAACCGCCAAATTGATCAGTGGGAACCGTCGGCATCATATATGGCGACATGTATGGCGAGGCGAGAGATGCCGGATATGAATCAACGCTGCCTGCAGCAGTACTGATGATCTCTGCCATCGACGATGAAGACGGCATACCGTTACTCGACCAGTTCGGCGTTGAACTTGATGTAGCAGTCGGCGATGCCAGAGAGCAAGACTCTGGTGATGTCGGTTGGGTGATAGAATCGGATCTTCCAGGACGACGGCCCGCGCGCCTGCTATACGAATAACCACAGTGTAGGTGACGATCTCGACAGCGTGAGCAGGTGGGCTGATCTTTGTTGCATTTGACTTTGGCTTTGGCACAGTGATCGCAGCTTTCTTTGAGTTTAGGTCGAGACTTCATTGTCGTTGAAGGCGTTGCTGGCATCGATGTTGACGAAGAGCGATCGTGCGTGCCTTTTCGAGGTCGACCGGCAGGTGGAGAGTCAAGGGTTGGGATGCTGACGTACTGCGGAAACACGTCGACGGCGTTCCTGGGTGGAGCAACGAGCGAAGACATTGGAGTGACTTTGGTGTACGGTGGCTTGCTGGAGAGAACGAAAGAGGAGGAGGCTGAGTAGGGAGGGGAAAGCAGGAAGGACTAGGGAAGTTCAGACCTTATACCGAGAACGATCACTTGCACCTGATCGCGTGCAAGATGTCAAGTAGTCGTTAAAGGGAGAATAGATCCGCCTTGTTATGTTAGAGTTTCCATCGGAGTAATGTACACCATGTCTACAACCAAGCAATGTACATAACCCGGCACTGATCGAAGTCGATGATCACCCACCGCGAATCCGAGCTGAAGGACCATTTGGGGTCCTCCTTCCGCTCGAGAGGGGTGGGCGGACGACTGTGCTTCAGGATGGGATACAAGCACAGCGCGTTGGTCGACAGAAGGCGTTGCTGGACCGGTGCCATGCTGATCCTGGAATAGACTGCGGATCCTACGAAACATCATAACTGCAGCGTGCGATTACTAGCATCTCCACCATGCACAGGCGGTGCTGTAAGCACCTCTCACACTGAAAGACGAAAATGCCCAGCGCCGAGCAATGTCGTAGGATAACGCTAAACATGTCGGTGCATGGGGATGAGGAGTGTCATGTACAGTAGCCGACTCGGTGGATGCTCCCTGGAGATGTCCGCACATCCCACACGACCAACAACGGGAAATGCGAAGAGACTGAGACTGAGGAATTGCGAGCAACCACACGGTTGTAGAATATGCGAGGGGAGGTGTCATGAGAATTACAGCCCTGAAGCCTCCATCAGCCCCCCAAAGCCAGCACTTGAGGTGCGCTACACCCTGTCCGCGCGGGTGGCTGTGGACGGTCCCACGACGGAGCACAATTGGCGCACGAGCTCGTTGCGTATCTCATCCTGTTGTGCAGGTATTCTTCACGACTGCCATCATCGTACCTTGATGAAGGATCGACCAATCTCGCGGCGCAGTGCACGGGTACAATACTAGAGTTGTACTGCTACGCACATCCTTCAAAGCGACCGACCAGGGTGAAGCGGTGGACACATGAAGCGGTAGGCGAATGGGTACACAGTCGGCACTTCACCTTTATCTGATCCGCACGTGCATGCGTACACCAGGAAGCAGAATCCGAGGATGCATTTTGTAGGCAAACCCGCCGCGATCCACGACGAGACGGGTTGAAACTATCCGTCGTCGCCAGCCCTTGAGGCGTATTGCGTGAATCTGGCTGCTGGATGATTAGCGAACATGCATGTGGAATTCGCCGTCTATGGCCGACAGACTTCAAGTCGGGATTCTCTTCATTCACCTCATGTTCGACCAGTCACTCATACACTCACAATGTGTCCCACGGGCAGTCTTTGGCAGCGTGGTTTCCACTATAGCTTGCATGCTGTTCACACAATGATCCTGTGCGAGAACCAAATACCATTTAGATCGCCAGCCTGGCGTGGGAAAAGCAAAGCCATGTCCTCCCGCGGTGTGGTGTCCGTTAGCAGGTTGCATGCGCCACATGTTCACGTCGTCGCATTGCACGAGACGCAATGCTTCACACGTGGCAATGCGAAGTGTCATCGTTTGCTCCGATTCACGCCCACGGAGATCATACAAATGTTCCCACGCCCGACGTGCGTTCGAAGGATTGAGAGACTTCATATTAGCATCGCGAGCACTAATTGATGATGAAACGTTGGGATTGGAAACGCGCAAGCATTGCACATCAGCGTGGGATGTCAAACTCGCTAGGTTGCCTTCAGCCGTGTCCCATACGTTCTGGGTGGGAGTGAATGTCAAGCAAAATTACCACCATCGTGGGAGCAGGAACACAACCGAGCAACGGTTTCTCTGCCGGTCAACCCAGTAAGACAAGCTGCCGTAGCTGCATACAGTGCTTTCGTTTCGTGTCGCTCCTTGGAAGGAGTCGGTTACTGCGATTGGCGAGGGATCAACATGGCCTACGCGAGTAGGCGAACCGGTTAAAGTAGCCTCCTTGATAGCCGATTGATCGGCAACCCGATGTCCCAAAGGGGTATGTACAATCCGCCAGGTTCAGATACCCGGTTCGTTTGTTCAGATGATGTCCATCCGGCCACATGGCGACAACGAACCACATCAGATTGACATACAGTAGTGGCTTGCGCAGGAGAGGGTCCTTCTTCGGTCCCTTCCTACAGCTTGCAGAAATATGAGGCCGCGCTGGACTCCAGGCTGGTGAGATGGCTTTGCTGTTGTACCGCGAATAGCCAAAACACGGGCGCATCGGACGCCGCAGAAGGCGAATCAGCGCCAATATTCGTTCAGCTCAGGTGGGCCGTCACGAACTCGAAATAGCATGCGATGCCAATACCCAATACTTGGCTACTGAAGGCCTGCTCAAGTGCCCACTGCACGCCTGGGCAGTCTACTGAATGAATGATGATCGTCACAACACGTTCATTTCAGCAAAGCGGTCCAATGTACAAAGGACATCCCAAGGACTCAGTCGACGCCGCCAAGTGCAAGTATGGAAGACTGTGGATCTGACTCTTGAGCAGTACGCCAAGCCATCACGACTTACTGATTACCCTCTGGGCTCGATCTCATGATGTATTGCGATCATCAGTCGTGCGTTGGCGAGGAGATGGCTATTCCCGCGGGTTTTGTATCGCACTGGGATCGCGAAATTTGTAGGATCAACTTCGGGGGGTGGAATGGTGGGCATATAGCCAACAACATTTGGCTAGGGATAACTATGGTCCAAGCAAGTCCATCCATGGGTCGAGCGTTTTGTGGCTCAAAATGACTCGAGACGACAGGAAGATGAACATGATGCGGCTGTGTAACGATCACTCCAAGGTGTAGCAGGGCGTGCACGGGTGGGATACCGTCTATTCCGTGACGCACTGTCGCAGAACATGGCAACTTCGCCGGCGCGGCAGGCGGTCCGCACTGTGCTTTTTGTTCCTTTTGTCCCGTGGTGGAGGCGATGGAAGAATCTCTCGGCGCCGGATACATCGGCCACTAAGTTTGTATAGTAAATTGTCCGGTCTCTACAGTAGACTGTCCGTTGGCTTTTCATCCTAAACGATGATTATTTGCCTAGAATATCACCGTTATCTTCCCAACAGTTGATATGCAAGGACGGGTCGAGATTCTGGCTCTCCACCTATCTCGCGGTAGGACGATAGCACGATACGGCTTGTGACAATGCCCATGTACGTACGATGCGCTGATGTTACCTCGTGAGTAGCACTTCACCTACAGGCAACGCGACTGCCACTACTGCTACCACCATTATCCCCAAGGTGCATGCTGCATGTACGTCCATCTTATCGGCATGCCCATGACTTAGTGTGTCAATGAGAATCACAGCTTGGCGCGGCGTCCGCTGCATGCCAAGGGCTTCCAAGACGATGGTCTCACCTCTCGCTGAATTGAACCACCTTCCTGCCTCGGAACCATGCAGATCTTAGGTGAGCATCGCCGAACTGGCATCGGATTGGATCAGAAAAGGGCGATCATCTCCGTGAGGATAACTCATCCAGTGCTGTGCAACATCAACTATCAGGAGCAGAAGGGAAGATCTTATCGCGCGCTGGCGTGGCTGTACTGTTTTGTCCATGCTCCGCGATACCACAGGGCGCCCTCGTCGATGTATGTAGAACTGGCGAAGACGCTATCACGCCACCATCCGCTCAGAAGCGAGGATTCCAGGCAAGGAAGGACAAGCGCCGGTCGAGGAACCATGTCTGGTGCGACCATCCATCACGGCACTATTTCCTACGAAGCTTATCAAGATTGTGCCGGGCATGCTTGCAACGAACAAGAGTGCGACGATCCGCATAGTGATTGGCCAGCGATCCTTCAAGAAAGCAAACCCTGCCTTAACCCTATCTGTTTAATTGTCGTCCGATGCAGAGAGAAGACGCATGGAAGACTCTCGACGATTCACTTGCACCTCTCGACATCGTAACAGGATGTTGTTCGGTTAAAGTGACTCGCATCTGATGTAAGACGGCTCTGGAGCGACTTCCTACGCCCTGACGCCATTCGTTTGGGTCAAACGCGACCGTGGGCTTATACTTTCGATTGCCCATATGTCCAAGTCCGACCACAGGATCGGCAATGGATCTCGCAATACGTGCCCTCCACTGGCCATCGTCGCCCACGTAGGACAAAGGTAACGTAAGTTGGAACACAAAGTACACGTACGCTCCGCAGATCGGTGCATTCCAAGATCCCACCACACAAACCCCGATCTCACTCAATTTTCATGTGCTCGGCATGGGAGAGAAGAAAAGGTCCCATTTTAATGGTCCTACGTCAGAAATCAATAAATTTCTCTGGCGAGATGCGAGTGATCGTCCCAATGTCGCAATGGATTTCCCCTTTCACACACCCATACCTCTACCCTTGACAAGCGCTCAATGGCCGTACGCGATCCACCACACCCTGAACGTGCAGCGACCGCATATGCCCGACCATCGATCAGGCTTCCCATCTCGATGCGCCAGGAAATGACACACAATTTCCCTCTAGAAGGACCCCCTCGCAACCCAGACAACCTCAGCGGCGGACTCTCACATGGGAAGGAATAAAATGGTAAGAGGGTGCCACCGCAAAAAGGACAGCCGGCTGCTGTACACTACACGTGGGCATTAAAAAAGCACACTTTTCAGCCCCGACCCGCGTGCGTCATGCCGTGTCCCTCGAGGGGGAAGGGAAAGAAAACAGCCAGCCCGCCCCCGGCCACGTGGCAGCGGCTGTGTTCCGCGGGCGGCGGGCACGAGCGGATTTTGGGGCTGAACGTGGATGGAGAACCCAGATGACGATGAGCACACCAGGCGAGTTCGCACATCGGTTTGACACGTGCGAGGCGTCCGTCATACATTGTGTTTTGTCTTTCGAAACCGAGGGCTTCAGCTCCAGCTCTGCCTTGCGAAGGACATGAGCGGCCTTCCGGCCGTGGCGCACAACCACCCACACACAGACACACGCGCACGCACACACACTCGTCGGAGTCTCAGCATTCTGCAAGCGATCACCATGCGCGTTGACATATGCACCTCTCTCCTCCTCCGGGACCGCCGAATAGCATGACCCGTGCGGTCTCGGGAATCTCACGTTCTCCTCATCAATATGGTTTGGCGTCACCCATCTCTAGCCGGGCTGGGCAGACCGGTGTCGGAATTTCATTACGACGACGATGATGATGCCCGGACAATTGGCGTTTCTTTCTGAAACTCCGGAAACAAAAAGGCAGTCGAGATGCGCACCACCATACAGCAGGAAATTGGCAGACCTCGCGAACTTGTCGGCGCGCCCCCACCGTGACTGCGGAGGACCAGGGCATTGCCATGCATGGGAAACAACGCGAACACCGCCTCGTCGCTTGGCAAGGAAGAGTAATCATCAGAGCCCTTATTCTATTCAATGTGGTTTTCTATTTGTTGATTTTATTCTCTCTCTCCCTCTCCGTGGGGAGAGTGCGTAAGCATAAGCATGACCCAGTTTCTCACGAAACCCAGACACCAAGGGGGGGGCTAAGGAAAGTGAGGCTCGCAATCGCGCAATCGCAATCGCCAGGTCGCTTATGGCTCGTCGACGACCTGCGTCGTCAGGCCCGTCTGACCCTCGGTCTCCTCCGCAGGCAAGGCGGTGAAACCACTCTCTGTCAACCGGACGGCGCCGGCCCTGACGAGCGCTTGGGCAAGATCGTCCTTCAGGTCATCTAGGTCCTCGATACCAATGCACAGGCGGATGATGTCCTCCGGTAGGGCTCGCTCCTTCCTCGTCGCTGGGTCGATGCTCGCGTGGCTCATGCGGCAGGGCATTGAGATGAGGCTGTTCACGCAGCCGAAGGACACGGAGATGCCGAAGAGTTTGGTGGATTCGACGATGCGCTCCGACAGGGCGATGGAGCCGGTCTCGAAGCTGAGGACTGCGCCTGCGCCACGTGCTTGTGACCAGTGGAGTTTGTATTGAGGGTGTGATTTCAAGCCAGGGTAGCGGACTTTGAAACCGTGTTCCTCGAGATATTCGGCAATGGCGTTTGCGCTGGTCTGCTGCTTCTCCATACGGACGGCCAGCGTCTTGATCCCGCGAAGCAAAAGCCAGCTATCAAATGGTGCCAGACCACAGCCGGTCGAGTTGATCATGAAATAGAATTTGTCGGCGAGCGCCGTGTCGTTGACGCCGATCACGCCCGCCATGACGTCGTGGTGACCGGACAGATACTTCGTTCCACTTTCGTAGACGACATCTGCGCCGAGATCCAATGGGTTCTGAAGGTACGGCGAGAGCATGGTGTTGTCCACGGCCACGATGGCCTTGGGATTGGCAGCGTGCGCCGCCGCTGAGATGCCTGTGATGTCCACCACTTTAATGAGCGGGTTCGTGGGCGTCTCCAAAAGGACCATGGTGGTCTTTTCTGAAAGAATTTCCTTCACTGCTGTCATGTTCGTGGTGTCCACGTGGTGCACAATGATTCCACCATTGGTCTTCAGATAGGTGAGCAGGCGGTTGGTGCCTCCGTAGAGATCATCACCTGTGACGACCTCATCGCCCGGCTTGAGCACTCGCGTGATGACATCCAGGGCGCCCATTCCAGAACCGGCGACCAGCGCACGGTTGGCGTTCATGATCTTTGCCAGGTGGCGCTCGAGATGCGTCCGCGTAGGGTTTCCACTCCGCGTGTAGTCATACTCTTGACCCGGTCCACCTTTGAAAGTGGCCGATTGGTAAATGGGCATGCTGCTGGCATTGTACTGGTCATTGGCTTCGGTGTAGACCAGCTCCGTGGCGAGAGCATACTTGCGCCCATTGGTCGGCGTGGAAGGTGCGGGCGACGGCGGCAAGATGTGCCCGTCGAGGTCGAGGCTCTTCAAGGCTTTGCCGACGGCTTCGGAAGGTCCAGCCATTGTGGATATGTGTTTGGCGGAGTGGTGGTGTTGCGATGTGCAATGTTAGGGAAAACAGGTGGTTTTTGAACAGGGCCAGAGACCTGTATACGCAGTTGCTACTTGGGTGGAATGATGGGCGACACTTGTGGACAGTCTCGCCTGAGGTGGTTTTTGGTAGGTAGAGAAGGTAGGATGTGAAGTTGAGATAGGTTGCGGAGAGATGAGGTAGAAGAACGGTTTACTTGTCGGCGACGAGATCTGGAAAGCAGCAAGATGACTGTTCGAAGCTTATCCGGCGCGTGAGCGGATGGTCAATTTTTCGTCAGGGCGCGGGGTTGCCCATTCTGTGTGGGTTTGTTGCCGGCTGGACGCGCCGCCACCGGCATCCGTGAGATGAGACATTGGTCCCCTCATTGCGCTGCATTGAGAAATGACGACGAGCACGCAATTCAATTGTGTGGAGTTTTCCAGGGTCCCGTGCTTTTCGCAGTCCGACGTGTTGATCTGAATATTTTGTGTACGATGGACCTGGGCAGTGCTGTCTGTACTGGATATCGCCAGCTCACGATGTTGACTCGCAAATCTAGATGCCGCTCTGAACAGCCTCTTGTGTGAACGACTCGCAATCACGGAGGCGTTGGTTCACTCCAAGGTCGCTTAAAGCAGTTTCTTTGTTATGCGTACCACATTTTCCAAGGACAGCCTTGGGCTGCTCCATGCGATTGTGCAAATTGGCATCAGATCATGCCAGGGGTTCTGCATTTTTGGGCCGAGGCTCACGTTTCAACAAGGATGGCTGAAGCATTGAGGTGTGAGTATTTGATCAACTCAATCGAGACGAGTGTACAAGAAAAGGTTGTGTTTCTGTCATTGCCCAGGTGAGTCTGAGTAATAAGACTCCGAATCGTATGCGCTGTAGTTCTGGTTTTCGAACACCGGGACTCCTGGGGCAACTGCGTTGGTCGTGTCGCGTGCTTCTCCAACCGAGAGTGTAACAAGGAGAGTTATTTATTCATTGCTACTTATTGGAATGACATGGCCGGGTCATTTAGTCTGCTGTAGTTCGATGAGTATTGAGCATCCCATCTCATCAATCTCAAAACATCCCTGGAAGGATGGGATCTCGATATGTGATACCAATCCAATGTGCCAAACTGAAGACTCGACAACGAATGATGTCAACCCTAAGATGCCCAAAGGCCGGGGCCCCACCGGGACCGGGACACCGAGGGAAGATCCGGCTACGCCAGGGACCTGCGGATGATGTATAACGTTGATCACCGGCAACCTTGGAGATAATCAGTAATCAGTCTCTCATCAGTGAACACCTGGGCAACAAAACATCTGCGCCCCGGCCTCTGGCACAGGACTGTACAGGTAGGGTTGGTATGAGTAGGATATAGGTGCTGCCGTTATTATATGCTACAGTGGTATGTGTCGGCATCTCGTCCTCCTCGGCGGATGACGAGCTCACGTGCCCGACGGCGCCGAGGAGAATACGGAGATGGGACCGTCCGCCGGGACGAATGGGGAATTCTGGGGGATAAATTGATTATCATGTGGAGAGAGACACCTGGGCACCTGGGCAGTGACGAGACTGTGAGAGCGACCAGAACATCCAATGTGGATAAGAGTCCGGCCTCAGCATGTGAAAGTCTGCGACAGCCCACAGGCCCTTTTTTGTGTCTCCAAAGTCCAAATTGTGCTTGTCAGCCGAGCTTCCGACCGTGGTACTGGACCGGACTGGACTGAATTGAACTGAACTGCGCGGCACGGCACCACACAACCAGTCAAATGCTCGTCGCTGGTGGTTGTCATCCACATGGCGACTGTCTCATGCGGGCGCCCACTGCAATAGAGTAAGAAGTGAAGTAAGGGAAATAATTCATACGATTCATACGAGGGGCAGGAAATTGGCATTGGTCTTGACGGACATCCGCGGCAGAGAGAGGGAGAGAGAGAATGTGGGGATCATCAATGCGGTGCGCTAGTATTTCCACGCACTCCTCCTGTCGATGCCCGTCTAGGCCTGTCAAGATGGACGTTTTTGTTTGCGATGGACTCGACTTCAGCCTGGAGATCTCGAGGATGAGGCTGCAAGACAAAGGCGATGTACGACCTGCCGCGTGTTGTGTGTGCGTGTGTGTGTGCGTGTGCCGATGACAGTCCTGCACAGGACGTACTGTAAGTCCATCGTCATGGAACCCGAGCTGTCTCGAATCCCCGAGCCCTACAGGGATGCAGTGTGTGGTGCTGCGTACATCTCAAGCATGTGACAGCCGGTGACTCCCAGACCAGACGCATTCCACCACCAGTGCACACACCTGGGCAGTTCTGGGGTCATGTGTTCATCGGCCTTCCACCGATCCTCCTCCCTGTGGAGCCGCACGTACTGCACATGGTTCACAACAAAGTACTGTACGACTGTGGGATGACCGATACCTCTTCGACGGATGTATGCACCGAGATATGGTGGATTTGGATCTGCGGTATAGGCAGGTGTGTATGCGCCGGGCGCTCATCAATGGGAGCGTGCCTCCTCGTCGTCCTCATTACAAGTGATGAATGATGAGACAGAAGTAAATAAAATGATCTCATCACTCGAGAGACTGGGGAAGCGTGATTAGGGTACAACCTTGGGAACGAACTTTGGAAAGAATGCGACGAGCATAGACCAGCTGATCTCGCCCTCGCCCTCGCCCTCGCCCTCGCTCTCTCACACACTGGGCAGCCAGCCGATTCAGCTTTGCCGAGGCTCACACACCCACTTTTCATACTACTGACGCTGTTTGCCCGTGTGCTGAAGCCGCGCGCCGACACGAAACAGCCGAACGAGTCGTAGATGCCCGTCCTCCAAGGCTCTTTTTTTATCGTCGTCCTGGGATACATACTAGTAGGTGGAGCGCTTCGGCCGAACACTGATAATAATCATCATCCTCTTCCTCTCCTCCTCCCGTTTCCTTCTTTTTCACGCATCCTCAACGGACCTCTCTCATCAGTGTGTCCATCTCCCCACATCACATCACATCCATCATGAGTGAGAGTCTTCGCTACGACGGCCAGACCGTCGTCGTCACCGGCGCCGGCGGTGGTCTTGGTCGCGCATATGCCCTCTTCTTCGGTAGCAGAGGAGCCAACGTCGTCGTCAACGACCTTGGAGGAAGCTTCAAGGGCGAGGGTGGTGACAGCAAGGTGAGCCGCTAACCCCGCGCTGATGAACTTCTTCATCCTTGCAGCGTACTGACCGGAGTTGCTTCCATTTCGCTTAGGCCGCCGATGTTGTCGTCAACGAGATCAAAAAGGCCGGCGGAAACGCCGTTGCCAACTACAACTCCGTCGAGGATGGTGACAAGATCATCCAAACCGCCATTGACGCCTTCGGCCGCGTTGATGTGCTCATCAACAACGCCGGTATCCTCCGGGATATCAGCTTCAAGAACATGAAAGATCAGGACTGGGACCTGATCATGAAGGTTCACGTTGTCGGTGCTTACAAGTGCGCGCGCGCCGCATGGCCTCACTTCCGGAAACAGAAGTACGGTCGTGTCATCAACACCGCCTCCGCAGCCGGTCTTTTCGGTGCTTTCGGCCAGACCAACTACTCTGCTGCCAAGCTTGCCCAGGTCGGTTTCACCGAGACCTTGGCCAAGGAGGGAGCCAAATACAACATTCTCTGCAACGTCATTGCGCCCATTGCCGCCTCCCGCATGACCGAGACCGTCCTTCCCAAGGAGGTCCTCGACAACCTCAAGCCCGACTGGGTCGTGCCTCTCGTGGCCTACCTGGTCCACAAGGACAACCAGGAGAACGGTTCCATCTTCGAAGTTGGTGGTGGTCACATTGCTAAGCTCCGATGGGAGCGATCAAAGGGTGCCCTCCTCAAGGCCGACGCCTCATTCACCCCTGCTGCTTTGATTGAGAAGTGGGCCGATGTTGAGAACTTCAGCGAGGCTCAATACCCTACTGGACCCAACGACTTCATGGCTCTCCTCGAGGAGGCCCAGAAGCTGCCCGCCAACCCTACTCCCGCGCCCGTCAGCTTCAAGGGCCGCGTCGCCGTCGTCACTGGTGGTGGTGCTGGTCTCGGCCGCGCGTACTGCTTGCAATTCGCCAAATACGGCGCCAAGGTCGTCGTGAACGACTTGGCTGACCCCAGCAAGGTCGTGGCCGAGATTGAGCAGCTCGGCGGCCAGGCCGTCGGTGTCAAGTGCAGCGCCGAGGACGGTGATGCTATCGTCAAGGCCGCCCTCGACGCATACGGTCGCCTCGACATTCTCGTCAACAACGCCGGTATCTTGCGCGATAAGTCTTTCCACAACATGGATGACAAGCAATTCCACCAGGTTCTGGACGTCCACCTTCGTGGTACCTACAAGGCCACCAAGGCCGCCTGGCCCGTCTTCCTGAAGCAAAAGTACGGCCGCGTCGTCAACACCACCTCCACCTCCGGTATCTACGGTAACTTCGGTCAGGCAAACTACGCCGCGGCCAAGTGCGGTATCCTCGGTTTCTCCCGTGCTCTCGCCCGTGAGGGTGCCAAGAACAACATCTACGTCAACACCATCGCCCCCAACGCCGGTACCGCCATGACTGCCACCATCATGCCCGAGGAGATGGTTCAGGCCTTCAAGCCCGACTACGTCGTGCCTGTTGTTCTCGTCATGTGCTCCGACAACATGCCCGGTGAGCCCACCGGTCGCCTTTTCGAGAGTGGTTCCGGGTGGGTCGGTGAGACCCGATGGCAACGAACCGCCGGTGCCCAGTTTCCTGTCAACATTCCCCTCACCCCCGAGGCCGTCCAAAAGGCTTTCCAGAAGATCATCACCTTTGACGAGAACTCCGACAACCCCGATGACCCGAGCTCCGGTACCGAGAAGATCATGTCCAACATGGGCAACATCGCCGAGGAAGAGCAGGGAGAAGAGGGAGAGCAAAACTACCTCAAGAACATCGAGAAGCTCAAGGGAACTGAGACCACGGATCCCTCGGAATTCTCATACGACGACCGGGATGTCATCCTGTACAACTTGGGTGTTGGTGCCAAGCGCACCGACCTTAAGTATGTGTTCGAGGGTGACGATGAATTCCAAGTCGTTCCCAGCTACGGTGTTATTCCCACCTTTGGCGCTCGCGCTGGTTTCGGATATGACGAGGTTGTCCCCAACTTCTCACCGATGATGCTCCTTCACGGCGAGCAGTACCTCGAGATCCGATCATTCCCCATCCCTACCGAGGCCACTCTCCTGTCATACCCCAAGCTCGTCGATGTTGTCGACAAGGGCAAATCTGCCGTTGTCACCACCGGCTCCCTCACCAAGGACAAGGCCACCGGCAAGGAGGTCTTCTACAACGAGACCACCGTCTTCATCCGTGGCTCCGGTGGCTTCGGCGGTGCCAACAAGGGCTCCGACCGCGGCAACGCTACCCGCGTCTACCAGCCCCCGAAGCGCAACCCCGACGCTGTCGTCGAGGCTCAGACCACCGAGGAGCAAGCCGCTGTCTACCGTCTGTCTGGTGACCGCAACCCTCTTCACATCGACCCCAACTTCAGCAAGGCTGGTGGATTCGACGTCCCGATCCTGCACGGTCTCTGCTCGTTCGGTTTCGCCGCACGCGCCATCGTCGAGAAGTACGGTCAATTCCGCAGCATCAAGGTCCGTTTCGCCGGCACCGTTCTCCCCGGCCAGACCCTCGTCACTGAGCTATGGAAGGAGGGCAACACCGTCTTCTTCCAGGTCAAGGTCAAGGAGACTGGCAAGTTTGCCATCTCTGGCGCTGGTGCCGAGCTCGTCGACGGTGGCAAGGCCAAGTTGTAGACGATGGAAATGAACGGATAGATGAGTGGGAAAAGTATGACTATGCTTGGGAATGCCTGTGTTTTTCTCTAATGTACCTTTTTGAAAATCTGTGCGCAGATTTATGTGTGTGTACCAATGCCATCATAAACCATTTCAACTTCACTTTGAACTTCAATTATCAACCTCGGAGATTTATTCGTTGTACATGCCTGAGGTGTTGATGTTATCAGGCGCGGAAGGGGCGTCCCCACGCCAAAAACGTGGCCACTCGAACCGGCGCCAAGCTTTCCGGGTTCGCCCCTCCTGCCTGCCTTTACAGGGTAACAACATCACTTTTGTTGTGAACATTGGATAACATTCCGACATTGCACGCCGAGGAAGCAATTGCGCTGCAATTTACAGTCTTCCAAGAATACATATACGTCAACCCACAATGGCTGCGCTCGCGCCGAAATCGGAGTCTCTTCGACTCTTTACGCAATTGAAGCGCAAGGAAGCGAATAAGATCTGTTTCGATTGCGGCGCCAAAAACCCGACATGGTCATCAGTACCGTTTGGAATCTACCTGTGCTTGGATTGTTCAGCAAACCACCGGAACTTGGGTGTACACATCAGTTTCGTGCGGAGTACAAACCTCGATCGTACGCGATGTGGCGATCCTCACACACGAGTACACCGCGCTGACCGCTTCTAGAATGGCAATGGGATCAATTACGTCGCATGAAAGTAGGCGGCAACGAGTCGGCCACGAAATACTTTCAATCCAACGGTGGAAGCGCTGCACTCAACAGCAAGGATTCCAAAACGAAATACACCTCCAACGCCGCGAATAAATACAAGGACGAACTTGCTCGGAGAGTCGAGGCCGATCGCAAAAAGAATCCTGACGAGGTTATCATCGAAGACGCAGCAGATGCGGAGGAGGCAACATCGGCGGGAGCAGCAGGAGGTGACGATGATTTCTTCTCGAGCTGGGATAAGCCTGCAGTCAAGCGGCCTAGCAACCCACCTTCACGTACCGGCACCCCCGCGCAACGGACCGGAAGCCCCTTTCTGAACCCAGGAGCTACGAACGGACGGCCGAAATCACCACTCGTCGCCGGCGAGGGCACCGATGCAGCGCCCAAGGCCGCCCCCGCCGCGCGCAGCATCTCCACCACCGCCATCCGCAAAACCGCCGTCGTCGGCGGTGCTAGCAGCAAGCCCAAGCCAAACATCCTCGGCGCGAAAAAGACGAAACTCGGCGCGAAGAAGGTCGATGCGTCCGCGTTGGACTTTGACGAGGCGGAGAAGAAGGCCCGGGAGGAGGCGGAGCGGAAAGAACGGTTAGGATACGACCCCGACGAGGAAGCCCCGCCAGCCGCCAAATCGAGCGTCGTCGCTGCCGCGGTGACCTCCAGTGTGGCTGCGCCTACACCGGTGAGCCCCGGCGCCGGTCGCGATCGCAAGGACAGCGACGTGGAGCGATTGGGCATGGGCGTGCGGCGGTTGGGCTTCGGACAAGTCGGGGGAGGCGCCGGCGGTGCAGCCGCCGCTGCGCCCAAGAAGATGGGATTCGGCGCAGTTGCCAAGAAGCCCGTCGTCGAGGGTGAGTTCCCGTCATTCATCCTTTTCCCCTACCTCAGCACGACCAGCTAACACGATCAATCCCAGATGCATCCGAACAATACGCCCGCGCCAAATTCGGCACGCAGAAGGGCATCTCCTCGGACGAATTCTTCGGCCGCAACGCCTACGACTCCAACGCGCAGTCCGAAGCCAAGGCCCGCCTCGAGGGCTTCAGCGGCGCCACCGCCATCTCCAGCAATGCCTACTTCGGCCGGCCCGAGGACGAGGGCGGCGAAGCCGGCGGCGCAGGAGGCGACTACGGGGACATTGAGACCGCGGCCAAAGATTTCGTGCGCCAGTTTGGGATGACGGCCGGGGATGACATTGAGAACCTGAGCAATCTCCTCGGCGAGGGAGCGAGTAAATTGGGCGACGCCGTGCGGTCGTATATGAACAGTTAGATTGGATCGTGGCGCATTCATTGCGTTGGGAACAGTCCGGCATCTTCGCTTCTATTTACTTGATTAATCCACAAGGGCGTAAACCAATCTCGCAAGTCACAATATTAATGCTTTGATGAAATCAACATCGCCTTGACGTTCACGATCAAATCTCTCCAAAGAGGAAGAAGTCGTCATCTCCGAAAGCAAAATTCTCCTTGATGCTGCAGTCATTCCTGTTCAGCACGCTCATCTCACTCGAGCCGGATGCGAGAGATCCAGCGTTTTGTACACCTGAGCTTGGAAAGCATAGTTCGATATGCACGAGATGGCAGCAGTCAGCCTGAACGGCGCAGGCCGGGGTGCGCGGAGCAGCGGCTTGCAGTATCATCAGAGGACTGATGTCGACCGTTGAAAATCTCGTAGAGAAGACCCACATGCCAACACCACCAGATCATCACCCGTCGCGCTTTTGTCCATGTCACTGAGCATTGCATGGGATCGCGGGCTGAACAGCACGCTTGATCATCCTCCCAACATCAGCCATCTATCGGCGTAATGAACGCCAAAAGACGTCACGCAAGCCAGAGCACCCCGTAAGGTCAGGTGAGGAAGGCCACTCGCCGCAGCCCTGGAGGGTTTCCATCCACAGGACCGTCTACTTCTATCCATGGCTTCAGCGCACTCAATAACGCAATCAATGTTCATCACGGCAAGTTCAGTCTAGCTGTAGATCTGATCATCGAGCCTGGCGGCCAGCTGTAATTAATGGAGACACAGTGAGATGTGGAGGCTGCCCATGAACGATCAGGCGATCAAGCGCGAGGGCAATATAGGAAGAGACGAGATGGATGGCCGACATATCGTTGGGCATCATCGTATACGTCGCACTGTCACGCAATAGCTCGAGGGAATGAGAGATGGAGTCCGTCCGGGTGGTGAGATAATTGCCCTGATTCGTGGATCATGCATATCCGAACCTCGACATCGGAACTCTCTCCTTTGAAGGGTCCGGCATTCTCGGTGGCTGTCCGAGCAATGGATATCGTGAGGGAGGTGAAGAGGCTGCCCAAGGTCTTGACACATCATTGGCTCAACAGGATAATGCTTCACGGAGATTGATGGGTATGGTTGATTTGGATACTATCTCCACATCATGCTTGAATGAGCATCGCAAGTCACAAGCAAAGTAGTTCAGAACCATCGTGCCTCTATTTCAACGCACACCTATTCAGGCCGGCTCGATACCAAACGCACCAGGTACATTCTTACAGAATCTGTCTTAAGTAGTTTGGGCATCTTCAACGTCGTGGATAACATGAACGACGTTCGTCCTTTCCTTGATATTGTTGCCGCGTCACGAGCCAGGATGTCGGGTGCATCGGCTTTGTAAATGGATATGGTGGCGAAAATGTTCGCCGCATTTTGGAGAGAGAGTTCGGCAACTTGATTGTATCGCGCGATCATGATCTAAGAGCAATGCGGGCGATTGTGCCGCGGAAGGGCGCCTCCCTCACGTGTCACGGATTGTACACAGTCAACGACGAATCGCAACTTTGCAAGCCTTTCATCATCAACCAAGACGAAGTATTCTTCTCCAAGGAGTATCGTGGCGATGATATTCCCAAAAAGGCCAATCGTAGGACCGCCACGCGAAATCGTGTCATGCTGGACCTTGTGGGTGGCAAGAAATCGACGGCAGCGAATAATGAGCGCATGCTCTCCGAGAAGGCCGTACGCGACGCCAACATGGCTATCGATTCGTTCGAGGAGAGAAAGAGGTTGATCATGCAACATGGAGCCGCATACGAATTGACGGGAGATGTCAAACATTTACGACAAATGAAGTCGATCTTGGAAAAGCTCGATCCATCTTTGCAAGAGCTTACGCCTGCTACTCATCACATGTTTCTTCTGCTCGAAGGTCATCATGTCCTTACAGAGGAAGAGTGCAAAGCAACGCAAGCGGAAATCGCCAAAAAGTGGCCAGAAATTGTTGATACTTGCGGCAAGTTCTGCACCAGACTCACGCCAGAGATCCCGCGATTTTTCATTTTTCGCCGAATCATTTCCGTATAGCCTCTCTCGAAAACGGACATCCGACCGTCTAGCAACTTGCGTACACGTCGGCGCTTATAGCATACGTCAACTATTCGGATTTTTGCTTCAAAAGCTCCAAGGTTGTCGATGAAATATGATATTAGTCATCGGAGTAACAAGCGATGGATGAGTCATCGGAGCAACGAAGCATCGGATTAGTCAGTAGAATGCTTCGTCCGATCACCGATTCCTATATCAAGTCCAATAGGGGCAGATCTTGCAGAAGATGATGCTCTTGCCACACAAATGACACCAGACACGGCCGTCGACGGCGCAAGTGCGATTAGCTCCTTCGAATGTGAAAGAAGCATAACACAAGTTTGATCGCACTTTGAGACGTTGAAGATGCGGAAAGTTTTACATCCCATCTCGTCCCAGATTACCCTTCCATGATCTCATCAACATCCTCGTTGCTGGCCATCGCCCCGTCGGGTTTCACTCCACCAGATTCGATTCTCCCACCGTTCGTGCTATCGTCCACATCCATGGCGTCGTCACCACCTCCCTCGACACCAACGTGCTCTCCAACCTCCGTGTCATTCGCGAGATCAGCCCAGAATTGTGCTCTCTGATTGAGCTGCTTACAAATCGGAGCGAAGACTTCATCGATCAAGCCCGCCAGAATCGCAACCATGTTTGATGCGAGGCCATAGCGTCCATTTTCGTTGGCAGTTTGCCCGTGTTGCGACCACAGATCAGCAGAGGTGGGGATGGTATTAGAGAACACAGAAAGCTTATCTTTGACCATGTCAGCAAACCCACCAAACCGCCCTGAAGCAATATGCCCGGCACGCGCAACAGGACGCTGCGTCTTTTGCAAAACAATTCCGCGTTTGGCGTCCCACTCTAGCTTACTTCTGCGACGACCCTGGCATCTTTCAATGAAAAATGTGGCCAGTGTTCTTTCGACTCCTAGCTTCTTGCACCGGGAAGTCTCTCGACGTGATCAGGGATGCCACAATCGTCTCAGTCACATCGTCCGGTTGCGGATTGGCGTTGGTGTCAAATTCGTTGTCGTCGATGTAAGATAAGACAGCTTGGCTGATAGCGGACTTTTCGTCGGAACCGAAGTCATATGACCATTGACGCACTCGTTTCTGTGAGCGTACCTTCTTCCACTTCGTGTACTTCGTGAGGAAACCGGGCAAGGCGTTTTTGGATGATAACGACTTCTGTCTCGAATTGCTGCTTGATAGGTGCATCTTATGACCGTGGCGCTTGGATCGCGGTGACGATGATAGTGTTGAATGGGGAGAAAAGTGGTGCAGACTTTTGGAGCATCTTTACCGTGACCGCCCATTATAGAGCAAACGAGCCGTGAAAATTAAACAGCGTTCTCCATGCTCGAGGTTGTGGGACATTCTTCGATTCGTTTCGCGGGCGCGACGGTGATCCGGCTAGATTGGCAATGGGCCTCAAAGAATCTTACAGGGGATCAAAGGCAAGTAGCTCGTCATCGTTTTCCGTAGTTCATGTCTTCATGTGTGTGACAAGCACTGTCGAGGGAGTCGACTGATTCCTCGGCGACCATACATGACAGCAAATTTTATGCTTTGTCCGGGCGCTGTCATATTGGCGACTGAAAGAGGAAATTTCGAGCAATCTTGTGTCTTGTGGTGCTCGGGTGAGTGACAATGGGCGTGCTGAGATGGTAGCGTGGAGCAATCAGGTGAATGTAGAGAGGGTCATTTCAACCCAGGTCGATGGGGAGGTACTATCTAGTAATCTGACAGTTTGACGGAGTTCGGTTCCCACACGCCATTAGCGCCGTCGTACATAAGTTACTAGGCATCCCGACGTCCATTCCGAGGCCATGTGCCGAGTATCCCGTCAAAAAATGTACATCGCGAAACACTTCCGTCAAAACCAATTCCATGACCCAAAAACGGCAAAAGGTCGACCCCGGTGGGACTCGAACCCACAGCCTCCCGCTAATTCGGTAATGTGGGTTCGAGTCCCACCCGAAGCGACCTCCGTGTAGGAGGCGGACGCGCTACCATTGCGCCACGAAGCCGATGAAATTTGGGGTTCTGAACAACAACCAAAGGGTATGCAAAAGTCGAGACACACGGTACATCTAGGCTGCACAAAGGTGCTGAGCACTGGTGCCTGATGGTTCGGAATTTGGCACTTTGTGTCACTTTGTGTCGCGGGTCGCCCGCATGTGTGGTTCTCTGGTGAGCCGGAACTGCACACGTCAGTGGTCTGGACGTCCAGTGGTCTGGTTCGTTGGTCGAAAGGTAGATGAATTGTGACCATGATGCTGATGGAAAAGAGAGAGCTGATCCAAGTGACGTCTGTAAATTGATTCCCTTACAGGGTCCAGGGAGGATCTACCCTAGGGTTATGAGAAGGTGAAATCACACGGCCACATCATTCCAAGGTTGACTTTGAACGAGCTTCTGGTCGCTCTTTTCCCACATGCCCAGGTGCTGTTGACTCATCCCAATTCATTGACTCTGCTGAGTAATGACTTGATCGGTCTATCTGGTGCCTGTCGTTACAAAACACGTGTTGCCATGCTTTGCAAGCTGAAGGACTGTCTTGTCGATCGCGATATACTAAGTACCTAGGTAATCGTCAAACGATTACAGAAACGAAATTAGAATGAAGGTATGAACTCGGTAACCGCCGAAGAAAGGTCGTGTTAAAGACAGGAATTAGTCGTAGGAGATAGATAAAGCTCTCATCTTCATCTCCAAAATATCAACACCATACATATGTGAAGTGACGTTCAAGAATGATCGAATTCTCGTCATCTTTATCCTTTACCACCACAAAGACATTCCTCACATTGTGCATGTAAAAACCAACCTCTCCCCTTTCCGTTGCTCCACTTCCCGCGCTCCAAGAACTCCACATGCGCCCATCACGCCTCACGCTTTCTTCGCCGTCCGATACAACTCTCCTGCACAACCTCGAAGCCTTTTCGCCGCTTGCTCCGGCGTGATGTCGCGCTGCGGCTCGGCCATCATTTCATATCCGACGAGGAACTTTCGCACAGTGGCGCTGCGGAGAAGAGGCGGGTAGAAGTGCATGTGGAAGTGAGAAGCTTCGTATTCCTCCTCGGTGCCGGTGAGCGGAGCTTGAATGATGCCCATGCCTAGAGCGAGTTGTGTATGTCAGCAGAAAGCACCACAGTGGAGAGATGAGGATGCCCAGCTTTCGAATGCGAACAAGGTCAAACGAGATGAATAACTTACTGTAAGGAAAGTTCGTTTCGAAGAGATTGTCATATCGTCTCGTCACCTCCGTGATACACTCTGCCAGCGCTTGTCGCTCCTCCGATGTAAAGTCAACGAGAGCACGTTTGTGTTTCTTGGAGACGACTAGAATTTCAAACGGCCACACCGCCCACCACGGACAGCCAGCCCAGAAGCTTGCATTCTCAAAAACGGTTCGCTCACCCTTTTCGTTTTCGAGCTTGGCATAGTCCTCGAGGAGATGGGCACCGTTGTGAGCTTTGCGGTATTCGATCAGATTCGCTAGAGCGAGGGCAGGCTCTTCTGGAAGGGAGGTCGTAGTCCAGACTTGCCCATGCGGGTGTGGATTCGAGCAGCCCATCGCGCTGCCCTTGTTCTCGAATATTTGCATGTACCGATATTGTTCACAAGGTCGATCGACGCTTGGCAGGTCGTACTGTTGCTCCGTTTTGTTGATCTGAGCAGCTTGATAGAGGGAAGATTGCGGATCGAGATGAGCGGTGTAGATGGTTGTCCATGTATTGATCACCGGAAGAATGGCTTGAGGAGACATGTCTGCCAGAGTGAGGTTGTGTTTGGGAGAAAAGGCAAGAACGTAACAATTTCCTTTTGTGCCCTCAGCTTTGAGGAATCTTGACGCCAATGCTATTGATTGTGAGCAGTTTGTACATCGATCAGAGGTTAGTAGAGTACATACAATTCTCCTCTTCTGGAGAATGGTAATCGGCTTGTTCTTCCTTCACAGCCGAATAATCATTGACAAACATGAAGGTGTTTTCATATTTTGGATTTGAGTCGCCCTGCGCACGTTGATTGCCGGGGCATAGATAGCACTATTTGGGCGATCAATAATGCATTCGCGGTGCTTTATGATCGGAAAAGGACTACCTTTGGATCGTACTCGGGCATTTCATTCTTGAAAGCATCTTCTTGTTGACCTTGCCAAGGTCGCTTAGTTCGATGAGGAGAAACTAGTACCCATGATCCGCGAAGTGGATTAAACCGTCGATGAGAGATATCGTCAAGAATTGCGTCAGGCATCGTTTCGAAAGACTATTGAAAGAATGTAAGAAGTAGTTTGAAGCAGGGGACAAATTACTGGGAATCAGATGTTGCTGCTCGTTGGAGCGAATTGAATGATCGAAAGGTTCGAAAACCTGTTGATATATAACCATCTGCATGCTTGTAGAACCAATCCACAAGATGTCGATGAGGTTGTGAATTCAACCATTTCGGATAGTGGAGGAGCCCGAATTTAGCATTGCAACATTGGAGATCGTCAATGACTTACGACTCAACTTCTTCCGCGAATCACAATTGGCCCTTCGACAATATGATTCTCTTCGATCTCGTGTGAGCTAAATGTCCAATGTAGTCAAATCGTGATGATAGAGAGTATCAACACAGCCATCGAGCTGCATTTCCGTGATGACGTTGGGCTTCAGTATGAGGCGTATCGAGGGCTACGAAGCCCAAAGCCTCAGGCAGGATATCGGACTCAGGACAATGTCTGCCTGCCCAGGTGTTGGCATCTGGAAACCTTACACACAACTTCACAGCGGGGCATATGATTCTTCAATTTTCACCTGGGCATCCTTACGATGTTCCTCTCGTACGTTATTCCACAGATGTCGACTTCCTCCAAAGTCGCACCCGGTATCCGCCACCGTCTTCATCGGAATGTGGAGAAATCATCAATCGAGGGCAAAAGAAGTGGAGGCGAAGAAGAATCCATCAAAGAGATATTGAAGTAGATCTTCTTTCGTCCGGCTGTACCTGCAGGTCTAGGGCGGACGGATAATTCGCCACGTTCCACAGGCTCAATTGTCTTTGGTCGATGGTCATTGAGCAGGGGAAATTTCGTCCCGGTCACGAGAAGAGATTTGAGCAGCTCTTCAACAGGCTGAATTGAACATACGGAATCAGGCATGGTGTGTTTGCAGATGCGACGATATGCTTTCATGAAAGTTTATGTACATATAATTACTACAGGCAGAAGAGTATCGTAGTATGCTGGGCTAGAATGGAGCAGTGCGAGAGCGAATGATCCCATGTCATCGCGTAGCGAATATACTGTGCAGACTCGTACGTCATGACAGAACCATGGGCTCAGTAGCGACTTCATTCACGAGAGGAGGCTGAACGATAGGAACAGCAGCAGCTGCCTCGCCAGGAGCATCGGGAGCAACCTCGACAGTAGGTGGAGCTGTGTTAGCATCCGGGATTTGTATCCCAGTCTCCAGAGGTGCTGGCGGGGCAGATAGCTGTTGTTGTTGTTGCTGCTGCTGCTGTTCTTCAGTGACAAGCTCTCGCCGAATCCGTACTGCATCCGAGTCCCACTTGGCGACATCAATATCCCACTGCTTGCGAAGGGAATCTGCTTGTGCTTGAGCAGCCTGGCTCTGGGCGATAAATGGTCGCTTGTCCTCTTCAGAAGCTGCCTTCCACCATTTCCCGATCGTCTGACGAATCATGTCACGACTGGCAGGCGCAGAAGAAGCGTGATTGCTTTTGCTAGGTGAATTGGCGGCAGGAGATCCATTGGTATCGGTACGGTTGCAAAAAGCCTTGCATTCTTCCCATTTCTCCTTGGTGAAGATTAGGAACGGGTTGACACCAGGCCTGCTAGGCCGTAGTGGACGCTCGCCGATTCGTGAGTAAATCTTGGCAGTGATGGTCGCCTCACGGTCAGAGGCAGAGTAAGCCTTTAAAGTGTTGGAGGATGTAAGTGATGACCAAAATGATGGATCAGAGGGGCAGACACTTTGCGCTGGTGGCCCAGCTGGTTGAAGAACGAAGTGTGGACGAGAAGGTCTTGTGGCGGGAGTAATGCCAGAAAGAGGAGTTGTGGCGCAAGATTCTTGTTTGATGTATGGCTGGGTAGGCGTGGCATAAAATCCGCTGTTCGTTTCTACTGATATCGAAGGACGTCCTCTGCTGCTAGATGGTGTCAACTTTGATAGCGAAGTGCCATTGGTAGTTTCCTGCTTGATCATCACCGCGTCGACCAGTGGCTCAGGCACATCGACAGGTCCGATCATAGCTTCAACAACATCAGAAGCCACACGCAGGCCAGATAACAAGGCGCCGTGCACAGTCGCAGGATGAGTGCCACAGGTCGCTTCACCAGCGAAATGCAGATTCCCCACGGGCCTGGCCATTGTATCATAGTCGCTTGGTAATGTATCCCGTGCGACGTAAGAGTAGGTGCCTCTTGTGAAGCGATCCCGACGCCAGCGAGTGACGATCACTTCGATCGGCTTCGGTACTTTCGGTCCAAATACACCTCTTAGTCGATCTGTGACTTCATCCATGAGAGTTTCTGTCCCGGTATATTCTGCATCGTATGCTGCATGACCCGCCATCAGAGCAATAAGCATGGGACGACCGCTGGTCTTGCTTGCATTCCAAATTAGATAGAATCGGCCGCGTTTGTTCTCGTAGTCCCTGGGATCCAAACTTCCAGACTTCTCCGGTTCATTCAGTAGACCGAACATGTCGCGGTTTTCATCCCAAAACGATTCTTCGTAAAGCAAGATGACCTGGAATGGCAAATAAGCATAGTACCTGTTGGTTTCGTGGAAGGACAAACCTTGTTGAGCAGACCAAACCCCATCCGGTCAATGGCATCTTGCTTCCAGCTAGGCAAGGGCGGATCAAAATCCACAGCATCGCCTTTCAACACGCCCAGAGGGACTGTCATCACGATTTCATCTGCCTCAAAGATCTCACCATTTGTGCAAACCACCTTGGTCGTGACTGGCTCGTTGCTGGGATGGCGATCATCATAATGAATGCTCTCCACGATGTGACCAAATCTGACATCGAGCTTTGTTGGAAGGTTCATCAGTCCACACGGAACCTGGGTGTACCCTCCTATTATTTCCGAATGAGCGCCCTCGAATTCATTTCCCGTATCTTGATCATGACCGCTGAGACTCAGTGATGTCACAGGTGCCGCATTTGCATATTCCAGATTTGCATGGTGCCAATTCAAAAGTCGCATATCCGTTGGTGTCACATTTATCAGACTTTGATATTGCACAATGGCTTCGTCCATGACAGATCCCAGAGTGGGATGTGCGCTGGCGCTGGCGACTTGTTGTAATGAAACGCTCTGATTCTTGGCGACGCCTTCTCTGATCTGCCATCCCATGCTCTTTGCCGCTCGTGCAGCGCTGTATCTTACACCTTCGCCTTCGATAACTTCACTCCTTCCTGTCAGCTTTTCGGTACCAGGCGGTGCATTTCTTCGTCGACCTCGTCTTGCTGCTGGCTGATGTGATTTGATCTGACCAGCTAATAATGGTTCTAGCTGGGTTGCTGCAAATCCGTCAGGCGCCGGGTCTCGTCCGCGATTGATAAGATCTTCGTCCCCTAGCGCAGTGAGCTTCTTTTGCGAAACGGCTCGGAACTCCCCAGCCCGATCTGAAATATCCGTATACAATTCGGTGTTGAGCATGTCCGCATGTTCGTCAACAGGCTTGCCGTCGCAGTCGTATATCGTGAGCGAATCGCGCATGAGGTGATATCGTACTCCGAGTTGAGCTCTAATAATCGTATCGAGTGGGTTACCGTGCTCGAATCCAGTGACAATCATCGCACCCATCTCGGCAGTATTGAGCAGGCCATCCGGAAGGCTTCCGGTGACTTGACTCCGTAAGCGCTTCGAGTAAACTCGTCCACCGATACGTTCCCTGCCTTCCAAGACCACTACTCGTGGAGGAAGCTCTCCTCGAGCTGCCCATTTACCAGCCTCTTGTGCGAACACGCCCTCCAATTGTCGAGCTGAGGTCAAACCAGAAACACCAGCCCCTATGACAACCACCGTCCGTTGTCTTGCATCTTTACCAAGCGGCTTTGTTGGCTCCTTTGGGACTTCCACGCAGCCGAAATTGATATAACCATTTCGTACCAGCCAACGATGTGCCACGCTCGCAAGACCAAAAAATCGAGTCTCTTTTGCACAGCCGGCAGCCTCATCAGCCGTCACACTACAGAGCGAGTTTTGTTTCCATAATCGCAGAATTCTGTTGCGGATGTTGAGGTAGATAGTGACCTCCTTCGGCGAGAGAGCGTGGCCTATCGATTTGTGCTCGCCTGGATGTAGCGCATATGGATTCAAGCGGGAACCATGAGCGGCTTCGATACACTGGCTAGCGAGGACGTCTGCAGAAATTTGTGAAGGAATGGAAGAGCGTGGCCGGACTTGAGATTTCTGTATCGTGGTGCCCGAGCTACGAGCTGTTCTGGGCGATTTAGTACTTTGAACCGTTGACACTGTGCCAGGCGGTCTAATCTTTGGTGGTCGACCGCGCTTTTTGGGAGCCGGCTGAGGAGTTGCAATGCCTTTCGTAGGCGAGGTAATTTCGCTCGACGGTATTTGAGGTGAGGCGATTTTAAGCGGTTCAGATAGAAGAGGTTTAAAACTTCCATCCGAAGATCGCTTTCTGGATAATGTGGCGACTTTAAATTTTCCATTAGTGAGTTCGTCCGCAGCAACTGATGAACTCATAGACGACAGGCCTGTGCTATTCCCAGATCTGGGAGCACATATTGGGGAAAAACTGCCATCGATGATATTTCCTCGCCAATCTTCCGCATCTGTATGAACCCGATCAAGAACTTCCGTTCCATTTGATGAAGACGTGTTGTCATCGTCATCATGTCCTGATGTAGCATTGACGATATCTTCATTTTTGTCCACAATCGTCGCAGCGGGCACAGTGAAAGTCTGTTGCGCCACGGCCGGTACAGTATCCGCCATTTTGATGGTTGTCGGCAAACGCCTTTTTCAGATCGAAGTTTTCATGAGGAATATCGATGTTGTCCTGCCATAATTGTCGCCACGGCTGCTGCGCAAAATGCGTGATATTGGCTGATAGGTGATCCGAGGAAGTGGCAGATGGCTCGCCGCTTTGGGAAAGGGTCTGCCGAAGTCCCAGCGAGACGGGAGGCGGAGACGTATCTACGTCGAAATGTCTTGTAAAGCTTCCAATTTATCGAGTTGACAATGCTTGATCAAGTAGTAGACCAAAGCGTCGCAGCGACGAAATCGATGAGGCCGAAGGAATCTCGATGGCAATTCCGCTGACGCATCTATTGTCCCCTGCTGTGGCGGAGGAAGATCGACTGCAATTCCCCACTCGGCCTTCCTCTTTCGGCAAGTTTGGCCAACCTCATCTCATAATTGTCGTCCTCTGCAAGACATTCAACAAACACAGAGCACTTGCACACCATTTCTACTCGATGCGCGGGCACCTGGCGGGCAAAGAACACTCTACCGATTCGCATGTCGCCCGATAAGAGATCTCTTGAATCAGAAGCACGATTATGGATAAATTGGGAATTACACGTTTCGTCACAGGGGAACCTGTTCCACATATGATAGCTATTATAAAAGCATCCACCGAGGGTCATCTTTCTTATCAGAAAATGCAGTTGAGTTTATGTCGCATGATGAGAAAGAGCTGTATAGAAGACCGTTTTTGGAAAATTGAGATGAGTCGCAATAGCGAAACTTTTGAGCGTATTATGTCAATCCTCATCGCTATTACTATCTGTTTCTGGCTCCTTCAACGGCATTGGCAGCAATCCTGAAGCTCCAAATCCATGTCTAGCCGCGCCAAACCCCAGACCAACGAACCCACCAGCTGCCTCATCCTCATCCTCATCCTCTTCATGTCCATCCGCAGCGGAATCTTGGCGCATGATTCGACTCTCTTCCACATTGCTATCCGTCGCTTCTGAAATCCCAGCAATAGCTTTTAATTTGTCCCCTGCCTGTTCGTCGCTGGCGATTCCTTGCTCTTTCCGCAGAGCTTCAAATTTTGCCGCTGTGTCCTTCAGAGCCTGCTGGATGCGCACCTCCTCTTCGGCGAGATGGATTCTCTCCTGCTGTATAGCTTCCATGTCCTTGAGCCCCTGTGCGTGAAGACTTTGCATATCGCTTAATTGTTTTCTGATGCGCTCAATGACGCTGTCCAAGGTAGGAATGGGGGTGATGTATGGGGGCGTTCGAGGTCGGGCATCATCTTGTACGGATGAACCGTGGGTTCGAGCGTAAGTTCCGTGTCGAGTCTGTGCGGCTTCGTACGCAACAATGCGTTCACGTTCGCTGTCATCTGATTCCGAATCTGAATGCGCCTCAGCCTCAGCAATTTGTTCCGACATCTCCTGCTTCTTGCGGCGAGTAGCTTCAGCTTCGGCCTGTCGACTTAAGGCTATTCGGCCATCCTCAGTGAACTCTTCAAAATTCTCCATGATGTCCTCATCATCTTGTACAAGGCGGCTCTCCGAAAGACCCCATTTGTCAAGCGGTTTTGGCTTCAGAATAAGATTACCGCTCTCGTCTCGTGTCATGTTCTCGTCTTCTTCTTCATCTAGACCAGGATCGTCAGGATCGAGTGATATAAATTCCTCGCTTTCCATAGCAAGCCTTGCGCGCCGGGCTTTCTTCTCAGCAATCTCGGCGGCGGAGGGTATTCCCAGGGGCTGATCATATCTTGCCAATGAAGAGCCAAACTTCGAGGATAAATCCAGAGCGCGATCGCTCTGCAGCGCGAGCGCCGAATCAACCTCATTGTGTTTCCCTTCATCTCGAGGTGTGCTAGGTGTGCTGTTCTTCAATTCCTGCAGCGATTCTGCGCTATAGTTCGGCCGTTCATCGTCATCGTCGCGTCGAAGAGGGAGGCTCGACGCCAATAATGAGCTACGTTTCGATGCATTGCGCTGAACAGCTACTTTGGCCAAATTCGACCGTTTGGGAGTCACGACCGCAGCGGGAGAATCATGTTCATCATCGTCCGTCAAAGCGTGGCCGAAGGAGGTGCGCAGTGAGCTCGATTTGCGTGATTTGAAATTCGGTCGCTTGACTGCGGAGCCTGCTCGGAGAAGCGCTGTCAGCGGACTGCGCGAGCTGAGTTTGAACGTCAGATGAGGTTTAATTTCATGCTGATCCACGTCATGTTGGACTTACCTGTATCTTGCAAATCAGACGAATCTTCTGCATCGTCGTCCAGTACAATTTTACGTGGAGTGGCACGCGCCGAAAAAGATTTTCTCATCGTGGAGTTAAGGCTTGAATGTAGTTTTCAATACATGCAGCGCATGGAAGTTGTCTGTGATGCGCTTCGACGAGTGCCAAACTTGGAAGACGCGCGAGCATGCGCTTGCTCGGTGACAGTGTGCGGGCCAACCCGCGACGTCACATCACGGATGACGGCGTGCTCAATCACTGTTTGCCCAGGTGGTTTTGCGTACTGAACATTACAGTGGTTACGAAAACGGAGATTACCATCACATTGCGCGGAGTTTGTACGGTCGCGAATATCCCACTTTTGTGGCAATGCGACGAGGCGACGAGGGCATTGACTTTGTCTTCCAAGGTTTCTAACGAAATCTCTCAAATTGCTAGCGGCTACAACAATGCCTGATCGAAGGCTTCAGCCACAGCTCGATACAGAACAAAAGGATCACTAGAGACTTCCGCGCGGCTCGCAACCAGGAGATCGCCTTGATGGGGAAAGAAGAGTTTCCACAAAGCCCGAGCCAGGCCTTTGTGAGGAACAAAATCTTCCGAAAACTCCTCGAGAACGCCTTCGAACCCAGCAACGTCCATGTCTCTACTTTTCCGAAGCGCGCATTCCTTGAAGCTTCCTCGAAACCACGCCCAGAGTTTGGAATCTGTTGGTGGCCATTGATTTCCCTTGCCGCATATTGCGGTCCATAGAAAACAGTAGAACAAGCTTTCGAGATCGGGTTTGTACGTATGTTTCTGAGCAAGTAGGACCCCGATTGCCATGAAAGGTCTTGTTCCGAATCGCGATCCTTCTTTTGGCTCGTCTTTGTCCAAGCGCTGGGCGACGTCGAGATCGATCAAGAAGCCTCTTGGACCATGGCCGTGCGGCGAAATGCTTATCATGATATTGTCCTTCGATACATCGCGATGCAGTATTTGGCCATCGAAATAGAGCGAATGATGGCCTTTCGCAATGTCACGAAAAGCCTCCAGGATTTCCGAGGACGACGTGTACTCTTGCATTGGCCGCCCAACCGGACTGATAGCTACGCAACAGAAGTTAGCATTGACTGAATTCACGTACTTATCACTTGGATTGGCCACGCTGAGCGTTGTCTGACGATCGATTGAAATATGTTCCTGGTAACAATTCAGTAAACTAACGCGTCAGGGCCTACCTTGCGAACCGCACACTTACTCCAAGGGACAGTACTCTGCAGTGGCTGAAGTCTAACCCGTGGCGTAGCTCATCAATGGAAGTAACGGAGAGATGGCCGAACAGACGCACAACACCCCAAACATTCCTCTTTTGGACTAAGCCTGTGATATCCTCTTCTGCTGTCTGATCCACTCTGCGCCATGCGAACTTGACTACGAATGTGAAGTCCTCGGACTGCGATCTCCGCGCTCGATAGCATGTGGGACCACTGTAAACTATGCTAGGAAACTTCCTGATTGGGAGATCTTCGAGGAAGAGTCGTGCGAATTCGCCATCGCTCGCTTTACGTATTTGGACGAAACCGCCCAAGCCGTCAGTGTGAATGCAGGGGTTGATTCCCAGCTCAGACTTGTTCATTAAAGCGTAGCCGGCAATGACACGTAGAACTCGGTCAGCATCTGAGTCGATGTCGAAAGATTTGTTCGTGTAAGCACCACTCCGATCAAAAACCCACAGCTCAACGTGCCGTCCGTAAATATGAAATCCATGGATGGAACATCGCGTGGTCTGGTTGTGGAATACCCTCCAAGCATGCAAGGAGAGTTGCCTACGACCGTCAAGCACCTGAGATTTCTCTCCCAGACTGCTCGCAGGACTGGCTTGTCCAAGCACCTGAATATCCGTCCATGCGGAGTCTCTTTGCCTTGTAGATTCCGCGAAAGCCAGGTAGAAAGTAGGACCTTCATTTGTGCTGTTATCGTCCGACGGATGATGCGTTGATGCCCGATACGGGTTAAGAGTCGGTGGTAAAGTAAACGCATAATCCAGAATCCATCCCAGCGGATCTGTTTCAAACTTGTGCTACGCAGATGGCTCCGTGTTGGACTGTGTCTGTGATGCCTCCAAAGCTTCTGCGACAAGCCCAGCAGCCTCAGACCATGACTTGTTCTCGAAGTACTTTTCATAGAAGTTCTCCACTCCACACACGACGTTGTCGCCCAGATCCTCCAGCACTGTTTCGTACTTATTGGGCACGTCGCCTTCGCGAGAGGCCATGTTTCCACTATTTGTCGCCGTGGTCGACTGGCAGAATGTGATGAGAGTGAAATCATGGTATTGATTGACCCTGAGGAATGCTTCAGAGGGCAGTCCGATTTTGCATCATGTGCCGCACATGCATGATGATGTTCCTGAGATAGCACGGCAGTGAGGGGCTTTCAACCTATAGCTACTTAGAATCTTGCATTTCAAATGCATACCGCAGTGGGCTTTAGCGGTGTAAATTCTTATCTCTGCCTCATGTGTACACCATTCGTGTTCTCATGTATGTGATGTTAGAAGTGCACAGACGCCAGGGACTTTCCAGTACGATGCATTTCCTATACTGTGACTATCCTAACAGTCTTGTCCTTTTACTTCTTGGTGAGCATTTTGCGCACTGTCTCGCGAATGTCTTCGGGTTTGACATCAAAACTCTGGAGAAGCCGTTCCAATGTCGGATCCCTTACTTCGCATTCTTTCAATTTGAGCGCGTCATACGTCTTACTCCACCAGGTAACCATTCCATGATCGATACCCCTCTCGTGCTCATAGTACCTCTCGTACTCGTCACGGGAGGTCACTTTGAGCTTGATCTCTCGACCTACCGCGCTGGAGACCATGTTCGCGACATCACTCAACGAACAGGTTACACTGCGCGTGAGGTAACATGTTTTGCCCAGCCATTCATTCCTTGGCGCGGTCAGGATGACAGCATTCGCCAGGCCGAGGTCCGGAATACTGGTCCAGCTGATCTGGCCATCGCCTGCCACGAGCAATTCAGATCGATCGTCGTTCTTGAGGTCGTAATATCCGAGGTGCAACGGCCAGCTCTCGCTGTACAGACCCTCGCGAAGTATGGTGAAGTCCATGTGCTCACTGTTCCGCTGTAGCCAGACCTCGGTGCGCTCGTGTGCCTTCATAACTCGACTGAGACTTGGGTTGGCAAATGCGAGGCTGGTGTAATACACGTGTTGTACTCCAGCACGTTTGGCTGCTTCTAGAACCAGAAAGTGGTCTGTCTCTCGCCCTTCGCCGTCAGGAGCATCGCCATAATCCTTTTCGCCCCGCGGACTAGAGATCAGAAAAAGCTTCGTGCAGTGATGCAAAGTCGACGTCCATGTCTCTATGCTGTCATCGAAGGTGGCGCGGCGAACCTGGACCCCTTGCTGAACAGCAGCAGCGAGCTTCTTTTCTCCCTGTTCGGAAGATGTCGTGCATACGATCTGGGATGCAGGTAGCAGTTGGCGATCCAGGAGCGCATTGAGCGTGGCGAAGCCCAATTTACCTGACGCGGCCACGATGAGAAGCAAGTCTTTCTCCGCGGAATCTTTGGCCATGTCTGCGTGAACGTGTTGATGGAATCGTCGTGACAAATGGACCTGACGAGAACCCATCGCAATATATATTGCCGCAAGCATCCATTGGAATTGTTCAACAGAACCACCAACAGAATGCTGAATGCCACGTCCTGACGTCAGCTTACTGCAGTGTGTCAACTTCTTCGCATTCGCCAAGTCGTCTCATCACTTCGATTGATCAGCTCGCTTGGATTAAGCCGTGATGCTCGCTTGAATTTGTCAGCAACGATCACTCATTGTACTTGAGGTCGTGATGGTCAAAACTAGACTGGTTTGTAGTGACCTAGGGCTCACATCAAGTGTTGAAGATTACATAGGTACCTAGGTAATGATCTAATGTGAACATGAAAGGTCGGATCGCGAGATGCGCCGCTATTCCATTTCGGGCCACATCACGATTCACACTTCCATGTACACTGTCGAAGGAGAGCAATTGAATTTATCGCGCCGCGGCAATCGACTAGAAGTCTTCATGAAGGACACGATGCAGTATTGCGCTATCTTACGGCCACAGCCGTATGCGATGTGGGACGCTTGCGCGAGAGGTTTTCGAGACCATGAGATCTCCGTGAACGATTATTTAGAGTTCTAGATGCTCAACGCGTTCGCCAACGCTGGTCACCCGCAGATGAGTCGATCAATCGACGAATGCGTCACCCAAATGTCAACCGGTGTTGCTCGTAAGATGTTGCATGCTGTCGAGGTGGAAATAAGCCGCCGCACATGAGCAAGCCGGAGCATTCTCTGAAGCGACCTCAGTCGCAGTGGTTCCCAAAGGATGAAGAAAACAAAGATCTCCGCAGTGCCTAAGATATTCAAGCGTATGCCCACAACGCCGAGCCGTCTCAAGCGTCGTTCACTGTTCAACCCACCAGCCTGTTCTGCCGCCGGTTTTCTCCTCAACCGAAAATCAAGCCCATGGCTTGGACCATACGATGTGCTTTGAGATTTTTGAGCATCGCGAGCACGCGAGGCTGGAATCGAAGGAGCAATTCAGTCCTCATTGGCAAGACTAAAGACGACTGCGAGAGGAGGAGTACCAGAGCTGGATGCAACTTTGTCTTCGACAGCTGTACCTATCTCCCTGCGAAAGGTCGAATTTTTATATGGTGGTGCTCTGCAAATTGAGCTGATTACATCGTGGTCACTGATTCATCTACGTTGGAGAACCTGTTGAACTTCTCTTCGCCGACAACATCATGTTCGCAAGACCAGGCGTGGGTATGAATATTAATATTACAAGACACGCCTCTGTCTTGCTTACATTTGCGCCGAGATCACATTCGGACTTCAGGAATAAACTCTGTATCTTGATAGTAGTCGACTTCCTGATGCGTGATCTGTCTCACGATGCGACCATGCCCAGGTAGTGTAGATGATTAATGCATTGCCGCAGTCGATCATGTCATTCCTGGCGCAGATTCAAGCCGACATGAAATCTTTGGCGACGTCACCGACGTGCACAATTCGGAGTCCGAGCACGTGCACGCATGATGAACACCTGGTACTTTTCGTGCCTGGCATTTTGAGACATCGGACGCTGAAACATGGCCCAGATGCACGATATTCATCCTCATTGCCAACATAGACTTCTGTGACCATTTCCTAATCCTCACAATCAAATTCTTCAGATAATTCCCGTGAGCATATCGGCACATTGAAAAGTACTGTATGCACTGCATTCGGTACTTGTCGGCATCTTCCAAACTCCGTTCCGATCGTGACTCTCCACGGCTTTCGCCGCCGATCCATACCACCAATTCCCTAGGCCGGCCGTCCAATCTATCTATACAGTACGTCAGACTCACACGACATTACAACGCACTCTCCCCGACACCAACTCCACCCGACTCTCTTCCAAATTCGACGTCCACAAACCAATCTCACTGCTGCAGCAATCAAAATGGTGCAGGACAATCAGACCTCGATCAACATCCCGCAGCTCATCGCTGTCGCCTTCGTTGGCTTCCTAGCCATCCGATGGTTCATGAGCAAACCTGTCGGAGGCAGCAACGCCCGCGCATCTTCCACGTCCTCCAGATCTTCCACAGGATCATCATCACGGCGATCGAATATCGACATCAACAAAATCGAACAAGTCTCCGCCGTCTTCCCACAACTCGACCGCCGCACCATCGCATGGGACTTACATCACAACGGAGGCAATGTGCAAGGCACCATGGAGCGCATCCTCAGCGGCCGCGGACTCGATACTCCGCCGCCTACTTTCCAACCGAACTTGCCTGCGCCCGTCGAGGCGAGCGGAAGCACTGCGATAGCGGCCGTCCAAGCCCACACCGCCGCCAAGCTCAGTCTTGCTTCGTCCTCAGGGACCGATCTTATCACTCGGTATAACCTGCAATCGCGGGTCAACGGCAAGGGTAAGGAGCCTGTATTGAGCGAGGAGGCGCAGAAGAAGCAGAGTGGGTGGAGCGCGGACAAGAACGCCCGCGCTGAAGCGCTGAAGCGGAGACGCGAGGAGATGGTCTTGGCCGCTAGGAGGAAGATGGAGGAGAAGGACGCCGCGACGGCGGCGTGATCTCTCAATGCTTTTCATCACATTCACTACTCAATTTGACTTTGTCCGGATGGACGTCTCACACACAGCGTGCATTTCTCTTCATCGCACAGACAGTCCCAATCCTTTGTCTTTGGCGGCGCGACGATGAGGCTTCTTATGATATACATGCGATACGATTTATCCTTCTTGACCAGTCTGCGAATTGAATATATTTTATGCCATCTCGACTATCTGTGTAGAACATGTATTCGAGCTGGGCAGGGTGTCCAGGCTGCCGTCTAAAATCGCCCATGTCACAAAATTGCCACGCGATCGCCTCCAGGTCACGATCGTCTGCACCCCAATGGAAACTATTCGTGAGATACGGTTTTGGTGGATGATGTTCACTGTCGTCAACAGTGAGTCGCGTGCTCCTGCAATGCCATGGAATGGTGTTTCCCCGCCTAAACGTGGAGCAGAGACGATGCGCCTGACGAACCTTGGAAAGCGAGACCCTTCGTGCTGAGATGAACTCATGAATCTACCTAACAACCACATGTCATTGCCCGGGCGGCGCGTCAAGTGACATCTATGTTCCTGCAAACAATTCGCAAACACAACACCGAAAATAACAAACTCCTGAAACGATATACTACGGATCGGGTTGCCATCTAGCGATCGTCATAAAGATATCATTCCGGTACAGGTCCATTCGTCCAGCCAGGTCGACCACATTCACACAATTATCGCCGCTGCACAGACAATCTGCCAATATCTCTCGCCAGACCAGGCAAAGCTGCGACGTCTTGTGTAACAGTCTCTTCCAAAGTTTTATGTCATAGCATGATCTATCTATAGGGTGAGTCTTCCTCGTCAGAGCATTCACTGGCCGACTACAAAGACCTTAGATCTCGCGCAGTTTGATCACGAATCTGATTTTCGGCCCAGCGAGCTCTCATCATGAATTCCTTCGGAGTGCAGCAGAATGCGCGACAGACGCCACGGCTACAAAATACACAAAAGACGGGCTTGGGCAATGGCAATGCAGGAGCAAATTGGGCATTTGGGGCACCATCATCATTCGGCGGGCTACCAGCGAATGCACCAGGGCTTGCGGCACGGCCGGGACAACTATCAGGATTTGCGCAAGTGATGGGCGGTGGCAGTGGACAAGGTCCGATTGACATGAGTGACTTCCCAACCCTTTCCGGTGCTCCGCGCGCACAACCTTTACCTCCGGCGAGCTCTGGCGGTGGTACATGGAACAGCAGTGCTATCCGACAACCTTCGTCCACACAACAACACGCGCAAATACCACAGCCTCGAGCGCCTTCGACAGCCCCTTCGCATCAGTCTCTGGATCAGCAGTCGGCGACATTTCGAAAGAATCCCAATTTTGGCTCGCCGGAACAATCACACGCACAGGCAGCTGGGCAACAAGCACCTTCGTCGAACAGCAAACCCTGGTCAGAGATTCCGGAAGCAGATCGGTCAGGAATGGCAGGTCTGGAAGCCATGTTTCGGTATCGGGACGATCGGACAAATGGGCTACCGGGTGACCAGACACTGCCACAAAAGCAAAAAACACAGGCGATGCTCATGGGTCACGATTTGAGCTCTGCGGCATTGGGATTGGACCTCGAGTCCTCGGAGCCACTTTACCCAACTTTCTCCGTCTTTGGTGATCTTTATGATGGATCGGAATCTTCCCTTACTCAACGGCGGCCAATCCCTGATTTTCCGCTGTCCGAGTCCTACAACGTTACCAACGTGCCGTCATTATTACCACGCATGTCCGCCATGAGCGATGGTGAGTCGTGGACATTCCTTCTTAGGACTGCGTTGAAGTATCAGGGCTAATCTCATCGCTATTCTAGAAACCCTATTTTTCGCCTTCTACCAAAATCCACGCGGTCTCGAGCAAGAACAAGCCGGCATCGAGCTCCACGCGCGTTTCTGGCGATGGCACAAAATCCTACGCAGGTGGCTACAAAAGGACACAGCAGAAGCCAACCGCATCACAAGCCCCGTGCTCGTCGACTTGACCAACGGCGCACCTATCGATGGCGCTGTCACTCGTCCCACACCGACGACGGAGCGGGGAGTGTTCATCTTCTTCGAGCCTACGCCGCATTGGCGCCGCGAGCGTCGGGAGTTTACGCTCAATTATGATGAGTTGGATCATCGGCAGGGTGGTGATAATGCGTTTGGGCCTGGATTGGCGGGATTGCAGTGAAGCTGTTGTGTAGGAGTGGTATTGATATCACACCAATGTCTCATGTGGTGTTGGTCCTTGTCGTTGAGATTTCATGGTGACTTGTTGTTAGCAGAAGTATAAGCTCTGTAGGTGTGTGACAGGACTGATTGCCATCATTCAGTCCGTGTGATCTCTTAATCGTGAGTGGTGTTTCCCCAATTCTAGTACAGGCGGTAATCATCATGCCTGCATTCAGTGTTTCTGCTAGCGGCGGTCATAGCCGAGCCAATAAAACGGGGGTCCAATGCCATGTCCTGTCCTAACCCTGCAAGGTCACCTGCGGATTCAATGGACCGTCGCCTGAGCCCGACAACATGTCAAAAACAAGGCGAAGTCAAACAACGCGTATTCCTCCTCCGATCGATTCAATGTTGGCGCCAAATTTGTGGGCCATTGGCCCGCTGCATGCGTTACATACGCAGTTCTCTGCTTGTCCCTGCGTTAGTGGCGGACACGCGGAGCCAGATCGCAATGATTTGCAAGATCATGCATGTCAGACATCCCGCTCGTTGCCTGTGCCGCACGATCTTCATAAGTCAGCCAATACATAACAACATTTAGAATCGATAAGAGTCACTGCATCAACAGCAATAGATCAAAGACTTAGAGATCTCCTCGAACACTCCGTCGTCGCAATTGAATGACTGTCCGTCGGCCCGCCATGGTCTATCGTGCCAACAAATTCACACCACAGGTTTTGCTATCAGCTCCACGGCGGTCCATTGGAGTTCCTAACTCCGATGCAAGCCTCATTCTTTATACGACGTCGACATACAGCTTCGATACGCACAGCCAGTCTTACTCACTTTGTGTCTTGAGGCGGGACAAGGATTCCGCTCGATACGATGCTAACTGCAATTACCTCTTCGGCTACAGTCAGCGCCCACCAACCACTGGTGGGGAGACTTACCGCCTTGCCAGTGCCGAGGGAATTTCTAGTTTGAATTGGCTCGACCACGACGATCTCTTCACGTTCCTTTACGCAGGCAAGAATGGCGAGACGAAGCTCGTGGTAGCTAGTCTCAAGGCGATCACCGCATCCGGAGAGATGGAACTCGCGACCTCCTCTGAAGGTAAGGGATTCTACGTTGCAGGAAGCATCCAAGCACCAGCAGCCAATCTCAAAGTCAAAAGTCTCACGCCGGGAAAGAGATTCGCGGTTGCAGTCACCGCACGAGCTTCTCCTGATGGTAGTCTGTACAATTCAGAGACGGCTAAACCAACACACTCAACTGGTCGACTATACTCCACAATCCAAGTACGCGAGTGGGATCGCTACGAGACTAAAGAACGGAACAATCTGTGGTACGCGCAGCTCGACCGATCGAACAAAGGAGATCGATTCAAGCTCTCTTCTTTCACTAATGCCCATCCTCGCCTCGGCCTGGAGTGTCCAATTCCACCTTTTGGCGGTACGGATCACTTCGACATTAGCTCATACGGCATCATTTTTGTGGCGAAAGATCCTAATCTCAGTCGTGCGCTCAATAATAAATGCAATACCTACTTGCTCAAGATATTCGACTGGGGTGGCGGAGAAGCTCCAAAACCCTTGCTGGTACAAACTCCTGGCTTTGACGGCGCGGCAACTTCACCCGTCTTCAGTGATGATGGTAGCCAAGTCGCTTTCCTCAAGATGAAGACCAACGGTCATGATGCGGAAAGAAACGTCATCTTCGGCTTCGGCACAGCCGATGTTCCAGATATGGTTGCTACACAAATCGCAGCTTCGTCCTGGGACCTCAGTCCGACTTCGGTGCAATTTTCTACCACGAATCCGGATCGGCTATACGTCACAGCGAGTGATTCAGGAGTGGGAAGAATTTTTGTCATTGATCGTGACGAATCGTGGAAACCCCCTGTCGGATCTAACACCGGCGGAAATGTATTAGAAGTCCGCCCACTCCCCGGCGGCGAAATCTTCTTGTCTATGAGCTCGCTCATTGATAGCTCTATATACGTCTTGCTCCATTCCGATGGAGATGGATCATGGCCCCTCCCAGAATGGGCATCATCTGTCTCTGAAGATGGAAGTAAATATGGCCTGTCTGTGGAGCAGAGAGACTCTCTTTGGACCCCTGCAGGAAATCCCACGGCTAGAAACCCAAGAATTCATAGCCTTGTCATGCGACCTAGTGACTTTGATCGCACCAAGAAATACCCTGTTGCATACATCATTCACGGTGGACCCTCGGAGGCATGTGCGGATATTTGGTCCTATAAATGGAACCCTGCAGTCTTTGCTGAGCAGGGCTATATTGTCATCATGCCTAATTTTACGGGAAGCTCTGGTTATGGGGCTGCATTCACCGATGCCAGCCGTTGCAACTGGGGTGGAACCCCCTATGAAGATATCGTCAATGCCTTCGACTGGATTAGTGAAAACATGCCGGAAGCAGACAATGATCGCGCAGTGGCGCTAGGTGGTAGCTATGGGGGTTATATGGTCAATTGGTACGATCATGTCTGTGTGATAGAGCGATGAAAGGAAACAGAAAAGGACGCTGACATTCATCACCGCCTCCAGGATCCAAGGTCACGACCTCGGCCGAAAATTCAAGGCCCTCGTCTGCCATGACGGAGTCACCAGCCTCGCCGGCTGCTTCTACTCGACGGACGAATTCTACTTTCCCATGCACGAACTCGGCGGCGTCCCCTGGGACAACGACCAATGCGCCCACATCCGCGGCGACAACCCCTTCACCCTGTCCACCACCGCCGTCGGGGCTCGTTCCCTGGCCTCCTCTTCCTCCTCGCGGGAATCTTCCTGGAGGAAGTGGGATCCCTCCGCCTTTTTCTCCGAATGGCAAACGCCCGAACTCGTCATCCACAGCTCCAAGGATTACCGGATCGCCATCTCGGAGGGTCTGGCGGCGTTCAATATCTTGCAGGCCCGCGGCGTCGAAAGTCAATTCCTCACCTTTCCCGATGAGAACCATTTGGTCTCCCAGCCGGAGAATTCGCTCGTCTGGTATAAGACCGTGCTGAATTTCATCAATAAATTCGTCGGCAAGAGGCCTTTTACGGTCGAGGATCCGGAGGGTGAGGAGTATTTCGGAGGTATCAAGGAGGAGGAGGTGGTGGTGTCGTCGTTGGGCAAGGTCACGATTTGAGAAGAGTGAGCGTGATTAATGGAGGACGGGCTCGATTTTGAAGCTGTCCATTGTTGATGATGATATGACCGTTATTTAGAAAACAAATGCACGGATCGGTTCTGAGCCGTACACAACTCTGCTCTGCCGTACATGGCTTTTCCCCCATCCGACAACACAGTAGATCCTTCACCGAAATTTCCCATTCTCGTCTAATCGAACATATCCGTCTTCCCTCCCATCATCGCTCGAACGCGCGATCATCCGACATCGGCTCGGAAGTTTCTACAGAAAAAAAGAAATGTACGCCTTCAAGTAACGCCGGCTATCCCTCAACATAATCCTACAAAAAGGAAACCACCCCATTCCCATCCCTCAATTCTTCTTTTCTTTTCTCACTCGAAATCCACCGCGGCATCCCCCTCGTCGGGCAGCTGCGCAATCACATCCTCCACCATCGCAATCAACTGGTCGACATCGGGCCTCTCCGCGGGCTCGACGGCCAGGCACACGCGGACGACCTGTTTGACCAGATCGGAGATGACCTCGTCCTTCTTCGGCGGCTCGCCGTTCTCGCCCGAGACGACCCTCTGCTTCCCCCGCTTGGCCTCGGCGGCGCCCTCGTCGGGGAACCTCCAGTCGCCGCCAAGGACGCAGAGCGACAGCGAGCCGCCCGTCTCCTCGCTGCGCGCCTCGAACGGGGACTTGCCCACCAGGCACGCGTACAGCGTGCAGCCCAGGCTCCAGATGTCCACCTTGCAGTCGATCGTCGTGCCGGTCTTCACGTCGAAGAGCTCCGGCGCCCGGTACGGCATCGTGCTGTGCTCGGCCGCCTGGTCCTGCACCTGGAGCGCGAGCGCGCGGCTCGTGATGCGCGTGGGGCTCGGCGAGAGCGAGCCGAGGTCCATGAGGATGGGCTGCGCGCCGGAGTCCGCGATCATGATGTTGCCCGGCTTGATGTCGCGGTGGGCGTAGCTGCGGATGGCGCCCTCGGCGACGCCGTCCTGCGCCGCGAGCACTTCGCCGGCGTTGTCCATGAGCGGCGCGTTCTCGATGTCGTCGCCGTCGGACGCGCCGTTGGTCCCTGATGATCCTCCTCCTCCTCCTCCTCTTCGGGCTTCCGTCGCGGCATCTCGGTCGGCTTCTGCTGCTTGGGAACGGACGGCGCGGGCCTTCTGTCGACTCGCGGCGCTGTCGCCTTTCACGCGGTATTGGTGCATGGCCTTGAGGGCGCGGCAGACGCCCAGGAACAACATCATGAGCCTGCGCTCGGGGAAGCGCACGCGGTTGACCAGGTTCGCGTTGATGGCATCCTGGAGGTTGCCGCGCCGGTAGTACGGCAGGAGGATGTAGACCGTCTTGCTCCCCGGGTCGGCGGCGCCGCGGTCGCTCTCCACGCTGTGGTCGATGGCGTGGATGATGTTCGGGTGCGGCGCGAACAGGCTGTAGGCTTCGACCTCTTTCAGCGCGAGCGAGACGCTCTCCTGGCCGAAGGGACACCGGATCTTCTTCAGCGCGTAGAGCGTGGGGTCGCCCGGGGATTGCACCAGGTAGACGTAGCTGAAGCCGCCTTCGCCGAGGAGGCGCAGGATTTTGAAGCTTCGGCCGTTGATGCGCAGGGAGGGATTGGAGGGGAAGCAGTTAAAGCAGTTGCCGAGTTGCCAGATGCCGTCGAGGATGTAGTGGGAGAGTTGGGTGACGAGGGATGGTGGTTGTGACATTGTGGATCGGCGCGGGCAGGAGCAGCCTGCTCTCCTGTCGTGAGGTCGGTCGGGAGGTGAAGTGTGGTGTTTTGATCTCTAGAGACGAGAATCGAGTTGGCGTATAATTTGCGGCGGCGCATTCGAATGCGATACATTGATTGAGCCTCGTCAGGGTAAGCTTGGTTCGGTCGTGAAAGGCGAAGCGCACGGACCGAGCCGTGACGCGCCTCCACAGCCACGTGTCGGATATTGATGTTTCTATTCTGAGACCGGGCAGACCAACGTGGGCATTTACAGCAACAAAAGATGCAACGAAGTCGAACAATCGAATTGGTCCAGTACCACATCCGTGAAGCTACAATTCCCTCGTGACGCGATCATCGCTTACGGAGCACTCGGAACATCGGCGTTGGTCAACCCGGTGCCTTCACCTCTACCGCCGCTTCCATCCTCCTTCGTGGTGATCTCCAACACGGGAGTTACATCATAGGCATAGTCGGGTAACCGAGACTCATGCTCGGGAAGAGTGACCTCATTGGTGACGACGAAGACCTTGAGGCCATCGACGTCTGATCGGTTGTCGAGTTTCCGGCCGTTCTGTGTGCAAGTAGAATGTCAGTGTATGATTAGATTGGACAGGCCTTATGACCCCAGGATGTCATGGGATAGATTGGTGCACCAGAAACGTACCTTTCGAACTCGCCAATGGAGGTTGACCTTCAGATACTCCACCACGGTCGAATGTTGCATATCCGGGATGATATCGACGAGATATCTCTCCATCAGGGCCAAGGTCAAGGGGATTTGACCGGTGATGTTGGTGTGGTCACGCTGGGCATCTCGACAATTTGCGCAGCTGGTCTCGTTGCTCTGGCCGAAAGGATAGAATGCGCCGACGTACAGCGGCGAGAATTGCCATTGGCTAGGCTGGGCGTCATCGGGAGGGCCCAGGAAGATGAAGACGGAGTAATCGCCTCCGAGGGCGTGCTTCTCGGCCTTGATGTTGACGAGCCATTCGAGATGTTTGTCATTGGCGGGGATGAGGTCTTTGAGCTTTCGCGATGTAGCGGCGGTAACGGCGACCGGCGCCGATTCGCTCTCGACAGATTTGACGATTTCGGCCTTGGGAAGTAGCGTCTTCTCGGCCCCGTCGAGCCCTTTCTTGCTCATGACGAACAGTCGCGCGGGAGATGGGTACAAGGCGGTGATCTTGGCTCGCAGCGCTGTCTTCGCGGTCTCATCGATGGGATAGGTGGTGCCGGCAGTCTCGGGATAGTAGTATCCGAAATCCTTGGTCTGCTTCATCGTGTTCGAATCATACCAGGTCGTAGGCGTGGGTCGGAACGGATACAGTTTAGTTAGCACGGTCTGCTCATCTTTTTGGAGTTGGACGATGTTCGCCTTGCCGTTGGGCTGCGGAGTCACCCATGTATCGGCCTTGTTGTCTTCTTGCCACAGACCTTGCCAGATGGCAAGTAAGCGATCGATGTTCCTGAAGAAGGTGCTCGCGTCAGCGATCGAAAAGGATCATAAGTCGATATGTCACTCGTGGAAGATTGGACTCACGTGTGATGCAGCCAGAAGATAGGGTCGAAAGCGGATGTGGCAGGATCACCCATCTGTCCTCCTCCTCCGATGAGATCGTGCAAGTAATTATGCACATCCTCGACGCTGCCGTATTTGTTGGCGTCCATGGTGGGATCGTCCTTGTCAGTGGGCGGGAAATAACGATTGTGGCTGAAGGGGCCAAATTCACTGTAGCCTTGGAGGAGGTACGTGATGCGCTCGGTCAGATTCTGACCAGGGGGAGGCAGAGTAGATTCTTGTTGCGCGAAAAAGGTCTCAAGCGCGTTCTCCATGTCTCCCTTCTCCCCATCGGAGGGCTGACGACCTAGAGGATATCGTACGACCTCGCCTTTGCCCTTCTGTGATCAGTCGGTCAGCGTTGTGAATCCTGCATCGAATCGAGATTGTCACAAGCTCGAGGCAATACGCACATATGTGAGGGCGTCCCACGCGGCCTGTTCCTCCGCAGACGCGCCGTCCTCCGCCGGAAAGACATATTTGAAAAGCGGATTGTAATCCAACTTGGCCTTGGATTTGATGTCCCCGGGCAAACCATCGTCAGTCAGAGCGAACAGCGGAAAGACGGATCCAATGTCTCGTGGGAGCGCCCAGTCCCAATACGGCATGCGGAAGCTTTTGGCAGCTGCGAGATATTCCGACTTGAGGGGATCTTGATCGTCGACCAACCGTGCTGCTTCCTGGACATGCTTATAGAGAGCCGACTGAAATGTTGTGAATATGTCTCATAGAATAATCCGCCGACCGATGTGCTTACCTCGAAAAGTGCCAGATACGGACGGTGCCAGGTGAGGAACAAAATGGAGGAATGGGTACAGAAACCACCAAAGTCCCGCTCAGGCGCGTTGGGATTGGGGTCGACTTTTCTGACGGGAATGTCATTCCAGGCTTCGTTCGTCGGCCAATTCTCATACGGCAATCCGTGAATTCCTGCACGGCGGGGGGCGGATCATCAGCTAAGGAAGATCGTGCGTCAAGCTGAAGCACGACTCACCGGCGATCTGGAAGTAGGAGAGCGGATCCTGTTTGTCCACATCGTAGAACAGTCGGAGTCCTTTGACGTATACGTAGAGTTCCGCGTCGGTCAACGAACGGATCTCCTTGCGGTTGGGTATGGTTTCTGTTTTCTAGGTTAGCAAAAGCCGAACCACGCATTGCTGTTAATGATCAATGGCTGTTACACACCACCCTCGGCGACGGGGATCCCATTGGCGAGGTATTCGCTCCACTCGGACGCCATGGCGATGCGCTCGACGAACGGACACAACTCAAGCTGAGTATGATCGGTGGGATTATGAGTCCGGGATAGCTCGTCTTTTCAAAGGAGTACTTCATGCGAGAAGAGGCGGTCGAAGAACTCTCTTATAGACTTCCGATTTGGCAGTTCGTCTTGCTCACGTGTACATCGCTACATTGAATCGGCGTTCGCCGCAGCCATCGGGCCACCATTGCAGGCCACGTCGAGGCCAAGGGGAGAAGAGGCGTCAGAGAGCTATGCTCCATCCTGCGGCGCACGAGCGATCGAGGCTGGCTGAAAGCCTGGCAATAATGGCTGCTAGGATCGATGACATTCTGCTGAACGGTGGTGTCGATGACAAACGGAGAGTGATTGTGCTTTCGACCATGGAGGATGTCGGATGATGCATTCCGATCAAGTTTTCGGATTGGAGGATAGGTACAGCGGCGTTGTACTGAGGGGAGAGGTCGTTCTGTACCCTTGCATGGTTCATGTGTAGTACCCAGCTAGTTAGTGGTGGTGCTCGCTTGCCTGCACACGTGGAGGGAGACCTCGAGAGGGCGGGGACAACGCCAACTTCCATTCGTGCGGGTCCACGGTATCGCTCACAGCAACCTCTCTGCCTTGTGCGTGGAGAAGCAGTGGTCAAGGGAGATTCCGAACGAAGCAGACAAAAAATTACAAAGAGTGGGAGGAAATGTAGGAGAGGAGAGGGATTCGAGATACATACACTTTCGCCTCATCAACGGGGCATCGCCGTCCCTATATAGCACGTTCGCTCAGGGTGTTATTCCACCTGAGAGGAAGAGAGAAATGGGCAAAGTAGTGGGGAAGAACTCGGACGAGCATTCATGCCTTTCATGCCCTTTCCTTTCCTTTTCTCCCAGCTCATTATATACACATCGACAGTAACAATGCCCTCCCGAAAGAAAGAAAATATATAAAAGGAGGGTCAGGGTAGAGGAGGAAGATGGACGGATGCATACATAAATCCATGCATGCACGCGAGCGAGTGAGTGAGCCAAGAGGAATGAGTCCGGGAGGGCAGAACGACCGAGGCCGAGAGCAGAGCGCAGAGAATAGCGAGCATAGAGCCGAGAGGGAAGTAGAGACGAGGCATCGATCATGGAAAAGAATAAATAAATGGAAAAAGATATGCACAACGACCATGATAAGATAAAGGGCCGATAGACAGCCAACAAACGATTTAAGCAGATATCCACACCCCACTCTTTTTCTCTCTCCCGAGAAGTAAATAAGGACCCATCCGACCTCCTCCACGAAGAGAGAAGAGAGAGGGAAAAAAAAGACATAAACGTGATCCGCACGAGCCGCTCTCGGACAGACAGACAGATAGACAGATAGACAGGCAGGCTTCCCTCCCGACCGGCGAATACCGGAGGAAGTTCACGCGAAACCCAAAAAATTGGAACCCGAAATCCACCACCTCATCATCGAAGTGAAAATAAAAAGAACTTTTATGACATTTCGTTTCCGGAATTTTTTTTTGGTTCCGCTAGGGAACAGGGCGGGGATCCATCCGATCAGAGGATGTACGCGCTGGGCTTCCTCTCGACGCGGTCCATCATCTGGGGGCTGCTGGTGCGGGAGTCGTAGCCATGCGCAGCGCCGGCGCCGGCGCCGCCGACCACGCTCCCGGCGGGGGACTCGGGGCCGGGGCGAGCGTAATGCGCGGCGCCGAAGGGCATGGGCGGCGGGGTCCAGTCGCCCTGGCGGAGGCGGCGCTCCTGCTCGAAGTCGCCCCAGCGCTTCATGGTGATCTTGGAGGAGTCGAAGGCGCCGTCGCCGCCGTGGCCGGACTTGTCGGCGCCGCGGACCTCGCCGGCGGCCTGGCGGGTGTCGCCCCAGGAGAAGTCGTCGAAGTGCCAGAAGGCGTAGCAGGGCAGGATGAAATTCCACACCGGCAGCGAGAGGAGATACACGAACATCCAGAGCACGTAGCTGACGCGGTGCGCGGTGATGACGATCAGCACGCCCGGGAGACCGAGGATGAGCGCGAGGAGCACGAGGGGGATCACCGGCGCGGGCGTGTTGGTCGCCGCGGCTTTGAGGGCGAGGGCGACTGAGGGAGTGGTTAGTCTTTGTTGTTCCGGAAGGAAATCAGGGAAAGATGTGGATGGGAGGATATGAGAACTTACGGACGTAGAGCGTAAAGGCGATGGCGGCAGGGAGGACGACGGTGCCGACGAGGTCGATGAAGACGACGAACTGCATGGAGAAGCAGAAGGTACCACAGAGGTCGCGCACGAGGACGAGCTCCATCAGGTTGTGCACGGTCGAGTTGATCCAGCGACGGCGCTGGGAGAGGAGCACCTTGAACTCATCGGGGACGGTGGTCTTGCACACGGCCTGCGGGACGAAGACCTGCTTCCGCTTGGGGAAGGTCTTGAGCATCAGACTGCTGAGGTAACGGTCCTCGCCGAGCAGCAACAGGTTCTTCTTGTGGAGGGTGTCGACCACGTTCTCGGAGTAATGCTCGACGATGTCCGGGTTGGCGAGGATGGGCACCCAGTAGTTCTGGCCGCCCTTGGGCGTCTTGATGCGGTACATGCAGAAACATCCGGGGAGGCAGGTCACACCGCCGAAGACGCTCTCGAAGGACTTGGCCTGGTGGTGGGAGATGAAGTATTCGAACACCTGGATCATCGACACCCAGGATTGGGTCTTGTTGGCGATCTTGGTCTCGCCGCACAGGCCCATGATCTCGGGGTCCTTGACCATGGCGCTGACCATGTGGGTGAGGGAGTCGGGGAAGACCTTGGTGTCGGCGTCGACCATGAGGACGATCTCGTAGAAATCCGGGCTGATGCCCGTGATCTTCCAGATGCCGTTGAACATCTCGTACTCGAGTTCCGTCATGCGCTCGTCGAACATGACCTTCTGGAGGAAAGACATGAGGACGATCTGCGAGTCACGCTTGCCACGGTTGCCCGGTTTGGACGCCGTGGCCTCGGCGGGGGTGCCGCACTTGACGATGAGGACCATGGGGACGCGCTGCTGCTTCTCGACGGGGATGATGCTGTCGACGCCGTAGTCGTAGAACCCACAGTAGACCTTGGCCATGTTATGACGTTTGCTACCGCTCGCGACGGCGACATACGAGTAGGGCTGGACATCGTCCGGGAGCACGGCGAATTCCTTCATCATGCTGATACAGGCATCGGGGGTCGACATGGTTTCACCTTTGCCCTTGATGAGCCCATCACACACGACGTAAAGCATCTTGTGGCTGTTGGGGTAGTCGGTCATGGCGATGGAGTCGAGCGTGGTGCGGATGCCTTCGAGACCTTCGGAGTAGGCGGTGACGAGACAGATGGTGTGCGCGAGCGGGAAGCCGAAAGGCTGCCATTCCGGCGGCGGCTGCGGGACGACCGCATCGTGGATGAAACCTTGCGGCCCATTGCCATCGGTCATGACACTGCTGTATCGGCTGGCCGGGAAGTTGTGCGAGTCCATCAGACTGGCGTGGCTTGCGGCACCGGGTCGGCTGCCATCGAGGCTTCCATCGGAGCGGTTGCTGTGGCCGTAAATGCCAGATACGCCGGCGGGAACCATCAGTCGGGAATTGGTCTGGGAAGTCATGGTCGTGGGCATGGTCTTCGAAGCACCCTTGTCCATGGCGTACGGGCTGGTGAAACGAGAGGTGGTCGGCATGAAGGTACCGCGCTTGCTCCCACGGTCACTGCCACCGCTGCTGGCGACCGGGTCGGTGATCTTTGGCGGCGGGCGGTAGATGTCGTCGCTCCAGTCTTCGATCTGTCGGTTGCGCGCCTTCTTGTCGCTCGGCATGCTGGTCTTGTCGGCGGCGTATTTGCGGCAGAGGAACCATTGGAACAAACAGGCCAGGACGAACTTGATGCCGACGATGCCGAGGATGAAGATGAGCGAGACGTAGAGCACGACCTTGGAAGCGATACAACCCACCGACTCGGTATCGATCGAGCCGACCTTGATGATCTCCTGGAAGCACTGCGCGATCTGCTTCTTGTCGGAAGCGGTGTACGCCAGGGTGATGTCCTTGCCGCGCAGCACGGAGTTGGTGCGGATCTGTTCGAATTCCGGAGGCACCGCCACCTGACTGGCGTTGAACCATCTCAAGAGGTCCAAGTCGAGGACATCTCCCGAGTAGACGACCAAGTTGCGGGAAGTGTTTCGAATGTCCTCCCAGGTGAAGTAGACATCGCCCGATGACCGCAGACCGCCATAGAACGCCTCACGGGCGGTCCGAGAGGTGTGACAGGCGTATCCCAGGTAGTAGGGGATGGTCGTGTTGGGAGGGGTCGAGCCGTCCTGTTTGAAGAGGTTGCAAGGGAAGTACCACGCCATGTTGCCTTTGCTGTCCACCGGCACATCGGAGTTTTGCGACGGAGTGATGAGGCCTTTGCAGGCGCCATTGACGTTTTGCATGAGGAAACTCCCGTCCATGCCTGCGCCCGGGTTGGTGCCGTCGAAGAGCACGTTGCTCCCCGCGGGGACACCGCGCGCCAGGGGATGCTGCGAGCGGGTCAAATCGTAGGCTTGGCCGTGGAAGATCATGTATCCGCGGTCTACGTTGTTGATGCGGAGACGCAAGGGACCTCCTTCCGGGCAGACCGTGGCGGTGAAACCGAACGTGAGGTATCCGACAAACAGCATCATCAAGAGGATGATGCTGCAGAGACCAATCTTTTCCCGCCACGCTCGCTGCTGCTCTTTCGACTTCTTGCCCATGAGGGACAGGATGAGATTCGGACACCAGAACGTCAACACGTGGCAGTACGCACCCCAGAGGGTGAGCGCACCGCTGTCCTCCATCTTCTCCTGTCGTCGCTTGTCCTTCACCTGCTTGTCGTGAATGTTGGCGGTCGTCCGTCGGGTGAGTTTCGCCGGCTGCCTGCGCGCGCCGTCTTTGTTGGTCGGCTTCTCATTGAGCGGCGAAGTGTCGAGGACCTCTCCTTGACCGTGCAGGGCCGCCGAATCGGTGGTCAGGGTCAACAGCTCCTCTTCCATCTGGGGATCCGTGCCGGTGGTCGAGGGCAGGACGTTCATCTTCTGCGCATGCTTGCGGTAGTAATAGTTGGGGTCTTCGGGGTCGTTGCGTCGTCGTTCGGGTCGTACAAGGCTCTTCTTTCGTGACAGGTCTCGGTCGAGGCCCTGGCCAGCGACGCCGGCCTCGAGCATAGGATCGCGATCCCGATCGTCCGGGCTGTACGGCGAAGGCATCAGGGAGTTGCCCGGCGAAGGCACTTGACGAACGCGGTATTGTGGCTCGGTGGGTTTGGGCTTGTCGCTCGTCGTGCCACTCGTACGCCGGGTCGCGGTCGCCTGGGGTCGTTGGACGGAGGTTTCTCGATGGCCGCCAGCAGCACTACTCCTCCTCCGTTGACGACGTTCTGTGTCCGAGTCGGATCGATAACCCGCGGTAGGTCTACCTGGCGGACTGGTTGTTTGGTTCGGATGTGTGGGACGTTGCGAAGAGTACCGGCGGGACCCCGAAGAGGGCACGTCCGATCGAGGATTACGCGACGACATTGTGATGGTCGATCGCTATTAGCAAGCGTGGAGCGCTTGGAGGGAGAGCGATTGGATTTGTTGGTGTCGAGGTATCTACCTCTTCTGACCGTGAGAGGCCGCGCGTTCGTGAGTCGTGGCTCGTGGTCGTTCGGTGGGCCGACTGGAAGCGCAGTGGCGGCAATGATCGTCGGCTTGGAAAGGAGGCCTTCCAAGCGAAGAAGAGGGTAGCGGCGGAACCGTCTGTGACGATGCACCGAGCGGTGATAATAATACAGATGCAATATGACAGTGTGATCCGCTCGAAGGAGGAGCAAGTCTGTCGCTGCGCGGAGGTGAACGAGTGTCGGCGTGGTTTGAAGAAGCGAGTGCGTGGGTGAGTTGAGGGATGGCGACGATGATGGTGAAGAATTGTTTGTTGGGTCACGGGAATGTGGTTCCCGGGCGCCGGGGGATGTGGTAAAGCTGGAAGCGCGCAGATGTACTGTATACAGTGTACAGTATAGTTCAGGGCTGCTGTGCTGCAGAGAAAATACCCTGTAATCCACTACCGGCTAGGTACAATGACTGTAACCCTGGCCAGAGGGAGAGGGAGAGAGAGAAGAGAACGAGTATAGGTACTAGCGGAGAGTGGTGGTGGTGGTGGTGGTGTGGTGGTGGTAGTATTAGTGGTCGTGGTGGTGGTGGTGGTGTGGTGGTGGTAGTATTAGTGGTCGTGGTGGTGGTGGTGGTGTGGTGGTGGTAGTATTAGTGGTCGTGGTGGTGGTGGTGGTGTGGTGGTGGTAGTATTAGTGGTCGTGGTGGTGGTGGTGGTGTCGTGTGGGTGGCCCAGGAGGAGGACGAGGAAAAGGGCGGAAGGGTAAATAGTGGACTGCTGTAGTAGTATGCCCAGGTGTAATAATAATAATAATATGAGAAGGAAGAAGGGGGCCTTGCGGGAGTCGTTGCTGTATGCCCAGCCCTGGAGGCGTATGGAGACTGTGAAGCGACAGGACACGGCTGCGGCCGCCTGGGAAGTTGATGCGGGTTTTTTGGTTTTTTGGCGGGTGAACTAATCTGCGATTAGGGTATTGGATTTCGCCGGAGGAGAGTGGCGTGCGTGTTGGTCGTATAACAACAACAATGATACTAATAATAATAATAATAATAGTAATAATAGTAATAACAGCAATAATGATATATCATCAACGGTGGGGAGAGAGGCGGAGGAGGACGAGGAGGAGGCGAGAGGAGAGAATGAATGGTTGAAGACACTCTTTCTTCACGAGATGGCGATCCATCTGCTGATGAGGCGAATACGTAGAACTTTCCCCCCAAAAACAAAAAAGACGATGGCGAAGGAAAACATGTGAGATCCGACTACGCGGCCACACGCGATGACTGTCGAGCCCTAGCCGTAATCATCCTGCACTGTTCAAACCAGGCACACTTCCTTCAAACGGGCGTGCGAGACACACGGGGCGGAAAGACGGATGGGTGTGACTGACTGACCGTGAGAGAGACGTGATGAGATCGGGCTAGCCACCACGAGAAGTGACTCGAGTAGCAGTTCATCACCAGCCGAGATCGAAACCCGTCAGCCAGCCAATCGTCCAGCGGCGTGCACGCCATCCTCCAGGCTCTTTCTTTCTTTCATTCTTCTCCTGGGTGTCATCGATCTGTCCTCGTCTCGACCAGGAGGAGGATTGTGGTTCTACTCTTGACAATGGCATTTTCCCTCCTCCCTTCAGTACAGTCAGCTTTGGTTTTCTTTTTTAATTGCTTTGCGGCTACTACTGCACGTCAACGGGGGATGAGGACGACGCTGAATGAGGCTCATGCCGCTCTGAGAAACGGATGGGATGAATCCCGTGATGGTCTCCTCGTCACCCGTCCTAAGGATTAATCACTCCGATGATTAGGGGACAGGGAGAAGTCCATCTCATCGACAGAGACCATGCAGCATTCCACCGATCGGGCGGAATCTCTTCGGTGGCGCTTAATGGATCGTATACGTACAGTCACCCGCACTACAGGAAGAACCCCCTATCCGCTACACTTCACCACGTTCACTTTCGCTGATGTTCCGTCCGGATTCTGCACACACCTTATGTAGGTGTATGTGCCAACACGGCATCATGCTCCTATTAATACCGTGATCATCGCCATGGTCATTCTATACTCGTCCCGTATATGCAGCATGGCATGGCGAGGCGAGGCGAGGGACATATCAAAAAGCCTCAGCGTCGCATCAATTGTCATCCGAAGAATGGTTTTTTTTTGCCCCTGTGAGGTATGATCGCATCCGACATTAGTCGCCGTGGCATGCATGCATGATGCGTATCGGATCTACTGTACTGCAACAACAGGTAGGTAGTGAGGTACCTCCAGAAATACGGTAGAGTAGTCCGCACGCGCGCAAAGTTCCGCATACATATCCCCCCCCTACTGTACTACTGTTACCCGCGGTCTTGCCATTTTTTTCCCACTTTCATATGGTCGGAGCCTAATGATGACAATATTAATGATAATAGCAGGGATTGGGAGTTCGGTGATGATACCGTATAATCAATCACCATGTTCCGAGAGATGTTAAACCCTACACATGAGCATGATGATAATGTAGCGCGCTACAAACAAATTGGCAGCCTCGTCTCCATGGTGAACGCCTCGAATGCTTGGGCTGGGCTTGGTGGGCTGGGCTGGAGAGGGAGAGGGAGAGGGAGAGAGAGAGATAAACAGAGAGACACACATGTGTGACCCAGCTCAGTTCAGCTCAGCTCCCAGCCCGCCAGCCAACCAGCCAACTAGCCTAGCCTTACGGTCTCACATCGGCGAACGGAGAAAGGAAAACAAAGAAAATCACCACCTCCAGCACCACTCCAAGGGAGAATGATAAACATCAGGCAAACTCGTTGCCCTCTCATCACTGCTCCGAGAGGTCATCTTCTATCCTCGACGACGGGAGACCATCGCGTAGCCTCGCAGCCCCGTAAGGTGGGATTCCCAGATTCGCGGATCTCACGATGCGCATTAGGGTTGTCGCCAGGGCCCTCGTATTCCTCCGACTCGACCGATCGCGATGGGAAAAGGAAAAAGCGGGTGTGTGTGTGAGGAGAGACCTGTAGCGTGTGTGGCCAGCCCGGCACCTACCTCACCTATGCATCCGTTTTTCCGCGTGTCAATTTTATTCTTAGAAACAATGTATACGACACACCCCATCTGCATGCGTGCGTGCATGTCTCCCGCACCCAATCCGTAGGGCGGGACAAGCGGATCGCAGAACGGCGGGATGATCTCCCGACCGTCATCCACCTGTGTTTGTGCAAGGTGTTCTCGAGGCCACCACCGCATCCAGCTCCGTCTGACGGATCTCTCAGGGAGAGGAAGAGGAGGGAGACACGGCGGAGGTGCATCTCCGAAGAACCCCCCTCCCCCAAGAATGACAGAAAGATAGAAGAGGAAAAACAGGTTCCCGGCGACGTTTCCTGTCCCACACCGCGGCCGGACGGATAGGATGAACGACGAAGAAGGAAAGTCGAAAAGCGAATGGTTCCTAGAGAGAGGCGACGTGGTTCGTCCATGAGATTGGGATGGGCATGGTCTCGGACGCGACACCCCGTCGTCGCAACACACACACACACACAGAGAGAGAGAGAGACATAGATAGAGAGCGAGAGACATGAGACAGAAACAGCATGTCCCAGAGACGACCAAGAATCCCGCCACATCTGCCACATCTCACAACAACCCCCCAGCCCCTGCGCCGATCCCATCTTCCTCTGTTTTTCGTTTTCAAGGGTGTGTCTCTCGGACGACACGAGATGTGTGCGTCTCGGAAAATCCCCGCCTCGTCCTCCTTCTCCTTCTTCGGATAAAATATCCGTCGTGGGTCTCTCTGTCTCTCTTCCAGATGACGACGACGACGGAAGAGGAGGAGGAGGAGGAGGAGGAGGAGGAGGAGAGACGGTTTCGGGTGGACGGACATGTGGTAAGGACAATGAAAATAACAATGATAACGACCAATCATCAATTATGATAATAACAGCAGCAACGACGGGAGGATATAGGGTTTTGTTTCCGTGACAATAAAACCCAAAGGGTGAAGATATGGATATAGGAATAATGATCTTTTCCTCCCCATCGCGAATATCCTTACTTTCTTTCTTTTTCCCTTTCTTTGCTTCTGTCTTTCTTTTTTTTCTTTCTTTCTCTTTGGCAATGTTCGTTTCGGGAAGTGGCCTATTCCCTCCTTCCCTTCTTTCCTACCGGATGGCGGGGTAGAGTAGATATGTAGATGTGGGATGAATCATGATGATGACGGTGATGGTAGTGACGATAACGGTGATGGTGATGATGCTGTATTTTATCTCCTAGGTACTTACTCATCATCAGCTGTGGTGGTGAGAGTGGTGGTGGTGGTGGTGGTGGTCGTAGTAGTAGTAGTAGTAGTAGTAGTCGTAGTAGATGCTGTTACATCGTCTTGCACTTCGCATCGCATTTCCCTTTATTTTTATTTTTTTCTTCTTCCTCTTTTCCGCCCATGCCCGCCCGCCGCCGCTGCCGCCGCCGCCGCCCAAGACTTCCAAGGATTCGCTTGTGAAGCACTGTCGCATTGGGTGGCAGGCCAGCCCCGGGCAGCCCGGCAAATCCCTCGCACCACCACACCCACCGCCTCCTCCTCCTCCTCCTCCTCCTCCTACTACTACTACTATACGACCACCACCACCCTTTCTAATAATAAATGTTCTCTTGTCTCACCACCATCGTGAAGCCCTGCATGATAATGGATGATGGACGATGGATGATGGACGACGATGAACGATGATGATGTCGAAGCCATGAGGAATCACGGGAAAGAAGATACATACAAATAGTGTAGATGCCAAATGCACGTCGGAGGTTTATTACTCCCACATCCACCGATCGCGTCGTTCCAGGGTAGCTCTCGTACTTATTAATAACAACATCATGGGTGTCGTATCCCCATCCGGCTCATCGTGCTATGCTCCGGGTGAGTGATGAGAGGCGGTGGAGGGGCTTTGGTCGGCGTGTACATATGTCATTGAATTGACTGATTGATTGATTGATTGATTGATTGATTGATTGATACAGCCCGAGACAGATGATGAGATGCCCTGCCCTGCCGTGGGATCGGTACAGGCACAGGTATATGCACAGGTACAGGTACAGGTGGTGGTGGTGGTATTGGTGTGGGTGTTCAGGGATACCGAGTAGTATATAGGCCAGTGTGTACGTACATCGACCACGTTGTTGTCGTGCGGCAGAGAGCCCTGTGCTGAGTGAGAGCACCTACCTGGGCATGTGTGCCTGGCATGTTTCAACGGTCGCTGTCTGTCCACGATCCTGTCTGTCTGTCTGTCTGTCTGTCTGGCTGGCTGGATGTGTTCATCATGGGAGAAACACGCGGTCGCGATCGTCAATCACTTCCTATACCTTCGCCTCCCTCCCTCCCTCCCAGAGCAATGCAGTCAGTCCGCCATCCGGGGCCGTTCGGACATTGTTTAGCATGTAGGAGCTATACCGTAGCACTCCCACTACTACTAGGTGGTCCATAATAAATGTCCTGTAATTGCCCGGCGAAGACCCCCCCTCACTAGGTGAGCTAGACATGGCCCTCTGGTAAAAAAATAATAATAAATCTGCTGGGAAGTTTATTACTGCTGTATGTCATTCCCTCGATCCAGTCAGTAAGTCAGTTCAGTCAGTCAATCAGTCCATTCGGTGCATCATCATCATCATCATCGTCCTCACTGATCACACCACCACCACTATTACTACCACTACTACTCTACTCTACTCTACTCTACCGTTTATTACTACCACTTGCCATTCACCACTCCTTATTACCGCTTTTACCACCACCACCACCACCACCACCACCACCTACTACTACCGAGATACAACCATCGTCACGCTAGAGACACAGACACACACACAGACATACACACACACACACACACACACACATCTCCCTCGCTCCCTCCTCCATCTGCACGCATTCTCGATTTCATCACTACGGTACATACCTAGCCAGCCAGCCAGCTTACTATTATTATTATTATTATTATTGTTACTACAGTCCAGTCTAGTCCCGTCCAGGACGGTGCACATCCTCCCAGATCCCGTCACCGGACCTTTCACGCTTGCCCGCCCGTTGGATCTTCTTTTCCCCTTCTCTCCCACCTTCCACCCGACACCTGCATATGTTACATACATTACATACATACATACATGCATACATCACATCACATTACGTCCATGCATACAGACATACAGACATCCACACGGTACACCACTTTTTATTCCAATCTAGTATACGAACAGACACATCACGTCAATCTTCGCCTCTACCACCACCACCACCACCACCACCGCTTGGAGCGCCCGTTTCGCCGGGACTTTTCAACCCTCGGGATTCAGACCCATTCGACCTCTCTTCCCATCAGTTAAACCACCACCATCGCGGCTGTCCTCCCACTCTCATCTTTTACTTTTGGACGACGGAACAGCTCAGCCGAGAGAGGCGCCCTCAGGAATCCTTTCCCTTCTACCTCATCTCACCAATACATCGGCCCATCGTCTGCGGTCGCCGCTCTCGCTATCTCTCTCTCTCTCTCAACGATCCTGCCTCCTCCTCCTCCTCCTCCTCCTCCTCCTACTCTCGTCATATAATAATAATAATATCTCCTCCCCAAACTCATGGCCCAATATGATCAACGGCTTCTCGATGGCCGATCACCGCTGAATGACCCGGAATGGCCGTTGACCGCTGACCGCGACTCCTCCCACCACAACAACCACCTCTCTCAACAACAACCTACCTCTCCGATAAACCACGTCACGCCATCTTCCCCGAAATCATCCTCTCCGCCATTGCCACCGTCGTCGTCGTCGTCGTCGTCATCACCCAACAACAACAGCAACGACAACAACGTTCCCCGGCGACCGGTCCCTAACATCTCCACCCAACTCGACGTCCGTCTGCAGGCGACACCCGCCAGTCCCGTCAGCATCAACCCGCCTCGCCACGACATCCGGGAGCCCAACATGGCCTCCATCGCCCACACCTCCATAGGCGCCGACACTGCTGAGTCGTGGAGGAGTTCAAGAGCCTCACACACCCCCGACTCCATGTCATCACATACCCGCAACTCCACCGGCTCCCTCCCCATCCGGAGTCGACCGACGAGTTACATCGACGAATATGGCACCCACCACCGTCGACAGTCCTCGGGGATCCACAAGCAGAGCATAGAAGAGAACGGCGAAGAGTATCAACAGGAGGAGCAGGCCGGCGAGGGGTTGCGGTATCTCGCCTTTGACGATCTCCCCAAGAAGCGAGTCGCCGCAGCACGGGTGTCATCAGCGCACCACTCCATCGGGTCCAGCTCGTCGGGGGGCGGCGATCCTCGAAGGTCCCCTCCACAGCAGTATCCCACATCACAACCTCTACAATCACACCAGTTGGGCGTGCCCCGGACCACCCTCTCGCGACCTTCCTCGGCACATACCCTCGCCTCGGATTACCGGGGTCGGACGCTCTCCCCGCTGAGCGCGAACGGTTCCGACCCGGGCTCGCCTCAAGTGTTCGCGCGGGATCTCTCGGGGAACCGACGCTCCCCGTCCGCCCGGCCGGCGAGCTACTTGGACCTCCTGAACAACATCCCGTACGATCAGCAGGTCGCCCCGGGGCCGCCCCTCAACAACGCCTCCCTGCAGAGCCACGTCGGCCGCGGGGCCAGCCTGCTCGCCACGAAGAAGACCCTGGACATGTACCGCATGAACGTGAAGAAGACCGCCGACCCCGCCATCCAGTACGAGTTCGCCGTCTTCATGATCAACACCGCCGTCGACGCGCAGCCCGAGGACGGCATCGACGCCGCGGAGCTCCAGACCGAGGCCAAGCACATCCTCCAGCGCCTCTCGGACCGCACCTACCCCTTCGCGTCGTACTACCTCGCCGACGGCTACTTCTCGGGCCTCTTCAACAAGGGCAAGCCCGACTACGACCGCGCCTTCCCCCTCTTCGCCTCCGCCTCCCGCCACGGCCACGCCGAGGCCAGCTACCGCGCCGCGCTCTGCTACGAGTTCGGCTGGGGCACCGCCCGCTCGCCCCAGAAGGCCGTGCAGTTCTACAAGACCGCCGCGTCCAAGAACCACCCGGGCGCCGCCACCCGGCTCGGCCTGGCCTCGATCCGCGGCGACCTCGGCCTGGTCGACCGCGGCTCGTCGGCGCACTACAAGGACGGCGTCAAGTGGCTGAAGCGCGCCCAGGAGTCGGCCGACCGGCAGTACAACGCGGGGCCCTACGAGCTCGGCCTGCTGCACGTGCGGGGCGACGACCGCGACATCTTCCGCGACCACGTCTACGCCGCCAAGCTCTTCACCCAGTCCGCCGAGCTGGGCCACCCGGAGGCCGCCTTCGTCATGGGCCGCGCCTACGAGCTCGGCGAGCTCGAGTGCCCCAAGGACGCCGCCCTCAGCGTGCACTTCTACAACGAGGCCGCCTCGCGCGGCCACGTCGAGGGCATGATGGCCCTCTGCGCCTGGTACATGGTCGGCGCCGAGCCCGTGCTGGAGAAGAACGAGGCCGAGGCGTACGAATGGGCCAAGCAGGCCGCCCAAGCCGGTGAGTCTCTCTCTCTCTCTCTCTCTTTTTTTTTCTTTCTCTCCGTACAACACTGACCCATTCTTTCCCTCTCCCTTCCAGGCCACGTCAAAGCCCAATACGCCCTCGGCTACTTCACCGAGATGGGCATCGGCTGCCGCCGCGACCCGCTCGAGGCCAACGTCTGGTACGTGCGCGCCGCCGACGCCGGCTACGAGAACGCCCGCCAGCGCCTCGAGGTCATCCGCGCCGCCGCCGCCGGAGGTGACATCGACGGTGCTACTGCTGCTGCGGGAGCCGCGCCAGGAGCACCCCCGGACGGGAAGAAAATGTCCAAGGCCCCCCCGAAGTCCAAGGATCTGGCCTCGAACGGGAACGCGAATGCGAACGGCGCGAACGGCGCGAAGAAGAAATTCATGGGCATCTTCTGAGCGGCCGCGGTCGGTCGATCGGCCTCGGTTGATGAAAGAGGATTGGGAACGGGATCGGGGTTCGGTCTGGGAGGTCCATGTGCGAGGCTCGATTTCGGGGTCCATGTTCTGGGAGGCGAGAGGAGGAGGAGGAGGCATCCGTCGCTTTTTTTTCTTTCTCTTTCGGTCCCGGATTTTTTCCCTCGATTTTCTTTTCCCCCTCCTTTTTGGGGGTTTTCTCCCCCCCGGCCACAGGCTCGCGGGCCCATTTTCGAACGAACGAGATACCTGCCTATCTGCCTATCTGCCTGTCTTCTCGAGAAGGAAGAGAATCGTCCCGAAAAGCGGAAACCTCATGTTGTCTTCTTTTTTATTTATTCAAAAAATAATGTGGATTCTATCCTTTGCGATGGCCGTCGCTCGATGTCATTTCATGAAAGGTGGAAAGTACATTAGACGAGGCTCTCGTAATATTCCGACCCGGCTTAGAGATTACTATACTATAGCTTATCAATCGAAGCAACTACCCTCTCTCCATCCTATCTTGTTTCGTTGAACTTCACGTAATACCTCATATCGATTATTATCACTACTCTCAAGCAGATAGAAAGGTCCCTAAAATAATAACGAGTCCCCTCTAGGGCTGGGGTTCTCTTCTCCACGTGGGAAAAAAAGAAGGGCAAACCAAAAACAGGGGTCCCCTTTGCCCTAATCACCACCGAATTCTGGCCCTAGTCCCCGATCGGGAGAAGTCTCTTCCGCCATGTCTCGCCGGCCCGCTCATGTACCCCGTCCAGCGGGAACTGTCCGTCACTGGCGAACTTCTCCACACACCTCGGGACAGGAGAGGAGAAAGAATACCCATTGGATCAGCAGTCAAAACGGTATCTTTTCCTATCCCATTCACTACACCTTTTCTTGTAAACAACCACTGGTGGAATCCCTCCCTGCTGCCGGTGCAAGAGAAACCCATCCGGACTGGAAATCAAGCTCTGGTGAGAACGGCGGAATTCGCAGGTCCACATGCGCGTGTCGCGTGCGCGAGAGGAAGACCACCAAACGCCCATCCTACACCCATCCTGTCCGCCCATCCCTCCCACCCTGGAGACCTTCCCTGATCCCGCCCGACCTCCCCCTCGACTCCACCTCCGGACCTCCTCGCCCCAGCGATCACAACTCCCCTGAAAGCAAGCCATGAGCAAACTCGACCTCGAAGGCAGCGTCAGCGGCGGCGGCGGCGGCCTCAGCGGCTCCTACAGCGACGTCGGCCACGACGACGACGACGAGCATCATCTCACCGTGGGCAAACGTCCCCGCGCCAACAAAGGCGATGTCATCGACGACGACGATGCGTCCTCCCTCGCCTCGCTCCTCCACGACGGTGAGATCGTCGACGACGACGACGATGAGGATCTTCCGCTTTCGAGGCTGGAAATGCTGGATCCCATCGGCCCCGGCTTGGACCCGCAGAATTGGCCCCGCTGGAAGAAACTGTGGGTCGCGGTCTCGATCGCTTTTTATACGTGAGTCCTGATTTTTCTTCTCCCTTTTCTTTTCCCCTTCTTCTCAATTGCTTCTCTTCTTTCTGGGTCGGGTTGGGGTTGGGGTTCGTGTTTGGAGCTCTAAGGTTTGGATCGCGCAGGGCAGGGCTTTATCTTTGGGAGATTCGAGAATAGAAGGGGAACAGAACGAGGGAATCGCGTCGGCTGGCCAGACCCTTGAGAGTCAAAGATTGCTGACTTGGTTACTTTTTTCCCCTCCTCCCAGATCGGTGTTTTATTCCGGATCGTCGATCTTCATGGTCTCCGTCCCGGGAGTCATGGTCTTGTATCATGTCGGCCAGGAACACGCTCTCATGGGACTGTCACTTTACGTGTTGAGTTGTAAGTATCGACCCTATCCCGATCCGCGTGTTGGAAATGAAATGTTGATTATTCCGCAGATGGCCTTGGCCCTCTACTCTGGGCGCCTCTATCAGAAGTCCGCTGGATCGGGCGGAACCCGGTTTACATCTTTACCATCCTCGCGTTTGTCGCCATCTCTTTCTTGACCGCGACGATGGCCCTCAAGGGTCTTTTTGGATTCCTCGTTCTGCGCTTCCTACAAGGCTTCTTCGGCTCGCCTTGTCTCGCCAACGGAGGTGCGTCCATGCATGACATCTTCACCGAGCAGGAATTGCCCTACGCCCTTGGAATCTGGATCGCTTTCGCCTACGCCGGTCCCGCCCTGGGCCCCGCCTTGGCCGCCAAAGCCACCGAGGTCTACGGATGGCAGTTCCCCATGTGGTTCATCGCTTACGGATCCGTCCTCGCCTGTGTCGTCCTCCTGGTCCTCCCCGAGACCTACCTTCCCAAAATCCTCTATCGCCAGGGCGCCTACGCCCGCATCGGCGGCGGCCCCGACGGCCACCACCTCGAACAAGCCCAGCGCCACGCGGGCCAATCCCCCTCCTCCTCCCGCGGCGACAGCGTCTGGGCCACGCTCAAAGACTCGCTGATCAAACCGCTCGAGATCAGCCTCCTGGACCCGTCCGTCAACTTCGTCAACATCTACACCAGCTTCTGCTACGCCACCTACTACACCTTCTTCGACGCCCTGCCCATCACCTACATGACCAAATACGGCTTCAACCTCACCCAGGTCGCCGTCGCCTGCACCTGCATCATGTTCGGCTGCGCCGCCGGCGCCGCCGCCTACTTCTCCTACGTCTACTACGTCGCCAACCCGGCCGCCGCCCGGGGGACCTCGGTGCAGGAGGACCGGCTCAAGCCCGCCCTGGTCGCCGTCTGCCTCATCCCCGTCGGCATCCTGGTCTTCGCCCACGCCAGCGACGGCCGGCTGCACTGGCTGGTCGGCATGTCCGGCATCGCCCTGTACTCGGCCGCCGTCTTCGTCATCCTGCAGTGCCTCTCCATGTACATGCTGCAGAGCTACCCGGCCTACGCCGCCAGCCTCTTCGCCGCCAACGACGCCTGCCGCAGCGTCCTCGCCGCCGCCGCCGTCCACCTCGGCCTGCCCTTCTACATGAAGCTCGGCGTCGTCTGGGGCTGCTCCATCCTCGCCGCCGTCAGCGTCCTCGGCATCGTCGGCATGTTCGTCCTCTACTGGAAGGGGCCCAGTCTGAGGGCGAGGAGCAAATTCGCGGTCAAATGATTGGGGGGTTGGTGTCGTTGGCCTTTTCTTTCTCTCTCCATGTGCATGTATTCTATAGGGTGGGGGGTTTCCCCCAGTTCTTGAAATATAGAAGGGTCTCATCTTTTGTTTTCGCGTAAACAGTTTTGGACAGTCGAGTCGATTGCTCTTCCACACAAAACGTGTCTGTAGATGAGATGGATTTTTTAATTTCCTCTTTTATGTGCCCTGGTTTCAATGGCACTGATGTCCGAACGAGCCACGAGGGCGGGTCGTTGGCTTTCTGTCCACGGATCGAAAAGCATGAGGATGAAGGGCAATGCAAATTCTGGCTTCCATTTTCTCTCTCTCACACATTGGGGAATCAACAAATCGGAGTATCCGAAAACTAACAAAGACGGGGAATATCCAACAGACAACACATTTGTCACAAGCGGTTCATGCCCTCATCGCCATCATCATCATCACAGCCGTCAATCGTCCCGGTGCTTTTCTCGCCGTTGAGGCGCTATCCCTCGGCGGAATCCCCCTCATGTCTGTTGCTCGGGAGCATCGGTGAACTGGGTTCCGTTCGCGACGCCTGCGTCGACAGTTCCGGTGCCGGCGGGAGCACCATATCGTCCAGCAGCAGCTCCATTCGTGGTTCCATTCGTCGCCGCGTGGCCATTGGTCACGACACCGTTGGCGGCGACACCGTTGGCAGCAGCGGGGGCGGACACGGCGCCCTCGTCGTACTCGAGCAGCAGCGAGGTCGGGAAGACCGACTCCCGCGCGCTGCCGTCCAGGTACTTCCGGGTCTTGAGCCCCGCGACCTCGTTGTCCACGGTGGTGAAGTGGCCGCGCCGGCCCGCCGCGCGGCGGACGTTGGGCAGCTTGAAGATCTCCTTGAGCATGGCGGCGATCGCGGGCGCCAGCACGGGCGTGAGGTGCGGGCCCACGATGAGGTCGTAGTTGGCCTTGGCGGCCGTCCCCGCCAGCGCCGCCCCGCCGCCGCCCACGGTGATCTTCTCCGGGTCCGGGAAGGCGCTGGCGTCCATGGCGGCGACCGCGGTCGCCACGAGCACGGTCTGGTTGGCTTTGATCGCGATGTCGCCGCGCGCGCCGTCCGGGATGACGGTGTCCTGGGAGGCCACGCGGGGCAGCGCCGGCACGACCCCGGCGTGCCGCATGCCCTCGTAGACGAAGTTCTCGAGCTCGGCGGTGGCGGCGGCGTCGGAGTCGGGGCGCTGGGCGAGCGCGACGATGCGGGCCTTGTATGACTCGTAGCCCTCGCTGAGGAAGAGGTCGACCAGCAGTGAGGCCTGTTGGGTGAGGACGCCGGCCATGGGGGCGGTCAGGCGGATGAGGTCGTCGGACAGCTCGGTCGGGCTGCGCTTGGTCGCGTTGAGGGCGTGGTAGAGCTTGTCGGCTTCGGCGTGGACTTCATAGGCGGTGCCCTTCTCCACCCAGTCGACGAACTTCTCCTTGATGCCCTGCTGGGTGCTGAGGTGGGCTTCGATGATCTGCTTGAGGATTGGCGCGCCCTTCTCGTAACCCTCGCGGAGGCCCCACTCGTTGATCGGCAAGATGTTGAAGGACTGGTATTCGAAGATGGCAGTGTATGCCTCGAACAGCTCGGGCAGGGTCAAAAGACCTCGGGGTGTCTTGACCGACTTGATGGGGAGCGCCAGACGGCGTGCGAGCCACGTGACGGGGACGATGTTGGTGACATCGCGGACGACATCGATCGAGCGACGGGTACCGCCGTACTTGAGGGAGCAAGTCCGAATGGACTCGGCGGTCTCTGCGGCGATGTAGGATCGCACCGAGGCTTCGAATCCTTCGTCGAAGAAAAGCGGAGCCACGTGTCTCGGCTCGTTGGTGAGAGTGCGGAAGTTGTCGCGGTCGAGGAGAACCTTCTTGCAGGCATCAAAGGTGTACACAACAGCGGGCTGGTTCTCAAGAGCCGGACGTCTCAGGTCATACTTGTTGACAACCTTGTTGCCCTTGAGGATCTCCGACACAGCTTCAGGCGTGTAGAAGGGAAGCAGAGCATATGCCGAGGTACCGGTGAAGTTGGTGGGCAGACCGCCGAAGATCAGCTTGGGGAGCATACCACCGTATGCACCGCCGGGAATGTCGGCGAGCTTAGATGCACCCCAGTTGGTGAGGGTGTTGCTATTGAAGTCGTAGCTAAGGAAACGGTCACCGCGGACGAGAGCCACGGCATCGTCGAGGATACCACGACCGGTAGTCTGACCAGGGCAGACACCACTACCAGCGACCGGAGGCTTGGTGCACTCGGCCATCAATCCTGGGTACAATTCCAAGTTGTCGATGTGGCTGTAGAGAAGCTCGGCGGCGCGAGCAGTGTCCTTGTCCTCACACCAGGCTTCGAACGAGTCGTAGGGCTTCAAGTTCAAGTACGAACGGAATCTGTCAAATGTGTTAGCGAATTCCACAATCACTCGCAGCCTGGACGAGACTTACTCGTTCAACGTGCAGACATTGAAGATCTCACGTGCTTGGAGTTGTCCCATGATGTCCACAACCTTCAAGCTGGCAGGAGTACCGTGCGCACCGAAGGCGTGAGCGGGCTCTTCGATACAGTCCTTGATCAACTCAGCAAGTTGGACATCATCGAAGCGTCCATTCTCGTCACGCTTGAGTCCACCAAACGTCCATTCGCGAGGTTGGGTCTTCATGAGCTTGTGGCCCTCTTGCATCAAAACCTTCTTGAACAAGGCGGGTGTCATGTCGTGGATGGATCCCAGCTCGGGCAGGTTCTCTCGGAGCAGCTCCTCCATCCATTCGGCGTCGGCATGGCTCAACGCGGCGTGCCAGTGGTAAAGAACGGCAAACTCGACCGAGACAACGTTTCCGGTGCCTCTCTCCACACGTGTACCACCGCTCTTGATCTCCTTTCCGAGGTCCAATGACCAAACGGAGTCAGCGCGAGGGGTGTTGAGAATGGCAGCGACGTAGTCCTTGAGAACAACGGTGGCGAAGAATCCTACGTTGATGTTGCGTCCCAATTGGAAGAGATCGTTGTCTTGCCTGAAGGTACCATTGTTAGCCAGTCGTGCAAGGTCATAGATGTGAGAGATGCACGCTTACCATTTCTTGCCTTCCTCATCTAAGCTGTCCCAGTCCTTGTACTTGCCCTTCTCGTTGATGGACAGGAGGTTCGCGACAATTGCATTGTGATTTCTCGAAAGTAGTACCGCCAATGCGACCACACCAGGAGGCATGAGCAAGATACGCTCGGAAGCGATCGAGTCAGGGTAAATGGTACCATTGTTGTAGGTACGGACGCGAACTTGCTCCTTCTCGGTGTTACCGTACAGAGTACTGAGGTCGACGTAGTGCGAGGTCTCGTTGATCCATTGGTTCTGTCGGTTGGTTTGGAAACACTCGTGAATGACAATTGTTGCGAAAGAGAAGAAAAGTCGGTTCAAGCCGGAGGGGTGCTTTCGGAATTCATTGTCGGGTCGTCTGAGAAGCTGCTCGTAGACGAGCTCTGGGTCTGGCAAATTTGGTCCTTTCGCCTTGAGCGGAGGAACATTCCTGCTGTATGGAGATCCAGCCTTGCCCATTTCTGGCAACCAAGGGTTGTTGCCTCCACCGTCATGTCTGCGGTAGACAGCTGTGGGACCTGCTATCGTGGTCGAAGGATGAGGCAGATCGCCGTACAGCATCTTGATGAAACCATCTGAGACCATAGAGGACAGTCCACTGTTGGGAGGGAGCTTCTGTAGCATGGCAACACCATTTTCAAGAAGGAGCTCTTTGTCGTCGAGAGGAGCTCCTGACGCGAGCGCAGGCAGAGCCTCTGCTAAGAATTTTGCGTTCTTGAGACCTCCGTGGAGGATATCATGGACCACTCCGGTCTTTTCGACCTTTGCTGAAGCTTCAGCATCAGATCGACGGTCTGGAGCAGTGCTCGGCTTTCGCCTGATGCTGCCAATAATGGATTTCAAAGAGCCGCCAGCCATGATGAAAATCCTGTAATCGAGGAGGTAGCAAGGAAGAGAAATGAAAGCTGGAGATCAAGCTGGGTCAAGACAATATCGAGGCAAAATAGCATTCCTCGAGCTTCACATTCCAATACGAGCAACTTCGCATGCCGATCTCTGCACGCTGCATCATCGCTATCATCAGAGCTTGACCTACGCTCGTACAGCCATTGGATGATAACGCGATCAGTGGATGGGGGCACTCGCTTGCGGCATCCGTTGCATGGCACATTAGCTTGCATGCCATGGGACAGCTCAAGCCCACTGGTGTCGCATGTGCTTTCGAAAAAGTATTGGGATGTTCGATGACCATCACCACATTGGGAAAGACGCCATCGTGCTGGGCGCCAGGACAATATCTGCACGAGCACGCCCACAGCTCACTCGTGCATGTTCCAGCATGCAGTAGTACATGATTCGTGGAGAAACCTCATTCGCTGGTCGAGTATAAGTATACTGTACAGTATAACAATTGTTCGTTCACGGCTTTAACGGAACCACGGTTCAACAGTGCCGAACAAGAGTGTTGAGCTTTTGTCGACATCTCGTGTAATGTTCGGGCCGTGCATTATCCCGATCTGGCTTCGTTTGGAGTGGAGACCACCAATGAGATCCCCCGCTAAGCCACGGAACGGTCCTCCCTCCCCACTTAAATCAGTCTACACCTCGCCTACAGCGATTACACCACTTCACGCTATGAGGATAGCTTAAACGTGCCTCTATTTTAGTACCGAAAATGCATGCAACTTCTTCCAATCCTCGTCGTTGTTCTACTTGCATATTGCATACTGTTGACTTCATGGCTTCGCATCCTGCTGCACCTCAGTGGAGATTGCATGCAGGTCGTCCTCAGGCGCTGAGCGGTCGGCTAAATTCTTCGCGAGCATAGATCTGCACAACACGCGTTGTCCTGGGCATCGTTGATCTCTTACCGCATCGAGCGGACCTTCAATGCTCGATTCCTTGCCGTGGTTGGCAGGTCTAGCGGTTGATCTTCGCCTCGTACCAGCCACGAGCTAAGCATGCAACTGTTATTGAGCCATGCTGCATCATGACGGTATGTGGGAATTGGATCATCGCCGAGGTTTCGCTTGGAGTTCGATTTATTTGTAGGCCAGCTACCCTGCTCTTAATGTTCTGGCTATCCCGTGGTGACTGTTAGCGATCACGCGGTGGGCATTTCACCATGAGTATCTCCAGACGGTCTTCATACCCGCTGAATGCGCCGCCATCCCCTGCGCGGCCGGGTCAGCAGATATCTTCACCGAAAGGTACTGATAAGCCGCCTCGTGTGCCGCGCAACATTCGAGCATTGAAGGATGGCAAGGCACCACCGCTCGTGGGCCGGACCATCATCGTGCTCTTGGACGGCACTGGCGACAAGCTTGATTCCGACAACAGCAATATCATCCATTTGATGCAATGCTTGAAGAAAGCGAGCCCGGACCAGGTTGTTTACTACCAATCCGGTATTGGCACGTACAATGGAAAGGGTCTCTCGAAAGGTTTCAGCGCTGGACTCGACATGGCTGTCGGTAGCGGTCTGGGTGTCCACATTCGAGATGCATACAGGTTCCTCATGCAGACCTTCAAAGAGAACGACCGGATCTGCCTCTTTGGCTTCTCGCGTGGCGCATACACTGCGAGATGTTTGGCAGGCATGATACACAAGGTCGGACTACTTCCCGCGCACAATGTGTCCCAAGTGGAATTCGCGTACAGTTTCTACAAGAACGACACTCCCGAGGGATGGAACATGAGCCTTGAGTTCAAGCGCACCTTTTGCATGGACGTCTCTGTGCACTTCGTTGGTGTGTTCGACAGTGTGGCTAGTGTCGGATTTTTTCCACGAAAGCTTCCTCTGAGCAGTACGCCCCACAACAAAGCCAGATACTTCCGACATGCGCTTGCTCTGGACGAGCGTCGAGCAAAGTTCAAGGCTTGCCGATTTCAGCGGAAGACGACGACTGACGCAAAGGCTCATTGGGAGACCGTCGCTGAAGTGCACGAGGATGCCGGTGGACTCGTTCGAAGGCAAAGCACTCTTTCGAGCCGCAGTGGCTTCCACAGTCCCACAAACGGCAGCTTGTCGCGCCGTGTGTCCGTATCTGACCAGATCGGTACCACCGACAGCACTCCCTTTCCTCTTCGTGGTCGGCAGCCGACGGACGAGTTCCCCAACGAGACTGATGTGCTCGAAGTCTGGTTCGTCGGCCAGCATGCGGACGTCGGAGGCGGAGCCGCCAAGAACGAAGTCCGCCACAAGCTCTCACAGACCCCCCTCCGATGGATGATCCGACAGTGCTTCGAATGCAACACCGGTATCATTTTCAAAACCCACAACCTCGCCTCCGAAGGTCTCGACGTTCACACTCTTTGGCCAGTCTACACCCCTCTCACCCGCCCCAAGGTTGGCCCGCCACCGAGCATCATGGAGAAGTACGACGCTGGCAGCATCGCACCCATATCTCGCCGAGCAACCGTCCTCGCTCCCGTCAACGAGACCGACCCGCTGGGCCTGCACGACGTCAAGCTTTACGAAGACGCCTACCACAACGCGCTGCACGCTGACTGGGTACCCGAGCAGGTCGAAGACTACTTCGACTGCATCTCGACCATCCACGACCAGCTGATCATGGCTAAGACGTGGTGGATTCTGGAATTCTGGCCGATCAAGGTGCGTGTCCAGCCTCCGGACTCGGATACGTGGGTGAAAAAGGTGGCGATGAATTTGGGACGATACCGACCTGTGCAAGACGAGGCACCGAATATGCACTGGACTGTGCAGCAGCGAATGGATACCCTGGGATACAAGATCAATGCGAGAGTGGATAAGCGGGCGAACTGGAATATAGTGGTATAACGAATGAGGGTTCGGGCAATTAGGGGATAAGATTAGAATGTTTGTTAGACAGCGGTGGAGTAACTCTTGCATAGGCAGGACGTTATTCCACTTGCACGACGCAGATTATACTTCATTCATGTGTTCACACTTTCAGCATGGCAATATATTGCTTGCAATGCCTTACGCGGAATTCTTCTCCACGCTACCATGTTTATCCTCGTCAGAGACCGCTTTGCTCGAGTCGTAATAGTTGTCTTTCTCCATATCTGGTACTGCCTGCCTCGCATCATCCGCGACGGCATACTTTGATCGAGCACGGATGCCGGCTCCATACTTGTAGAACACGAACGGGATGGGCATGAGAAGCAAGCCAACTCCTCCGATGAGTGATCCGGCACCACCGATGCCAAGGGAGTCGAACATGTAATTTGTAAACAGCGGAGACGCGGCTGCAGATGCCGAGCGGAGCACGGTATTTGCAGCGACGGCGGAAGCCGCATACATCAGGTACGAGTCGATGATGTAATTGATGAAGACGACAAAGATGAGCAAGATTGACATTGCTAGGAAGACTCCCGCAATGGTAGGCACGATCCAGTGGATTGAGTTGTACTCGGCGGTCCAGGCGAACCAGAAGATTGACGCGGCGAACATGACGCCGCCGACCATGCCCGCGGGTAGACGGTCTTCAGGTACGGGTTTGCTGTGGTCTTTGTTTCTCTTTGAGCCGCGGAAACTGTCTAGAAAGAGGGCGATACCGCCGAGACAGGCGCCGATAATGGTGCCGATTAGAGGGAGCTCGCCAACGCCGGCGTTCCATCCGCGTCGTTGCTGAAAGACGATGGGGTATATGCTGAAGAGCATGTACAGCAACGTGTATACCACTGCGTAGTAGATCGCGACGAGCAGACTGATCGGATCTACGAGCAACTTCCAGGGCCGAGTCAAAGCGACAGCAAAGATACCCTTGAGAGTTCGATCTGAAGCTTCTGCGGGTGAAATGACGTGGTCGTTTCCGGGCTTCTTGCGCAGCCGTCGAGCCTTATGAGTCAATATGACGGCAGGAAGCGTCTCCGGGAGGGTCAGAAGCAGGATCTCGGTAGCGCCGGCCAGCCACAGGAGAACGTAAAAGGTCCAGCGCCAAGTCTCCTTGAGCTGAAGGAATCCGCTGACCACCGGTCCTAACGCTGGTCCGACGAAGGTCATCGTCGAGAAGAGGATCATGGCGTTGCCACGAGCGACATCGCCCCAGACATCAGAGAGAACGCCAGGGGAGTTCGTCAGCGCCGCACTCGCGGCGGTGCCAGTCAAGAATCGTCCAACGAGGAGTCCGCCGAAATTGGGCGTAAATGCACATAGGAAGCCTAATGCGAGGTACAGCGCGAAGGAGATGTGGAAGATCCACCGTCTGCCGTAGAACTCGGACAGAGGCGCCCAGAGCAGTGGACCGGCACAGTATCCCAGCAGGAAGAGTGTGGTAACGAGACCTGCGGCTTCGAGAGAGACACCAAAATCGTCACTTACTCCTTGAAAAGACCCCGATGGCGCCGATGAAGCAAAGGTGGCATTCATCACGAGTAAGATGGAAATGCCGGTGATAAAGCATTTCCGGCTGAATGAGTAGTTCTTGGGATTCTCTGGATCGTCGGAACTGAATTTGAGATGACCATTCGCGTCAAGAGAGGCTTGTGTGGTGGGATCTTGGTGACTCATGATCCAGAAGTACGAAGTCAAGCTTTTATGAGACTCAATTACGTTAATCGAAATGATAGTAGAGCGAGGACTTCGTGATCTGTATGAATTTGACAACGATCGCTGTGCGAAAGGTTGTAATATAAGCATATCGGCCGTTGTCGCCGAGAGCAAGAAGTAGTTTATGTTCGATCAGCCATGACGCAGGTCGAATCATCTTCTTCCCTTTGAGCCAATTGGCCACAGCTAGCTTTCAGGATCGCAATTGATCGTCACGAGTCGGCTTCGTTACCAAGCCAATCGAGCGTTCTGCCTTGGGAGTCGAATATCACGGTCATTCGCTTTCGCTTAACACTCGACGCGTTGTCGAATATGGCGGGTACAGCGGCGCCTGCGATAGGAATCGCAGGACTAGCGTAAACTCATAGCAAAGTCTCACGTAGGCTAGTGAAGGCTTATGTCAATGTTGTTGATGCTTTCCGAAGCGCAGCATGTGGTTCCGGTATGAACGGTGTCGATGAATACCATATTAGGTTAAATTGTTCTCAGACTCTCGTAGCGTCAATTCCTCCTTTGGGTAATTCTTGGCATCGCTGCTCCGAGATCTCCGGGACTCATGAATACACTCCGGATCTTTTGTCCGCATCTGGAATACAATTAGTAACCAAAAGGGATCTTTCCATAAGCTGTCGTTCGCTGTATGTCTGCTGAATAATATATCAGTGACGTCTCTCGTATCTTCTATAATCTTGCATAGTCCGCACGAGCTGGTGAGATGCGCATACAAGATCTTCTCATCCACGGGATGAACTTCGCGTCCTCTCCGAGCATCATTCGCATAGTACCACTACCAAGCATCATTTACCGCGCTTTTACGACTCTCGCCATGTCTGCTCCTCTCGTACCTGTCAGTATTTCTACAGCTGTGGAACAACGTCGCTCGAAACGTGCTTTGGAAGCCAAATCACCGGTTCCAGACAAGGTCATTGTCGAACTGGCAGAGCATGCAATCTTGCATGTTCCTTCAGCATTCAACAATCAAGCTGCTCGCGTGACGGTCTTGTTTGGCGAGAATCACAAGAAGCTGTGGGCCATCACAGGCAAAACATTGTTGAACAAGATTGGAGAGGAACGCTACAAAGATGGCACCGAGCAGAAGATGACAGCGTTCGCTAATGGCTACGGTACCATCCTCTTTTGGGATGATGCTTGTGTCGCCAAAGCTTTGAACGAGCATGCCCCGAACATGTACAAAGACAAGACTGACGAGTGGGTTCAGCAAAGTCAGGGCATGCATCAGTACTACCTCTGGACAGCCCTGGACGCACTAGGGTTGGGCGCGAGCCTTCAGCATTATAATCCGCTGATCGATGAGGAGGTGCAGAAGACGTGGAACATTTCTTCAGATTGGAAGCTCAAGGCGCAAATGGTTTTCGGTACGCCGAAGGAGGGCAGCAAATTGCCCGCAAAGGAGCAGAAAGTGCCGCTGGAACAGAGAGTGCAGGCTTTTGGCGCGAAAATTTGAGACCCCGCAAGTATCGGTCTGTAGAGTTCATGAATCTCAAGATGTCATTGAAAATTGACCCAAGATATGAAAACATGGGTACATTCGGACGTTAAGATCAGCGGTCGAAGGTATTGGTGTAGCGTGGCAGTATATGCACGAAATTTGAATACACTCGGAATTTGCTTCTTGCACTGATTTCCCATAGTGCTTGTTGATCCGCGCTTGCGTTGAGGCAGCAAAGCAGTCTGGTGTACACTACAATTCACATGCAGGTGACCATTGTCATGATCCCGACAATGAACAAATCAAAGATGAATGTGTCTCCTCAAAGATGTCCTTCGTTTAAATGACGTGCGGCTACGGCCGAACCCTAATCCCGTTCACAGCACAAAATTGTCACAACGTCATCTCTCAACGCAGAGCTGTCAGCCTGCTCCTTCTAGGCCAACCACGCGAAAGCTTCTTTTGTTTCGTGTTGCGGTACCTGCGGCGCGCGAATACAATTACATGATCACTTCAATAAACATGAAGTGTTTATGTCTGGTGCCGGACATGGAATCACCGCACTCAAGGGCCGGCTGATAGTCGTGGTGTAAATCACCACCGAAGACAATTCCTCTCTTTTCTTGAAGGGATGTTCCACCGCTTCTCTGCCGCGCCGGACAGGGCGCGAGGCCGGAAAAGCCGAAATGCGTATGCCACTGTTCGATCTGTCGCTGCGACGGGCAATGATCGTCATCACAGCAGTGACAATCCGCATCGGCTCACATGGACCACCAGCGAGCTTGACGAGGCCGAGACACTTGGCAATGCTGCACAGAAGATTCGAAAGTCCACCAAACGCCAGAAGACCACTCATGCGTGTGACCGGTGTCGTTTGCATCGCGTCAAATGTGGTGAGCTGAAGCCCTGTGTCCGTTGTGTAGACGCAAATGCCAAATGCGTGGTCTCCCGTGCGAAGTCATCGTCGCCCAGGGATAGCCAGCCGTTGGGGGCAAACGCCACGGCGCCCGGTAGACATGGCTCGCGCGAACGCGCTGGATCCAATACTGCTGCAGAGCGCACACCGACGTTGGCTGAGGCACAATTCTCACCTCACACACAGCTCCACTGCTTGAACATATCACAGAAATATTCAGCAGAGGCGTTGCCGTTGAACAAGCCCAGGCCTTGTCAATTCGAGCCTTCATCTGAGATTCCAGATGAATCCAAGTATCTGGCAGCTTTGGCCTCTGGGTACTTTCCCCTGCCTCCGTGTTCGGCCATGCCCTCAGGCGCACGCATGCAATCAAACAGGATACTGCAGGCAAGACAACGGAGCTATTACTTACGACTGTTCTGGGAGGTCTACCAGCCACTGTTCCATATAATCAGCGACACTGACTTTAGAGAACTCGATGAGTGCTCTCCGCCAACAAACCCGGGCGACCACGCAACATATTCGGTACGCCACGCTCTCATCGATGCTATGATTGCCCTTGCTGTACAGCACAGCCTGGCCACTGGTCTTGTCAGCCGCATACTAGATGTCTCTCAGCAAACGCCCACGATTGCGTCTGAGGCCTTTTGGCCTGGCTTCCAGCATTTCCATTGGTGTCGCGAACGCATGCGGACCAACGAAGATGTGTGTATAGATGCACTGCGAGCTCACGCTCTTCTCGCGCTGTATCTAATTAGAGGCAACGCATTTCGGGATGCATACAACCTGCTCGGCATTACGATTCGAAAAGCATACATCGCAAAGCTCCACCGGCCACCACCTAGCCAGCTCCCTGAAGGAGAAAAGACCGCTCGGATGCAGCTCTGGTGGATGTTATTTTCTCTCGACATTCGATGCTCGCTTCAACTGGGCTCACCGGTGGCTTGTCAACCTAGTCTGATTAGGTGTCCGCAGCCAACCAGAGACGCACTAGCTCGCTACATAAGTAAGTCCCCGACGACAACCTCAATAGATCACGCTTCATTGGCATATTGCATTGCCGCGCTGCATCTTGCGACAGTCATGGCCAATATCAGCGCGTGCGTTTCGCATGACGATTTGGAAGACCTGAGTGACGCAAATGCAATCGAAGACTTTTCGAATACCTTGGACTCTGCACTCATGGGTCTCGAGCTATGGCAAAGCCAGCTTCCGACAGACCTTCTCATTGGTAGGTCTACCAACAGCGCCGATCAGTTGCAGCTTGATTTGGGAAGTGGACGGCCTTTGTGGCTACAGCGGCATGCAATTCTACTCGAATTGAAATATCACAACGCTTATGTTATGTTTCTGCGACCGTGCATGCGAGCAACACGTCTTGCTACGTTCACCGAATCTGACGCAACTCGGGAAGACTGTCGTCTGGAGCAGCGATCGCGATTGCTTTTGGAGAGACACCTCGAAAGTGCTTTGAGCCATTCGTTCGCGGTCATTGACATCATATACGCCGTATCATCACAGTCCGATATCATATATGGCTGGTTCGAGGCGGTAGAGAGCTTATGGAATGCGGCGCTCACAATAGTTGCCTACACAACGTCACATCACGTCGCTGCCGAGTCTCGACGTGCGCAGGCGGGCGATGTCCACGATCGATCGGTTCTGCTGTGCTTCTCTACCTCCCAATGTCTTCATGCATTGTCGCGGGCAGAGCTTATCTTGAATGCGTTCTCGCCAACATGTCCAGGTGTGCTCGCAAGTAGAGATATCCTCAGCTCGCTCGTTGGAAACTTGCGAGCCATCTATCCTTGCTGGGCGGCTCCGCCGACATCCAACCTTCAAGATGTTGCGATGGCCGAGCCAAATGAGACGAGAGGTTCCGGCGAGATGCCTGTCTGGGACGATGTTTTGCCGTGGGATTTGTTCGTCACGCTGATGGCGGATCAGGCTCTCGTAAAGAGTTTGGGCGAGAAGCAGGATGGAAGCTGGGATTCTTTTGCGGATGACAGAACACTGCACTTTACAGACGTTCAAGCTTCGAACGTGTTCGCTTCGCCTGTGATCTTCGCTCCGATGGTATCGATGAGACATGCGGCGGCATGACGGCAATGATCACGAAAATGTAATATTGGGGGGGGGGGGGGCGAAGAAAATGACATAGTTCTGGAGATCCTGAGCGTTCAAATGTGCGTCGCACGATGATATGCAAACAGTTCACTGCCAGGAAGTCTTCGTCGCTCGCGAGACCGACGAAATCAGGCTCAGATATCCCAAAGGATCTTGCCTGAAACGTGTGAATGAGCAGTTTCCACATCGCTCTTGCCGCGGACGTTATTTTCATACAGGCGTGTCACTCACGCGTTATTTTGTCATCACGTTAATCAGGCATCAGCTGGTTGACAAGCTGGAGCAGACATCACTCGCTCCCAGCACGGGGATCGATAAAGTGTTTTGCGTCACTTGCTCGTTGAGAACTCTACACCTCAAACCTTGAGGTAAAGTTTCTCTTCGAAAATCAAGTCTCTTCAACCAATCTGCGCCTTTGCAGATCTCATCAAGTCAATCCTGTGCAAGGCTTATCAAGTTCATCTCGAATCAACGCCTATTCCAGATTTGACACATTGTCGAAACCCATCTGCAGTGAGTGATCATGTGGGCTGTCGTCCGATTCGAGTTCTGACTGATCAAGGCCAGCAACCGCAGAGCACTTGCCATCAAGAACAATTACTCTTCCAAACTCTCACCTTCTACACCGACTCTTTCTTGAAACCCTCACCTTCAAACACCCTTCGCTCCACCAAGCTCACCTGAACAAGCAGAATCGCTCACCATGCTTACGCCATGCTCCAGTCAGCCTCAGAGCACCTTCGTTCCCTTCGGCCAGACGCCTGCTGTGAATCTTCTTCGACATACGGCTGTGCCTACTCATTCCTGCACCAAGATTCTGAACCTGGGTCGTGACGATATTCGCAACATCCTCTTCACCTTATTCTCCGAATCTCCAAAAGCAGGCAATGTCATCCTCTTCACGATCTGTGGCTCAGACCCAGCTGTGCTTGCCAGAAACATCTTCTTGCTCACATATCTTGTGACCCACGTCAGCAAGGCCGCCAACATACCGGACAAGCTCGAACCTGAGAAAATCACAAAGGAGACAGCCACACTCTGGGCTTTGTACTATCACATGTACATCATTCGTGACGATATGCATGTTATGGGTGAGCATCTGAAAGATATTCTTGCCGCTTCGACGACACTTGCAATATGGGAAAGCTCTCGCTACGCGGATCCTTTGAAGTTCCTCTCAGAAAGCACTCTCGTCGAGGTTCGTACATATTGGCAAAGGTACCTGGACGCTCGCAATGATCCAAAGAGCGCAACCCGTCCAAAGGCAGCCATTTTGAAGAAATTCTCAAGGGACGAAACGCGATCTGAGAGACTCAACTTGCCTGCGAACCGCACTGCGGGAATCCACAGTCTCACACACATCCCGTCTTTACGCACTGCGTTCCACAAATTCTGGAAGACAGGAGTTGTTGCTGGTAACGAGTCAGATGTTGGTGCCTTGAACCAAGAAGGCGATGGTCTCGTCAATCCTCTACTCAGCATCAATTCTTTACCTACTCGGGCATTCATCCTCCATCCTAACTCAGATCCATTGCTGAGTTTCCACCTCGCACCGGTATTTGACCAGCCTGCCAAGGAAAAGTTCATGCCGGAAGTTCTTGCGGCTCTTGCCAAAGCCCAATTTGGGAACTGGTGTGCTGTGGTCCAACAACACATGAGGCTGCGCACCGTCCAAATCTCATTCCACCACGGCGATTCTCTCAGCCTGTGTTACTGGCTCCAACAGCACAAAGACGTCCCGACGCAGATGCCTGCATACGTGTATTCCTACCTCCGCTCATGGACAGCCAAGACGTTTGACTTGACTCCTACAGCCGATCTCATAGTGGAGTACGATGTCATCGAGACGTCGGAACTGGGCGATCGTTGCGGTGTGTTGAACTTGCTTCCAGCAGCTATTCCTCTATTAAGCAAGCGCGCCAACGCCGTCTTATACACAGACACGTTTCGATGCACCCCGAATACCACGTCTGAGTATCTCAGCAAGTTGCTGCTGGCTGATCCGGTGACATGTGCTCTGTTGTTTGATTTGATGCCCCTTGGCCTCGCCACTGGCACATCAGTTGAACATTTTGGATCTGATATCATCATCAACCATCTCAATTCAGACAATGTCATGAATCCACTGCACCGAGTGCGCGTGACCTGGAAGCGTCCTGACGGAGGCGATGGGACGAGACCCACGCCGATCACCCCATCACCACCGCAAGTGAGTGTCGACGCTAAACAACTCGCGTCCTTGTTCATCAACTGGTACTTGGCGCTATTTCGCCAATCCGCACAGCCTGCTCGCTGGAACTTCCATGGTACTAGCGAGTACAGGTACACGCAAGTTACCTTCGTGGGGCTCATCGTTCTCGCCCATCAGCAAATCGAGACCGAATGGCAGAAATGTATCACAACGCTTATTGACGGTATCCGTGCTTGGGCTGGCCAATCTCAAAAGAAGGCATTCGTGCAGGAGCTCCTGACATTATTACATATGTCTGGTCTCTATTGCGATTCAGATCTCACGACACCGGCTTCCGACACTGCTAAGAAGCTCACTGAGTCCTCAAACCAGATAGCGCTGACCTCACTCAAGCGCTTTCCCGAGCTGTCCAACATTGTCTGTGTGGCCTTGGTCATTCCCAGACGGAAGTTCCGAGTGCTCCCGTCTTTTGAATTGGAGTCTTTCAGCTACCTCTGTCTGCACATGGTGATACAAAACGAGGGCATGCTTGACAATCGCTTTGCATCAATTCATGCGTGCTTTGGTTGCCTAAACCTGGGCGAAGGCTCGGCGCCTGCTAGCATTGAAGAGGACCCCGCAGGATGGCAAGGTTCGTCAAAACTCATAGTAATGTGCGTCGTGCCAGCCTTTCAATTTCTGGTAGGACGCGAAGGACGGACGCGAGTCGCTGTTGGTGTCAGTGACCTCTCGACCATAAACGCTCTCGCTCGTGTTGTTGGACCAGGAACACGCATTTTCGAGGCATCCATCAATGATGGCAACCATGTGCACCTTTTGACTACACTTCCTAGTGTGACCTCATCGCCGACCAGTGCGCTGTGTGCCAACGTCGCACCTGCGCGCAATCTACACGAATCTGCCAGCAGGCTGACCATGGTCAACGGCATTGCTAAGTCACTATCTGCAAGAGTTACCCTGACTGGAAAAGTTGAATGCCATCGACTGAAAAACGACTGCGTCATCAGAGCTTCTCAGCACGGATCTTGCTCGATGTTCATCTTCATCGGCCCGGAGTGTCGCAAGTTGAGCTTTCCATTTCCGATCGACGGATCGCGCTGCGATCCAAAATCGCCGCGTGCGGCGCTTTGGATCGAACTCACTGCACCTATTACCTGCGCACCCAAAGAGCACGGCTACGAGCTAGACCCGTTCCCCCTGGTCATCGATCGGGGTCAATTACTCTCGTGGAGCCTTGGCAGAATCAATCTTTCGATTTGCCCTCCGATCTCATCAGCTGTTCCATTCAGGCATTTGAAGCTCTTCATCGAGATGGCTGAGAGTATTCAGGAAGTTCGAGCTTTGGCCAACCCTGCCAACAAGAATGGTTGCGATGATGCATCAGAGTTCGTGGGTGCAATGTCGATCCCGAAAAGCTCCGCGGAGCTGTTCACCTCGCAAATGACGATGTTCAAGTTGAAACGGTCGATTGCACTCCTTTTTGACGCTGCCAATGATCGTGTCGGTCGTGCTGGGCAGACACTCAACGCCGTGACGATGTCTACAATCAAAGGCGAAGAATTCCTCATCATTCTTGGACAGCTGCTGCACGATCTGGATCAAGGTTCGATCTGTATGGAAGTATATGTGGTACCGCTTCCAAAACAGAGACCGAATCAGCTCACTTTCGCCTTGTCGTCACTGAAATTTACTGGTCGCGCTGTGGGTATCCAGATCCCTGAAGAAGTGGCCAATCATTGGAAGGCACTGCTCCCAGCCATGGTCGAACGCTGCCGCTACGGTTGGCAACATAAATCAAGCTGCGAGTACTCCATCGGAGAAGAGTTCAGATGTCCACGCACTCGTCCGTTACGCAAGTCGCCAATTTGCTCATGCGGTCAAGGTCATGATGTTGACGGTATTCCGGAAGCGTACCAAGTCCTCGGTCCTTTTGCAACACGCGTCGCCATCTCGCCGCTGTCCGCAATGCCATATGTCGAAGTGATGGCACTCGACATGGAGCAATATGAATTGGCCAAAGTGTGGGGAAATCAGCTGTCTCAACCCGTCAACAATGAGATGGTACAGACGCGATATTTGACATCCTGCTCCCACTGTCGCAAGCCAGGTATCGACATGATCGATTGTCGCCAGTGTCACAAAGAACAGTGGTGCAGCAAGAAGTGCGAACGCGAGGCACGCCAAAACCACAAGCAGATCCGCAACAAGTACACACTCATTTCCAGGGCGAAGGGCCTGCGCCCAAGGATGTGTATCTTAACACACCTGGCATGTCATTCCAAGAGCATTACGTTCAATTTATGATGTCATGTCAGCTCGCCGACATGATAAATATGAGTCTGGAGGACTATCTGACCAAGTTTCCCCCACGTCGCTGATTCGCCTTTGTGTGTCGTATGGAATGCTTTCCTGTCATCGATCTTGGAGCCTGCACTTTTATGATGGCACGCATGTAGCTCAAACGGCTAAATGGAATCGCTCTGCAAGTTTCTGCATTGGCTGGAATGGGCACTTGCGTGCCGTGATTTTTCGCAAGTTTGGGGCTGGAATACGTCGTAGTCATCGTCACAATCCCATTCCTGCACATCAGATGTTGCGTGAACCGAGCATCTCTTCTGAACTTCAATACCTGTGCCAGCGCATGTGTACTTCGGTAAGTATACCACGATGCCTGATGGAGGTGGATGCGCATTGATAAGATTGTATACCGAATGCTCACCGGTCGTGCATTTCACTTATCTGGGACCCACCTTTTGCGCTGCAGCCAAATATAAAATATTCACAAATCCCAAAATGCAGTCATAATAGAATTATCTTCATACTGATTCATCCTTGAAACTTCATAGTGATCCATGTCTTTCCCTGCCCCGCACACATGCAAAATCACCGAGCGGTAGACGATTCAGCCTGTCCAATAATTTACATTTCACTGACTTCGGAAATCATTCGCCATGCTTGTACCGTGCTTCGTCAGACTACGATATTATTTCTATCCGATCGGAAATACGCCAGCCCTCAACCTTCTCAGAGATGCATCAACGGCGTCAACATCTGAAAGTAAAATCCTGTGTCTCGGCAGTGGCGATGCTCGAAATGTCCTTTTCACACTGTGGACAGAACCTAATCGCGATGATCGCTTGATTCATTTTACTACTTGCGATTACGAGCCGGCCGTTCTCGCCCGTAACATCTTTCTCTTCTCATATCTGATGTCTGATCAACAAAAAGACTGCGGCACCAAGACGAGCACAGGAATGCTATGGAACATGTACTACCACATGTTCGTTACGAGCGATGTGTTGTCAGCCAGATCGAGCATCTTGAGATGCTTCTGAAGGCATCAGGATCAATAAACGACTGGACAGCCTCTCCATTTGGCGGCGTGCTGAGGTTCCTCGGAGCTAGCTCCTTCTTCGAGATGCGGACCTACTGGGGCCTCTACCTCGATGCCGCGCGTCGGCGAGATCAGATTGCACAGATCAGAGAAGAGATTGCCGCAATTCACGAGCCTCACAGCGCCGAAGCAACTTATCACCTGTCTGGAATGCGTAGCGGAGGCCTTCATGGAATTACTCATTATGCAGTGCTTGGCTCGACGTTTCGCGCATATTGGAAGACTGGCGTTGTCGCTGGAAATCAGCAGGACGTTTCAGTACTACAGCGTGAGAAAAGAGGCCATACGAACCCGCTACTCCTTGTCTCATCGGCCCCGCGTAATGACTTTGCTATGCACTACGGCACTGATCCTATCTTTGGATACAATGTGGCTGCAGCACTCGACGACTCTTCAGATGTTTCGAACGCATCCGAGCGACTGGCAAAGATCGTCAAGGCACAGTTCCATGATTGGTGTGTCGCGTTCGTACAACACGCAAGAGCTCAAACCGTCCAAATCTCTTTCCACTGCGGAGATGCTTTGGCTTTATGCCACACACTTCAACGCCGCGCTGCCATTCCTCCAAAAGTCCCAGAGCACTTGTACAGCTACACACGTCCCTGGTCAGCAGTTCCGATAAGTCTCGACAGTCGGTTGGACTCATATTCACTCAAGGACTTTCATGTCATCGACACTTCAAATATCAGTGACCACATTGGTATCCTCAACTTGCTGCCAGCTACCGTGCCTTTGCTGAGCTCCGCCAACAATGCCGTCCTCTACACCGAAACTTTGTTGCCTGAAAGCCTTGATCCAGATAAGTATTGTGACGAACTGCTCCGCGCGGATACAAAAGCGATCTGCATTTTCATGAATTTGTCTCCAGTCGGCTACTTGCTCGGAATGTCCACTGAACATTTTTGAACAGAGGCTGCGGCTGATGGTCTCTCCGGGCGTGCAAAATCGAAAAGACAGAAGCGCATGCGCCTCACGTGGAAACATCCAGGCGGTGGCGATCATGTCTCGTCATCGAAGACTTCACCGTTTCCCATCAAACTGAGTGTTGAACACCGTGAGCTCGCCTCATTTCTTTTCCAGTGGTATCTGAACATGTTCTCTCCTTTCGAAGATATATCTCGGAGGTTTCGTAGCCTTGGTACAGGTATCGACCCTTTCTTAACGCGGATCATTTTCAATTCCCGCAAGACCCTAGTCGCATTGATCGGTCTCATTCGTCAACGCATTGAGACCGACTGGCGAGCGTGTCTCCAAAAAATGCTTGAGATGATCGCGAACGATAGATCGCTTCTCATCGGCAGCAACTCTTTGCAAGAGCTATATACACTTCTACAAATGTCGGGTTTGATGGACATATCAGCGATGAAATTGCCGCCGCATGTGAACGCCGGTATTCATGCAGCTGCTTTTGGGACAACTGCTCTGACCAACCTCAAACGGTACCCAAACCTACCCAATGTCATCTGCGTCGTATTGATAGTGCCCAGAGCCAAGCTCACTGTCATCACTTCGATGAGTCTCGATCAATTGGGCACTCCTGGTCTTCAGCTCAATGTCCACGACCACGGAACTTTCGATAACAGTTTCTTCGCGCTTCACACGTGTTTCGGTAAACTTCTGTTGGACAAAGATCTCGCGTTGAGCAAGATTGAAGAAGATCCGGCGGGATGGAAGGGCAAAGCGGATCTCCTTGTGAGTTGCATGATCCCGTCCTTCTCCTTCCTCCTGGGACGTGAGGGTGGGACACAAATTTCTTTGAGAATTATACCGACCGTGGCCTCCACGCCCCTGGCCTCCACTCTTGGGATGTTTCAATGTGTCTACCAGACCTCGGTGAACGATCACAAGAACGTTCAACTGTTGCCATCACTGCCGAACGTTGTCCGCTCACCAGGTCTCATTCGTGGGGCTTGGGACAGTGCACTTCCGAGCCCTGCTGCTGTTCACCTGTCCCTAACTTCTGGAACGCCTGAAAAGTTTACTCTCCGCGCGACCTTCGAGCAAGACAAGGAGCAAGAAGATCTCAAGAATCGAAGTCCAGTCACCGTCCAGCAGGTCAGCCCATGCTCGATGGCCATCACGTTTGGCGATCACAGCCGAGAACTTCGTTTTCCATTTCCAGTGAATGGAAGGAGGTGTCATACCAAGATCTCGCGAAAGCAATGCTGGGTGGAAGTCTCTGTGGCGCTGACATCTGCAGCGCAGCACGCCGGCGGATACACCCTTTCGCCGTTTCCGCTCATTTCCGATCGCGGTCAACTTGTCCCCTGGATGCTGGGAAAGGTGAATCTGTCAAAATGCCCACTCATCCCGTCCGATGCGAATCTGCCATACCTTGAGTCATTCATTGGGATGAGCATGAGTCAGAAAGAAAAGATGCTGAATCGTGGAGAGGTTTCAATCTCAACACACGAAAAAGATTTCTTTGACTTTAAGAAATCGATCGCCGTTCTTTTCATCAGAACCCAGACGAGATTGGGCCAACGCCGAAACACACACAATGTATTCCGCATGACAGTGAATGACGACTGTGACTTTTTGATCTTTACCAACGGCATACACCATGATCAAGCAGTGGGATCGATTTGCCTTGGTGCCTACGTGCTACCTCTTACCGCTCAAACACTTGGCTCAAAGCCCGAGGGTCTTGGTCAGCTATTCCATAATCCCAAACAGATTGGCATCAGCATCAGCAAGGGCGAAGAGACTCTCTGGAAACAGGCGATGCCCGCGTTGGTTGAGCAATGTCGATATGATTGGGAGCACAAGCCTTCCTGCGAGTACAACATCGACGGCGTTCTCAAGTGTCCTCGCAGCGTGAAGCATAGCGAGACGCCAATTTGTTCCTGCGGTGAGGGTCATGATACTGACCTATTGCCCTCAGAGTATGCTTTCTTCGCACCATATGTGACTAGAGTCGCGATTCAAATCCTTTCAGCGTTGCCGTACGTTGAGCCTATGGCCTTCACCATGGCCCCAGAAGCTCATGCAACCACAGCAAAAGGTAGCGGCAATCCCATGACTGCTTTCAATCACGCAAAAAATAGCACGAGCAATTCTTCGCAAGCCTGCGACTATTGTCGATCCTCAAGCAGAAAGCTCTCTATTTGCAAAGGCTGCAATGCCGTGTGATATTGTGATCGAGACTGTCAAAAGGCTGGATGGAAGGCTCATAAGTCTGATTGCAAAAAGAACTCCGTGACTCATTGAGGAGGTCCGAGACTCGATCAGGCGGCGAGCATGATTTGACTTGAGAAGAGGGTGACAGCGCTTGAGCGACAGGGATATTTATTTTGCCGTAATTGCATCATGGTATTGTATGTAGTCAGTGCCCAGGTGAACTTTGCTTTCACTGTTACCTCTTGCGCGTAAGCGCGACCAATTGAGCACTGTTGAGCTAGCCGTTTCACTGTTTCGTGAGTGTTTCCATCTGCTTCGATTGATTTGGAGGCGCTTCTACCTTGCAAACAACTTCACTTCTTGCATTCCTCCAGCTTCCCTTCGAACGACTCAAACTTCGGTCGAATCACCATTGTCTCACGGCTGTCGTCGGAGATTCATTTTACTTGCGTCGTGGACGTCGATGGTCATTCCGATCGACTATCACGGACACCCCAAAAGCTTGCGTCGCCTCCTTCTTCCTCGCGACGCACATAGTACAGAGCCATCGTCTAAGTAAGCTCGTCCATAGATGCTCAAGTCACCGGAATGTTCACAACTTGATAACAACTGACAACATCATATGTTCAGATCGCAAAGAACTCGCAATTCCAGTCTGCGGAGCAATTTGCCACTTGTATCGTTTTGACGCCGCGTGCCTATAAATTCTCAAGCTAAACTCTCTGTGCCGGGGTAAGACTTCAAATCGTCCGTTTTTCCTCAAAAACGCGAAAGGCCTCTCGCGATGCCCGTCTCCGCCCAAAACCGATTTGATGTTTGGGCTCTTGACAAAGTTGACTTGTCAACTTGGGAGCCCGTTCCGCCGTCTGTGCCCTGGCTTCTTATTCAATGGACGGTGATGCAACACATGGGCCTGACAACGGAAACGGTGAACTGTGACTTGAATCAAATACCAAAGAAAGAGCGCGCCCTGGTTGGCATGAAGCGGACCATTCTCAAGCTCTTCAAGTTCTCGCACACTGTACCCCAACGTACCCGAACTATATTCGAAATCATGCAGCTCGAGCTCTTATTGGCTGTCGGAAAATTGTATACCCATCCGGGAACGGGTTTGCTCTGCCTCGATGCCTATGTTCTGCCATTCATGTGGCACAAGGAGCGCCATCTCGTCGGCCACGAGCCTGTCGGCTGGCTTCCTACGATCATGTACGATCATGAAATTAGTGAAGCTGAGGCTGCACTGTGGCGGCGTGCCATGCCAGCCTTCGCGGAACGCACTCGCTTCAATTGGGACCACAAGCCTGACTGCGACTACGGGCACAACGGCACATTCATGTGTCCAGTCGATGGCGAGCATCAAGATTCATGCCTTTGTGAGTGTGGCGGGGGTGTCGACATCGAGCAGCTCTCTCAAGTTGGCGGGCATTGCTTTGCCAGTATAATCGAGTAGCCCACCGATGAGCTAGGGCATGTTCAAGTACATTACTTCAGCAGCACTCAAACTTTTGGCTGCTGAGGGTCGCCAGTTTCTAGACCGTCGCGGGAACCCGTTGACGAATCCGAGAGAGGCAATTCCTCCAGAAAAATATCATGTTCACCCGTGAAAATGTTCCCACAGTCTCTCGACCTGTAGCAGGGGGAGAGGGACGAACATCACAAGTATGCTCATGACTTCTGGATTGCCCAGTGTGAAAGCCCTTCCGTGTCCACTGCGAGCTGACAGCACCGTGAAATGTGCCGTTCTCATCTTCATGATGAGTCGTCCGCTCTCTGCTGGTGTTTGTGGGCCTTAGGTGCCTCAGGCCAAAGAATATAAACGACCGCAGAATAGAGGTTCAGAAGGCAGGTTACGCCGGAGACTCGTCATTAATACTCGCGAGTGCATTGTATCGCCATTTCTCGTTTTGCCGGCCAGGAGTGCGCTGATCAGAGATAGGGGAGTTCTGTCAGAGAATAGACGAACTGTATCCTTGCGAATATATTGCCGGAAGAGTGCGTTGTGCGATGGTGAAGGGGATAATCCGGCTACCCGCGCTGCACCGTTATCGATAAGAGAGGCTCTGCGCTGAAAGTGTGGGGAAAGCTGACGCCCTGCATATGGCCAGCTTGCACTAGGTATAACAAGGACAGGACTCCTTTATATAGAGGTCATCGTCAATGGGTGAGCATCAATTGAGGCCACAGTCCGAAGGACAACTTGCATATAGAGTACTTCAAGGCACTGCGCCGCATAGATCGTCCAGACCCAGCATCAAGTCAAACCAAAGCATTGTGTATTATAAAAGCGATTCAGTCTAGTATCTAGATACCTCCTGGAAACGTCACCAACGTCTTCATCGAGATAAACATGGTCAAGTCCAACCTTTGGTCCGCAACTGCGGCAGCGTCTCTCTTACTTATCCCTGGAGTCCTTTCCGAAAGCCTCTACCCACGCTCCTCAGAAGTTCTCCAACTCGACTCAAGATCCTACGACAGCTTGATCGCTCGATCCAACCACACAAGCATCGTCGAATTCTACGCTCCATGGTGTGGACACTGCAAAAACCTCCAACCGGCCTACGAAAAGGCCGCAAAATCCCTCAAAGGTCTAGCCAAAGTTGCTGCAGTGAACTGCGATGAGGAGAGCAACAAAAATTTCTGCGGCTCGATGGGTGTGCAGGGCTTTCCAACATTGAAGATCGTCCGTCCTGGCAAGAAACCCGGTCGACCTGCAGTTGAGGATTATCAGGGGCCACGAACGGCAAAGGGAATCGTCGAGGCCGTCTCTGACAAAATCCCGAATCACGTCAAGCGGCTGAAGGACTCGGACTACGCGTCATGGGCCGCTGGGAGTGCTTCGCCGAAGGCGATCCTATTTTCCGACAAAGGCACCGTCAGCACTCTCCTGAAAGCGATTGCGATCGACTTCCTGGGTGGAATTGAGCTGGCGCAGATCCGCGACAAAGAAAAAGACGCCGTAGGTGCTTTCGGCGTGACGAAATTTCCAACCTTGGTCCTACTACCCGGCGAAGGAAAAGATCCCATCATATACAACGGCGACATCAAGAAGCCTGCCATTGTCGAATTCTTGTCTCAAGTGACTGCCCCCAACCCTGATGCTGCGCCGAAGAAGGCCTCCTCAAAGGCGCAGAAACCCGCGGACAAGAAGAAAGCCTCGAAATCCTCCTCCAAATTCGCCGCTTCCTCCGCCTCCCAAGCCTCGGCTGAAAAGCCCACCCAAACCTCCGAGACCCTCGTTGAAGACAACGCACCCCCGGCAGGCTCTCCCGACCCCAAAGTCTCCAGCGAGAGACCCATCGACCTTCCCGTCGCGACCAGCGCACCGCTCATCTCCGCCCTCGTTTCCGGCCCCGAATTCCAACAATCCTGCCTCTCCACCCTCTCCGGGACCTGCATCCTCGCGCTCCTCCCACAAGACTCCGCCATCACCGAATCCTCCGATCCCGACAGCGATACCACCCTCGCCGTGCGCGCCCTGAGCACAATCCAACAGAAACTCTCCGCGGGCGGGAAACGCACCGTCTTCCCTTTCTACCAAATCCCATCCACGAACCCGGCCGTCGCACCTCTCCGCAAGGAACTAGGCCTCAAGGATGAACATCTCGGCCTCGTCGCCATCAACGGGAAGAAGGGTTGGCGACGGGATTACGGCGGTGTTCACCCTGCTTTTGGACTTACGGCATTAGAGAGCTGGATCGATGATCTGCGCATGGGCGACCTGCCGAAAGTCAAATTGAGCGAGGGATTGCTCGTTGAGGGGGTCAAAGTCGAGAAGAAGGGGGAGGAGGAGAAGAATGAGAAATTCGGGGGCGCGAAATTGGAGGATTTTGTCACGCCGGAGAAGTTCAAGGAGCTCAAGGAGCAGATCCTCAAGGGCATGCCGGAGGGCATGGATTTGGAGATCGAGGAGTGGGATGAGCCGACGGCGGAAGCTGAGGAGCCGCCGAAGAAGGAGGAGGAGAAGGTCATCGAGCATGAGGAATTGTGATGTATATCGATCTTTTCGCGAGGCGGAGGGAAAACTTGTGTGGGGTTGGGATACATTTATGAACAAGAGAGATGATCACCTGTAAGCTGAATAGCACATGTGGAATGATGCAACGTTCTCGTTGTCCCATTGACCTGATCACCGTCCTCGGTGTTCAAGTGATGTATCCCAATCAATGAACGGAGACCGCACGACATCAAGTCAGAGAGAACGTTGATTACTGACTCGACGTCTTACACGGGAATGTAGTCACTGGGGAGTTCATCTTCTCCTGGGGAAAAGTGGGCGGATGAGAAAATCCTCACTGAAAATATGTACAATGCGTAATACTGTAGTAGAAGGCATCAGCATGCTCTTCTCCTTCTCTCCACACCGATCATCCAAGCAATTCTTCCGTCTAGAAGAATAATCTTAATTTTCGCCTCTTCAAGAGCATGGATCGAGAAAAAGAAACGTATCTGTGGAGATATCGTCGTCGTCTCTCTCATCGCCACCGGCATCTGCACATCTCCCACTTCTTCCACCATTCCGCCGATCCCAAACGCCAAAAGAAGAACAAACCATGATCTCCCCACACATTTTTCACGCCTCATTCGAGAAACCCGGAAAAGAAAACACAACACACCCGGCCACACAGATTCCTCAGAATCAAACCATGCACTCGGGGAAGAAGACGTGCGACTGCCACCCTTAATCACACCACCACCTTCAATCGCCAATCGCTGCAAACAGCCAACCCTTCCTGAACGCTTCATGAAAGAAACAAAAGTGAAAATGGTGAGTGAATGTATAGCATGAAGACGAACATCGACAAATCCCGCCCTTAGGAACCACAATTGCTCCGCCGTTGCAGGAAAAACCTCATACATGCACACAGCCACCCTCAGAAATAGAAATTTCATCGCCGAATCAATGGACTCTGGAGACTTCCACCCGTGCTCGCATAGATCATCACTTCGCGTGATGCAGCTGTGCAGTGGAAATACAAGAAGGAAAACGTGGATATGTGAAAGAGTGAAAAGAAGAGACGTTGAAGAGGAAATGATGCAGAGAGGAGAAAAAGCTAGAGGGTGAAGAAATGGACGTATCGTATCGACGCCTCCAGAGGTCGGCCGAATGTGCTGACTCTGTCATGAGAGACGAGTGCGGCGAGTTGACAAGATACAGGCTTCGAGATGGTATCGAGACTGCTTTGATGGGATTGCTGGGTCGCAGCGCACCGAATGCAGTGTTTCCGAGGCGAGTGGTGTGCGCGATGCAAGAACATCTATCCGAATCGACAATTTTCATGCTGGAACATTCGTACTGTTTCATCTAGGTGAAGGTCTCATCTTCAGAGATGCTCATTTAATGGGAGTGTCCGTGTCCGTCCGAAGATGCGGCCGGAGGGAGAGTTTGCGACGCGGAAGGAGGGCAACAGCTCTTGTTACCTTCGCAGTCGTCGCCACAGTCAAGCAAGCAGGAGTTTCCTGCATCGCTATTTGTGCGCTGCGCCGAGGCAATCGCCGTGGGGCTGCTGCTGCTCGCGCCGAGATCTTGGGTCGAAGCATCAAGGCCTCCGAATTCTGGCTGGATCGTTGATGAGTGAATGCCGTATTCATGGAGGCACTCGCGGATTTGGCGGGCCAGGATCATGTACCGAGCAGAGCCGTCGCCTTTGAAGGTGAAGTCGACTTTGACGTGCAGACTGGCGATGAGCTTTTCGTCACTGAGTTGCCAGACGTGGAGATGGTGGCATTCTTGCACACCATCGAGCTCTTCGATGTCGTATTTGATATCGTCGACTTCGATGCCTTGTGGGACGGCTTGGAGGAGGATGCGCGATGCGGCTTTGCAGAGGGGAATGGCGGAGCAGAGAATGATGACGGTGATGACGAGGGAGATGGCGGGATCGAAGTAGAATCGCCAGGAATAGTCAGTCTTCCAGATGATGATAGCTGTGACGATGACACCGATGTTGCCCAGCGCGTCGCCCATGACGTGAAGGAAAATGCCCTGCATGTTCAGATCGCCATGAGAGTGGCCGCCTTTGCCGGCGGGCTTTTCCTGTGCATGTCGGTGGGCTTGGTGATTCGCGGATGATGTGATGGCACCATAGCCATTCGACTGACCGGCGATAAGAGGTGACGAGACGCCGTGGTCATGTCCCTCTTCGTCATGTTCGACGTGACCTGCTTCTCCGGCGGCGATCTCGTCATCTTCGAGCGAATCCAGCTGGTTGTTAGCTTGTTGAATGATGGAGTTTCGGAAGCTCTTGGGTCCGTCGAAGTCAACGTTACGAGAGCCAGTGCGACTGTGGCGACGTCGTGTTGCGCGGGGAGAGATTTCGGGAGATCCTGCAACAGTGGTGCCTTCGACATCAGCGATCTCCACCCGCTTGCCAGACCGGGCTGACTTGGGGCTGAAAGGGAAATTTTCAACGCTCGACTCAGAGTGCTTGTGAGCATGAGTGTGGCCAGCTGCGTGGTTGTGTCTAGACTCGTCATGAGCGTGACCGTGATCGTGACTAGCGTGAGCATGACCTTCCTCGGCGTCCGAGATTTTGTTGCCATGGCTATGATTGTGTCCTCCGTGGCTGTGGCCACCATGTGAATGACCGTGATCGTGGAACAAGACCAGGCCAACGAGGTTCGAAGCGAGACCCAGGCATCCAACAACCAACACCAACACGGGCTGGCTGACCTCTTGCGGCTCCACAAATCGCGCAATGGCATCCAGGAAGATTGTCACACAGAGCGCCACCAGAAATACACCATTGACCAATGCACCCAAGGTTTCCGCTCGCTGATAACCGTATGTGTACATCTTCGGGGTATCCTTCGAGTCCTTGCTGGCCATCTTGACAGCCCACAGTCCGACACACAAGGAGAGGACATCGTTGAGCATATGGAAGGAATCGGCGACAAGGGCGAGTGAGTGAACGGCATATCCGGTGATGAGCTCGAGGAAGAAGAAGGCGGTATCGATGACGAGCAAGATGATGATACGCGTGGATTTGGAGAGCGCCATGTTGGTGAGATTGTTGCTGGCGAATGCGCCAGTCGAATGGTGTTGTTTGGGTGGTGGAGGCTCGAGGTATCGCGATCAGTCAATTGATCCAGCCGGTGACGTCGACGGCCGTCAGCTCCGATTGCGGGCAGAAGGCTGCTGCTGCTGGGGAGGACAGGTCGAGGCGAAGTAGATGTCGCGCGCAGGTGAGAGTCGTGAGGCGACAGTATATTTAAAGTCAAGGAAGCGTCAAGCACGAAGAAGAACACGTCGTGCGCGGAACAGAGATTTGCTGGTTGTTCCAGACGTTTGATCGGCCGCGAAAATGGCGGCGGAAGACGAGCGGCAGCGGCGGTCGCTCGGTCGGTACGGTTGGGTAATGCCGGATACGATACCACGATTTGCAGTGTCACCGTAGGGCAGTGGAGGGCTGTATGTGGTTTGATCGTGTCGCCTGTGGGGAAATCTGTCCCTACCCGTTCTTTCTCGCGTACAGTCCAATATATATCCCGGATGTTATCTATCGACCGTTTCTCATCGACAAGGCGGAAGTTGCAACATTACAGTGGTAATAAGAAGCGATCGCAATATGAAGAACTTTTCACTCGTATCCACCGCCGATGGTGGATTTGCGCCTAGCAAGCAGTCTCGACCGGGCCAGAATGGGTTGTTCTCCGCGATGGGAGGTAATAGTTCACGATAGTGGTGGAGTGGATGGGACTACTGCACTGTGATTGCTGGAATGCTAGCAAATTGCCCCGGAGTTTTCTTTATTCTTCGTTTTCTCTGCTTCTCATGACAAAGCAGCACAACCGTCGCGACGTGCTTCTGGTCAATGCCATGAGGCGAGCGGCGTCTGACGGGCAATACCTTCCCCTTCCGATCTAGTCGCAGGCGGAGCATACTGCGAGACGACATTCCCAGCATCCCGCATTCAGAGCAAAATACAGAAGTCGCCAGTGTCAAATTGTAAATGATAGAAGTGTGCCGATATGACTACGTGCCATCTATGCGTTTGAAGCGACGTACACACTGTCCTCTTCATATCGGCGCACATCATGGTGAGCAGTATCAGAACTCAAATGGAGCGGGGCGGATCGATGTGCACATCCTCCAGAGCCCGCCACCTACGAGCATTTGTCAAAGAACAAATGGTAGGCCAAAGTTTGGACGGAGACTTTCAAGATTCCCACGCAAAATTGGAGATAACGCCAGATCTGCATCGATGATCATCATTCTTCTCAGGCCGAAATTTTGCAATTCCATCGCATCCAACAAAATCTTCCTACACATTTCCATGCGCAATATACGCTCTTCCCGTACGCAGATCGAAGTAAGCCGCACAGACGCTTTTGTCCTTGCGATGCGTATACACAGCAAGGGGAGTCGTCAAACTTGGTGCTCTCGCATGACACACGTCGTGTCGCTCACTTTCCACACTTTGACATGACCTCTGATCACAAAGCCTCCCTTTGCGTTCAGCGAAAGAGAATCTACATCGTGACTTGACAAAGATGTTGCAAGGTTACCGCCAGTGATTGCGATCCAAATTTGTGCCTGAACTCAGACAACGTCACAGTCGGACTACCCTCCGCCGACCGGTGTACCTTTGGAAGCAAATGCCGACCTCGCCGGCAATGGAGTCAAGAGTTCCTTCTGGGAGTAGAGTTAACATATCGAATATGTTTCATCACGTAGGCACTTTTTGCTTCATCAAGTGCGCTGTGATCTCCGTCCTCGCTGTGATCTGAGGCTATCTTTCGGACTCGCTTCCTCAATCCTGCCTCACAAAGTACGACCGGGGACTCAAGCGTCGCGTTCCACTATCGGCTTTCTACACAAAGCTGAGATCCAGTATTCTCCGCCTTGTCAACCCTTTGGCGAAATCGCAACGAACCGCTCAGCGTATCCTTCGAAATGGAGAAGCCCGCCGAGAAGCGCTTACTCGATTCCTGTGGGCAGCAATGGAAGACAGTCGTCGAGCGCTTCCTCGATTGTCAACACAATATCTGATTCACACAGGTTTAACCATATGGAAGACTTCGCGCTACAACTATATCGACATCTCACACGTCTACGTCAGAAGCCTCGTCATCTGGAAATCTGACCCTCGTCGACGATCTAAATGCCACTGACGAGAAGCTTCTTCCGCAAATCGAAGGATATTTCCCAAACCGCGAGAACAAAGATAAACCTACAAAAGCAACGATTGGTAGAATGCATCTCCATCTCCAAGTCTTCGAACATGAACATACCTATCGCGGAAGCGCAACCATCTTCCTCTTTGCTTTCGGTACCAGCGTCGCCCTAGGTCATATTCTATTACCTGATCGGTTCGTCCGGATGGCTCTAATCTTCATGGTAATATCGAATTACTTGCTCATGCACGCCACCTGGTTCTGGTCCTGCGCGAGGAGAATCCCGGATGCACCCGGTCCGGATATCACTGATACCGAGCAGGGCGATCCTGATAGAATTAAGAATGTACTTGATGATGTTCCTGGTTTCTTGGAAGGAGATAGCCTGGCATCAGGTCAATCGCGCACCACGCAGCCTGGTCCAGCCGATGCGGTGGCACATGCTGTGAGCTTGAAGATTCGAGCGCACATGATGAGTGGAACGAAGTCTGTGGGCGAATTCGAAGCGAGCGATTTCGTTCGGAGACGGACGTAGCTCATGCTGACTTCACGATTGAGAATATTGCGTGCAATGCTCGATTTTCTCATCGGATCTTGCCTCTGACTAGGAAGGACGGCCGTGTGCGAGGGCGTCGTGCACGTCCGGATGAAGCACAAATGGTCAGCGTCATGGTCATCGGAAAAGTGCCAGTCAATATGGTCCCTTTGGCTTCGCGTTCAATAACGAAGGGTAGTCTTTGTACCATTATATACTATCGAATTTTGTGTAAGGGCTTAATGCGATGTAATGCCGATTTATCTGTGCTTCCCAAATGCTGCGTATTCACGTGCATGCGTCAAGAGATGACATCGCTCAACTGTACCTCAATGGATCTATCATGACCGAGTGTAAGAAAGCAGGGTGGCTGCGATTCATGTACTGTACGTACTTCGTTAAAGATCCTTGCGCCACGCAATTCCGAACAACTAGCCACCAACAGCCAAATGGAGCCAAAGCTTCTACAAGGGAGCGAGCGTAGAAATGATGAGGTTCAGGGAGCAGGGACCCTCCAGCACCATGGCCACGGCGCAACTGCAACATTCACGCATATATATGTGTGTTCCCACAAAAACAAAGAAGTTGTCGCAAATGAACACAGAAGAGGCAAACACATGACAAGACGGAAGAGATAGAGAAAAACGTTGTCTCGTAACGTGATTGGCATAGACCTCGAGCGTGTATCACGATTTGCTCGAGACGAATCATTTTCGAGAAGAGGCGTTCCAGCGTCGTGGGTGGACAGAATTCCCAGGAGGGTGTGGAGCACGGGCGGCTGCGGCTCGGCCAATGACACGGGCGGGACACGCCATGGCGGGCCCTGAAGCGCAGGCCCACGCGGTGGACATTTGCCGCGAGTGGTGTGGGACAGATGGGACGAAACTGCACCACACACCACCCACCACGCTTGCACACCGACGTATTCACGCTTGTTGGATAATGTCTCGGCCTGTGTGCAAAGGGGCCTGCTCGCGAGGTCGTTCGTATTTCTGAGGTGTGGTGAGCGTTCCTGATGGGCAGGGAGATCTTCGATCATTGCGTGGTTCCTGGACCATTGGTCTCTTACCCTTCGTCGTGATCGCGTTCTTGCCGACCGAGTTCTCTTTTCCGAGCTACTGTCGTGCATTCTGCGCACACTTACGCAAGAGGCTCCGGCCGTTTGTGAAGCTCTCGCCTCTTGATTACTGGACACAATGTGTCGGCACTCTGACCTGCATTACCCTACGAATGGGAGACACAGACATGACATGATATCGAATATTCTTCCAGAAGCATGGTCAAGGCGTGACAGGGAAGTTTGATTGGATCTTCCCTCGCTCACTGTGCCGCGTCCTTTCCTTTTGCTCTCTTGATCGCGCCGCAATTGGGCGTTCCATCCCAACATCAATCTCTATCCGTGCTTTTTTCCTTGTCTCCCATTGAGGTCTTGGCTCTGATGGTGGTGCTCATCGTCCTACACGCCGAACTAAAGGGATTCGCAGCGTGAGCAGTACTAACACTATACTAGTACGATTGTCCTACCAGGGTCCATTCGCGACCCGTTCAGCTCCAATGGCGATCGTAGTGTGGTCCAGTAGTTCACCTGGGGTGAACCTTCACCTACTCGATTCGATACCCATAGACTCTCGTTCTGTGTGCCGATTCGACGTCGTATTCGAAGTCTGTCCCGAGTAGCTTCAATTGCTCCTCTTGTCGATTCCACTCCTCTCGTTCAACGTGCCGTCTCTGTTCAATCGCGAACGCTCACGCCGCAACGGTCTGCCATTGCCTCGGGGAGGCCTCTTCCGCCCACACATCAAGGTGTGCTCGCTAAGCACGCCAATATTACACATCCCTCGCCGAACATTTACTAGCTTTCGCCAGTGGAACTATTCTAATACTCAACCCATCCCACATCTCCGTCATCGACCAGACTTCGGACCTCGAACACATTCATTCTTTTCGGCGTAAGGTTTCGTCTGTTTCATCTCGGCTATCCATGAAGCTGGTGCTCGTAATGCTATTTGAGTTGCGTTCACGACTACATCTCACGGAGAAAGTTCCAAATCGTCACGCTTGACCAGCACACGGGTCGCTCATCAAGCCGAACTTCACTTTTTATCGGGCCGACGACTTATTTCAACGATTTACGAATTGCGACCTTACGAACTCACGATCCTTCATTCATCATGGCTAACTCATCGTATGTCGGCGACTGCGTCGCACCCTTCCTTGACGCCTCGAAATTCCCTAGTAACGAAGGATGTAAGTTGATACGATCCAAGCGATCGCAGGAAGGATATCGTCACCCTCAAGAAACATTATTTGCTAACAAACGCAGTCCTTGCTGGTCGGTTCTGCGAGACGATCCTCAACCTTCCAAATCAGCCAACATGCTGTCTACCGTGTCCAGCCAGTGACTACATCTATCCACAAAGCTTTGGTACCTCCATCGCAGCGGCTTCATGGCTCAATGTTGCTGGCCTGGCATTAATGGCTTTCTTGCTGCTTTCATATCTTATTCTACCAGCGCAAAAGACCCGCAGCCATTACCTTAGCGTCTGTCTGATCGTCTCGATAATGATGATCGCCATCGGATTCACCATTCCGCTAGGCTCGAAACCTCAACAATGCCATAATGAGATCACGCCGAACGATATGTACTCCAGCCTCGAATGTGCGTTTAGTGGCGCTTTTGTCGTCGCCGGTGGTCTCTCCGTGGTGGTATGGATTCTCATTCGAGCTTTATCGATGAACTTACAGATCTGCTGGGATATCGTGCCCGGCAACAAGTTCTTCTATGCCTCGCAAGCACTCGGATGGGGCGTTTCTGCAACGCTCTTTTCCCTGACTATTGCTTTGACGGGCGTCAGCTTCCGGATGGGCGATACCTGCCACGTCAATCATCAACACGCTATGGGTGTCTTCTGGGGTCCGTTGCTCTTCATGGCAGGTGCGGCAGGGATACTCCAGCTGGGCACTTTCATCTACTGCATCAATGTTTACCTCAAGAATCTTTGGACCGAACAAAACGGCCACCATCATAATCCCTCGAGCGGCACACCCGGCTCGATCAAGAAAGGACTCCCTTCATATCAATCCTCCAGCGGCAGCAGCCAACGCGGTTCAACAGCGCGTGCCGTCTATCAACGTCTGAAGAAAGTCCTCTGGCTACAGTGGCGCGGTCTGTTCATCGTCACCATCATTCTCGTCGACGTCGTCTACTTCTCCGTCATCTTTGTTTGGCTCGACAGTCAACAGACTACCATCGGCCAGGACTGGAATGAGGTCGGTCCATGGATCATCTGCATGATTCAGGATCCCTCTGCAAAGGGTCGCAACCACTGCATGCCGCTCATCCAGCCTTTCCTCGTCAGCGAGGGCGTGCTGGTCTCGGTACTGATGCTCCTCTCCGTCGCTGGAATGCAATGCTTCCTCCTCCTCGCCCGTCCCTCATTGTTCTCTGCTTGGTGGACATTGCTCCGCAAAGGACCCTCGAGCGCTGCCCAACAACCTGAGTTCATCGATCTAGATGCTGCCGCCGCAGCCGCAAGTCGTCCTGGCCTCGCCGGTCGCAGCATGTCTGCACAGAAACCTCTCCTCCCGTCACACTCCCGCCATGAGGAGGTCCGATCCGCGTCAGCGTTAGGGATCTCCTCTGCCGGTAAATTATCGCCACAGGTTGCAGTCGTGACGATTCCGGACAACAACTGGCCGCTAAAATCGGATTTTGCATCGCCCTCGATGCGCAATTCAATACAGAGCGTCGAAAGCAAAATCTCTGCAGAAACACGACGACAATATCAGCAGTCTCAGAATGCATCGAACCCACAATCTCCCGCAATCACCCCGAGATCCGCGCTTGCACCTTCACCATCTCTCTTTGTACCGCGAGAATACTCTCCTCAACCAGCTCCCAACACCACAGCATCGCCAAATCTCACTCTCTCCCCTCAGAGCCGACAACATAGACCAGCTCACGCCTCCCCTCCCCTCCGCTCTCCCTCCACAGCAGGTAGCACACCTCCTTTGTCGAGCCTCCAAGCCTTCCAGCAAATCAGTAATGACACAAATACCAACAACACAAACGAAGGAGGAACAGGTCCCAACATGATCAACCATCCGAGCATATCCTCTCCCCCCACGCCCTCCCTCACGCCATCATCGCCAGAGCGCAATACCCGCTCGTCAAGCCCCGTGCCGCCGCAAACATTATATCAACGGCAGCAACTACAACGGCATCTACAGCAGAGGGAGGAGTGGAGATTACAACAGCAGCAGCAGGGACATCAACCGCTGCGATGAGGAACTATGACTTGAGCACTTGATTTCATGACGAGCGAATACCCGTATCTTTTTACCTTCTTTCTCTTCTCTTCTTGTCTTCGCCTTTTTCCCAAATTGGTTGCCAATTCATTGGATTCTTTGCCTTTCCAGTCTGTGCCTTCTGTGGAGATTTCGGATTCATGTGTGCATGTATATACTCGAGCGGGGAGCCGGGCTCACGCCCATTGATCCTTATCATTTGTGAACAGCAGAAAATCTACGCAATATTTATCACGTTTCTGAGATGTGTACATCGTGACCATGGTTTTATATTGTTTTCATCAAATACTCGGCTACTCATCCACAGAATATATATCATCAAGGAGATGGAGAAAAACACCAATCATCCCCTTTCATCCATCGATTGCAATTTATCAATCAAACTTCGCAAACGCCAATTCGTACGCCAATCCCAACGTCAACCGCGCATGCTGCAACATGTGATCGAAGTCCAAATACTCAATCTTATCATCGGTAGTGTGAATCTTCTTATCGCTGTATTGGAAATCGCTCTCGATGACGAACGCAGAGGGATAACCCGCCTTGCTGGCGCTAGCATGGTCGCTGCAGGCATATCCGCACTTCGTCTCGATCCAGGGGATGGTGCAGTACGAGTCGATGACGGATTTGATGAACGTGGTGAGACCAGGGTCGACGAAGTCGGTGATGACGCCCACACTTTCGGGCTTACCGGCGGCGAGGGTGCCGTGCGTGTAGCCGGTCATGTCTTGCTGGAGCATGGCTTTGACGTCCCGGCCTTCGCGCTCGTAGGATGAGAAAATTGCTTGGGAGCCGAGGAGGCCGCCTTCCTCGGCGGAGTACCAGTGGAATTCGAGAGTGTTTTCGGCCTTGCCTTGGGCAAAAGTTGGGTCGGAGATTAGGACGCGGAGAGCTTCCAGAATGGTGACGGTGCCGCTGCCGTCATCGTCGGCACCGGGAGCGGCGAGGATGGAGGGAAGGAAGAGGTTGATGGAGTCCTGGTGGGCGCCGATCACGACGGTCTTTTCGCTTTTGCCTGGCAAGGTGGCGATGATGCTGTTTTGGCCCCATGGATGCTGGAAGTGTCGAGCAAAGCCGACACCAGCTTCGGTGAGGGTCTTGTTGACTTGAGAGAGAAGCCATTCGGAGGATTGACGACCGTAGTCAGATTTGTAGTAGCGGGTGTGGAATCCGGTGAAAGTCTCGAGGTGAGATCTCATGTTGTTCTTGTCTAGCTTTTTCAGAAGATGCGAGACGGTCTCATTCTGTGTCGTCTCCTTGGGATACTCGACAGTCTTCTTTTTGATGTTGACCTTGTTCGCGAAGCGAGCTGCCATCTCGGGCGTCTCGTCGGTGATGTCAAAGAATTTGTATCCTGCCCGGCGCAACTCCCACTTCTCATCTTCCGTGACCCATCGCGTATCATCGTTTGAAAGCTGGATGCGGTATCTTTCGGTTGCTCCCAGTGGTGCCTGGCCGACGGGATGAACGATGCTGCTGGCGGAGGACAGGACGGCCGAAGCCAGAACGAATGGCGTGACCTTCATGGCGGGTGGAGCGGATTGTCTGTTCAAGCGAAGGAAGTCAACGAAGAGAAGGAAAGCTGTGTTGTATTGTCGATGTTATGGGAGAGATGCCGATCTTGGCTGTCTTGCACGTTGTAGTCAGAGCATGCGAGCTTGTCGGTGGCTGGCGAACACGCGCGCCCGCAAACGATCGTCATCGAGGCTCGGTCCCTGTGTCGCCGCTGCGGGCCGATGCGCATCCCGATCTATATGCCGTCTCTATCCGCAGCTTCGCCCGACGACAGCTCATACTGCCCTGCTTTCAGCTTTTAATATGCTGGCAAACTTGAACACTGCCCTGGGGAATTCGTTAGGGATTCACTACTATTGTCAATCTATATGGATGCCACCTGGCCATACTGCATGATGTGAATATTCCACAACAAGGCCGCTCCATGCAACGTGAGAAGCGAACTACCGCGCTTTGGCAATTTCAAGTGAAGGTCTGCCGATAACGGCTGGCTCGTTTGAAAAGCAGTCAGAATGTGTTGAAACATAAACTTGTAGCACGTCGGTGCTCGTGGGTCATTTGCCAGATTTACCACAGAGTAGTGCACGTCGAAGTCCATCCTAAATTTCGGGCTCACGATGTGCTTGATAGATTGGCCGATAACGCGCAAATCGCCGAGTTCGGAAGCGTCATATGTGGTGTGTGCGTGAGTCAAGAGCACCTACGATAAGATTGCCTGACGGCGTCGAATTGCGGTCCTCAATCCTCGGGAACTATACTACAGGTGTGCAGATCTTGTAATGACCAATGCGAAGAATCTGGCTGGCCAGGGACGGAACAAGCCCTTGAGGGATCAATTGCCGCAAATGCCGAATCGGGACAGGAACTTAATAATGCTGTGGCAGTATTGGCCGTTCGCGGAGGCATATTCCTGTACATCAATCTGCTGTATTTTGGTCCTAGACCACGAACACACAGTACAGTTGGCCGTTCACGGAGATGCGTTGATTTGAAGAACGAGGTCGGGATCGTTACCAGGTCCTTATAACTGCACAGGAGAGCCAAAAATGAGGCTGCTGTACCCCACAATTCCGGGCCACGATACCCGTTTGCGGCGTTTCTATTTGGCTCCGGCCAATCACGACCCCGCCTATTCCCTCTTACGCTGCCCCGCCGATGTCGCTCAATGTCATCTGCTTGCGTCAGGGCAGAAGTAAAATGGCGGGCGGGCGAATGCTCGGATTCCCGGAACAGTATCATCACAGAAATAATACATAACAACTTCTTCCTCGCTCGCAATTCAGGCCTCACGCCACATCTACCAATCTTCCTCTCTTACTGTGTGCTCTCCCATTCACACCCTTTTTTGTCGAGCGGATCCTCAATTGTCATCGGCACATTGCATCTCCACATTACGATTTTGATCCCACACGGAACTGCATAGTCACATTTCTCATCATGCCGGGAATCATTAAAGGTCCTTCGACCTTGTATGACAAAGTCTTCGAGCAACACATTGTAAGATCGCCTGTGAATACCTTTTGAGCATCGAGCCTAGACTGACAATCGTTTCCGTACAGGTCGACGAGAAGCCCGATGGCACCATCATCCTCTACATTGACCGCCACTTGGTCCACGAAGTAACCAGCCCGCAGGCCTTCGAAGGTCTAAAGAACGCCGGTCGTGGCGTGCGACGGCCGGACTGCACCCTCGCGACCACCGATCACAACGTCCCCACCAGCTCGCGAGCCAACTTCAAAAACATCACCGAATTCATCGAGGAAGAAGACGGACGATTACAATGCGAGACGCTCGAGCAAAACGTCAAAGACTTCAAGCTCACATATTTCGGATTGGGCGACAAGAGACAGGGAATCGTTCATGTCATCGGTCCTGAGCAGGGCTTCACACTCCCCGGCACCACTGTCGTCTGCGGCGACTCACATACCAGCACACACGGAGCGTTCGGTGCTCTCGCATTTGGTATTGGAACAAGTGAAGTCGAGCACGTTCTCGCCACACAAACACTCATGACTCGCCGGAGTAAGAACATGAAGGTTCAGGTCGACGGAGAGCTCGCTCCCGGTGTAGGCAGCAAGGACGTTGTCCTTCACATTATCGGTGTGATTGGTACCGCTGGTGGTACTGGCCACGTCATTGAGTTCTGTGGTTCGACCATTCGTGGACTCAGTATAGAAGCGAGAATGAGCATGTGCAACATGAGTATCGAAGGAGGTGCCCGTGCTGGTATGGTCGCTCCGGATGAGACAACATTCGAATACATCAAGGGCAAGCCCCTTGCGCCCAAGGCTGATTCGGCGGAATGGAGAAAGGCAGTCAAGCACTGGCAAGGGCTCAAGAGTGACCCAGATGCCAAATGGGACGCCGAGGTCTTCATCAACGCTGCGGACATTGCTCCGACCGTCTCGTGGGGTACCTCACCTCAGGACGTTGTTCCTATCACCGCCAAGGTTCCTGGTCCAGAAGACTTCGCCGACCCTAACAAAAAGCAAGCATGCGAGCGCGCTCTTCACTACATGGGTCTTACTGCCGGTGTTCCCATGACCGAAGTTGTCGTTGACAAGGTCTTCCTCGGTTCCTGCACAAATTCCCGCATCGAGGATATGCGGATAGCGGCTCACGTGGTCAAGGGCAAGAAAATCGCTCCGAATATCAAGCGCGCAATGGTCGTCCCTGGATCTGGTCTTGTCCGAAAGCAGGCTGAGCGGGAAGGTCTCGACCGCATTTTCATCGACGCTGGATTTGAGTGGCGTGAAGCCGGATGCTCCATGTGTCTCGGCATGAACCCTGATATTCTCTCACCTGGCGAACGCTGCGCTAGCACGAGCAACCGTAACTTCGAGGGCCGACAGGGAGCCGGTGGTCGCACCCATCTCATGTCACCTGCCATGGTTGCTGCTGCTGCTCTTGCTGGAAAGCTTGCCGATGTGCGCAACCTTGAGGGTTACGAGCAAGCTCTACCCAAAGCGAAGTCTGGACCGATCAATGTCGAGGCATACGTCGACGAGCCGGAATCTGATGCCGACATTGAGAACATTCTCGATCTCCCTGAAGATAGCCACATCACCAAGGCTCCCACCAGCGTTGCTTCTCCCGCAGGCATGCCACCATTCAAACAACTAAAGGGTATCGCCGCTCCCATGGATCGCACTAACGTCGACACTGACGCCATCATTCCCAAACAATTCCTCAAGACCATCAAACGTGCCGGTCTCTCTTCCGGGCTCTTCCACGGCTGGCGCTACCAGGCCGACGGCAAGACGCCCAATCCAGACTTCGTCCTCAACCAGGAGCCATTCTCAAAGGCAAAGATCCTCGTCGTTTCTGGCCCCAATTTCGGCTGCGGCTCCTCGCGAGAACACGCACCTTGGGCTCTCCTCGACTACGGCATTAAATGTGTCATCGCCTCATCCTTCGGCGACATCTTCTACAACAACACCTTCAAAAACGGCATGTTGCCCCTCCGCATCCCGGACGAAGCAGCGCTCCAAGCGATCTTCGCCGAAGCCTCCGCCGGCCGCGAAATCGAAGTCGACCTCGAAGCCAACAGCGTCAAGACCGCCGACGGTAAGGTCCTCGCTGAATTCGAGGTCGATGAGTTCCGGAGACATTGCCTTCTCAACGGCCTCGATGATATTGGACTTACCATGCAGGATGATGAGAAAATCGCGGCGTTCGAAAAGAGGAGAACTCTTGAGACGCCGTGGTTGGATGGCGCGGGTTATCTCGCTAAACACCGTCCTGAGGCGGTCAAGATCAATGCCGCTCCGGTCCCGACGACGAACAGGGGTGAGGAGAAAAAGGAGCCGTTGGATTGGTAGGGGTTCCATGGCAGTGATCAAAGGAGGTTTGGAGGTAGAATTGGACAGAGAAAGCTTGAAGACGCTTTTAGCAAATCAGTATCGAATTTCGGTATCACAAGTGTATGCCTTGGGAAGGCTGATGATCATATGAGGACGAATGAGTAATGGAATGAAAGCATTTATGGTGGTCGAGAATTGACAAAATCTTCTACCGCGCCCCGGAGAACTGGGTCTGATATTCCTTGTAGCCACTGATGCCCTGAAATTTCGTCGAGCTGTTGGTCATGCTGAATATCCTGCCGATCTGCTTGACGTGACGATAGCCATGCAGGTGGCATTCGTTCTTCCGAGCCAGCGGTCGGGCGGCTGAAACGTCGTGCTGGTCCCCAAAATCTTTTCCTGAACATGTCAATCCGGTGGTCTTCAGAGCCTGTATAGTCGCGTGTGAAATTACGTTTGATCATGCTCCAGCGCAGAGTGAAAGGGCTCTGATGAAAATCGTTGAAAAGGACCTTGAGAAGGACATATACCCAATGGCATGTGCTGGCGGCCGCAGTGAAAAAGGGTACACTCTGGCCCCACTCATTGAGTCTCCCGGTTTGAAGGTGAAGCGAGTGAATCAGAAGCCCGAGATGTACCATCATCGCGAGCAGGATTACCGGAAACTCCGTCCATTTCGAAGCTGCCGAGACCGGTAGATGATCAAATAAGTCCATGGTTCTCCGCCCTCTCATCAGGTCCTTGAAAGTCCACGCAAGCACGTGTGTGTAGATGCTTTGCACACACCGTAGGATCAAGTATAAGCGCGTCGAAAGCGGGAGCAGCTCGCAGGAGCTGACTGGTCCCCACCAGGCGAAGCGATAACAGCATTTCGCTCCTGCAGATCGCTGCCCCAGCTTCAGAATGGAGATCAAAGCAGCGACGATTGCTGTGAGTTGCACAAAAGCTGAGATTGAGATATGGACACGGGATCTCATGGCATGCTTGTCGGAGAGGACCATTGATAAACACGCCGAAAGGATGTCGACATAAGATAAGATGATGATGATTTCGAGGAAATGGTAGTCATCGAAATTTGCGAATGCTTTGATCAGGTTGATCGTGATGGCGGAAAGATCTATATGTTGGTCAAACAAACAAACACTACGCGCACTACTTCCGTTCGTGCGGAACATATCTCAACGATCGAGGTTGCATCCGCTTTGTGGAGGCGATTAGAGTTGATGGAGACACCACATGCTGATATTCATGCTCTGCCATCTAGAACTCTCGCACATGTGAAGCTTGAATGGTAGTATGAGAGATCGACTCACTAATGAGGTGTGCGAAACCCAGCTCCCTAGTAGCGATGCCGCGTGTGCACCATGAGCCCAGTAGCAAGGACAACGCTGTCAATGCAGCTGGGAGCAACGATGCCGCGAGAACTCCCTGGCCTGCTATATCTGCATTCAGCGAATCCGAAATCACACAGGAGGGGAGATCAGACGATTTCGGCACATCATTCCGGCCCGTCAATAAAAGTGCATGGCCCATGATCCCACTGAGTGCGCCCAAGTATTGAGGCAATTGGATCCAGAGCGACAGTCGTCCTGGATCAAATGAAAGGTAATGCTTCGCGAGGAAGTCCATCCCGCCACACACAGGGCTGAGGATTATTGCGATCAAGAAGATGCTCGAAGATGCGTAGGCCACTTCATTGGAGAACATGTTATCGAAGTGTAGCCAGAACGGCAAGAGCGGCTACAATAAAGGTCAAGCTGGCAGTCGATATTGTCTTGGCCTGTGGGCCGCTGCATCCGAAACGCAACAAACAATTCCGGCGTCCTGGACGGACTCTCTTGACGGGAAGTAAGGCCTCTGCTATGAAGAAAATTATGTACGAGAGGCATGAGCAGGACCTGACGGAGAGCATCAATATCTCTAGCAACTTATGCCGTTCAGCGAACAAGTAAGAAGGGAAAGGCATAGGCGTCTAGATCATGTGAGGAGCACCAGAGAAGTCGTGGGAAGCAAGCCACAATGTGCAGGATTCGGAGCTGGCGTGGCTGCGCCTCGCACTTCATGGGGAACATGCATCTTGCGCGTTCTTTTCTTTGAGCACTTGCAAGTCTCTTGCTGCGGATTGACCGGTCAGACACGTTTCTGCCGTCGGAAGCGAGAAACAGAGAGAGCCTAAGTCATGCTTTGAGATGGTGTCGTGATAGTCCTACTGTTGCTCATGGTGGATTTGACGTGGAAAGGTGATGTCCCCATCGTTGGCGCGCTCGCCACACCTGCCTATCATGGATGCACGCAATGCAATACTTGCGACGTCGGGTTCATTTGCTCTACCTAGTGGTGACCGTAGCCCTATTGCAGTGCTCTGTACAACATTGTCAATTTTTGAGCCTCCATTCCCAAGGTTAAAGGCATATACGTGACGCGGAGTACATCGCCTGGCGCTCGATATTGCAATATCTCCTCTCGACCATGGCGACGGTAGACGGCTTACCACCAGACCCATTGAGCCTGCTGCGACGAACAATCGCCGCGAACTCGCTTCCAATCCCTACAACCGACTCCGATCCAAACACGCAAGCACAATCAAATGCCTCACTTGCGCAAGCATCATTTCTCGTATTCAACTTCAACACTCCACAGGAAGGCGCACAGCATATCTCAATCCCACTCACTCAAACAACGCGATTCATCTCACCGGCCGCCGGCGAGAAGCCGCTGGACTTGCGATCAGTGTACTTTTGTTGGTTGCACAAGGACAGCACTACTGCCGAATACATCACTGCAGTACAAGCGCTCAACGATGAGCTTCGTCAAGCCGGTAAAGATGAGGCGATCACCAATGTTGTTTTCGCAGAAAAGTTGGACTTGAATACTTGGTTGGCGGGAGAAGTCGGAGAGCATGACAGCGAACACATTAAGAGTCTCGATGATAATCGGGAAGCTCGACTGGAAGCCCGAGACGCGGCCAAGCATGCTGCTGGCGGTGAAGATGTGGAGATGCGGGATGTCGGCGGCACAGACGAAGTGAAGCGCAAGGAAGAGGAGGAGCGGTTGCGGCTAATCTACGCTTCCGAGAGACGGATGGGCGATCACAATACCGTGCTTCGAGGCGGAAAGATCCAAGACTTCAGCGGTGTACGAAAATATAGCCAACTGTTCCTTGGCAAAACAAAGCCTGCCGGAGCCAGCGCGCCACAACAACCCACCCTCAACCCCAATCCTGCTCTTCGACCACCCGTCAAGCCCGCGCAAAGCGGACGTCGCCTTGAACCCATCATCCTCCTCTCACCATCCGCATCCAGCCTCGTCCGCATGCCCAACATCAAATCCTTCCTTGATACCGGCGAATATTCGCCCGTCATGCCCGGTTCCGACTCGCCCACAATCCTCCACATCAGCCGCGCGCTCAAGACGATCCACCCGAACTCACAAACGCGTTTCATCCTCGTGGACGACCCCACAAATTTCCGTCCAGATTATTGGTCACGCGTAGTTGCCGTCTTCACAACCGGACAAACTTGGCAATTCAAGGGCTACAAGTGGCAGAATCCCGCAGAGCTCTTTTCACACGCCATGGGCATCTACGTCGGTTGGAAGGGCGAGAAAGTGCCCGAGACGGTCAAGGGCTGGGGCCGTGGCGTGTTGAGTGTGCAGATTGAGAAGGGCACGCAGCGATGGCGGGATCGCGAGGTGGTGGAGCATATTTGGAGCCAGCTCGAGATACGTATGCGTGCACAGGGATGGGGACGAGATGGAAAGTGATTGGAGTTACGCTGTGCCGCGTGCGATGCAGGTGGCCTGCGATCAGGCTACTGATTTTGTAACTTTTGATTGATTTAATTGCGTTGCGTTCGAGCGGGATCGGAGTTGATCTGATGTACTAGTATGGGAAAGAGTCCAGCATGAAATACTGTCAACGAATTCCGACATATCGATGAGGCCTCGGCGTTGACAACAGCTACGCAGGTGGTTACGTGTCGGTGGTTTCAATTAGCCGATGCCTGGTGTGTCCCAGGACTGAATCGTGCCTCGTTCGTTGGCTAGCCTTTGACCAGACATCAATCGAATGTACCAACCACATACTATACTCATCAAGCACATCTATTCCGCTCAGTCGAGCTTTGTATTCTCCATGACTCGACAGCTTCGCGGACCTCAACCTATCAGTTGTTTTTCGGCTACCACCATACGTCAATCCCGTCCAACCCCAACCCTAACTAAGAACGAGGCTGAAGTCACGTCCATGGCGCGAGCGATCGTTTGGATTTCATCTTCAAGCTCGACCTCGGCCGTTTCTGTTTTTGCGAAGATCTGCAAAGTGAAAAGCAACGTCATGAGGTCACTTTCGGGTGCCGTTTTCTCGGAGGCGCACAGGTGGATACCTCCAGCTCTTTCCCAGTAGTCTCTGCTCATTCTCTGCTCATTTCGTGCTCCGGACGCGATCATGACCGCCAAACGCGCTAGGGTTGCCGAGGTATGACGTGCATATTCAATCGCGATACGTCATGGGGGGAACTTCCTCAGCGATCACGACAAACTTTTGGAGGGGTTGAGGGCGGCGGACTGAGAGCCCGATCGAAATCACGATCAGGTACATCGTAGATAAATCTAAAGTGATGACGATGAGTCGAAACATATAGTCGTGTGTAGATCCTGTTCGGAGGGTTGTAAATTTTCCGACTGCATATACCCAACACACAAACCTTTCCCATACAGTCAAACCGATCAAAATGGCTGAAGTTCAAGCATCCTCCGCCAACGTCTCCGACAAACCCATTATCCTCGTCCTCGATAAGTTCGACGACAAGGCCCTCTCGACCTTGCGTGAAGAATCTCGAAATTTAGGTCTCTTCCAGCCCAAGGAAGATGACGTCCGTAAAGAAGCCCCCGGCAACTTCGACATCGTCTTCGCTGATGACCCAAAACGGGACTCATACCTCCAAAAGGCCACCCTCCTCCTCGTCCAAAGCACCTCCAACCTCGACGCCAGCGCTATTGAGAAACTCGGCTCCAGCGTGAAATACATCGTCAAGCAAGGCCTCGACGTTGACAACATCGACCTCGCTGCCGCCTCCAGGAGAAACATCCAAGTCTATAACGCGCCCGGCACAAACAGCGCCTCCGTTGCCGAACTCACCATCGGTCTCGCCCTCGACGTCGCCCGACGCATCACCGAAATCGACCGCCACACACGCAAAGGAGGCGAGAAAGCCGCCGCCACAAACTTCGTCGGGAAGAGCCTACACCAAAAGACCATCGGCATTATCGGCATGGGCGCCGTCGGCATCGAAGTCGCGCGGAAATGGGTCGGTTTCACCTCCGGATACGTCATCGGCTTCGACACCGAAGCCGTACCGGAAGCCTGGACGAAGGAAATTCAAGAGGCACAATTCACCCGCAGCAACGACATCGACCAATTATTGAAAGATGCCGATTTCATCTCCATCCATGTCCCTCTGACGGACGCTACGCGGAATCTACTCGATGAGCGAAGACTGGGATTGATCAAGGATGGAGCGATTATTTTGAATACGGCCCAGGCAGGCATCATCGATGAGGCTGCGTTGCAAAAGGCATTGGACTCCGGACGCGTGTTTGGAGCGGGTCTCGACGCGAATTACAGTGAAAAGCTCCTCTCGCACCCCAGAGTTGTCATCACGCCGCATGTCGGCACTGCTACTGAGGAAAACCAGGCGAAGAATGATGTTGTGGCAGTGGATATTGCGGTGTCGTTGATTGAGGGGAGGAGAGAGCAGGTTCCGGCTGCGCTTAATGCTAGAGTTTAGGGAGATGTTGATGTCTATTCGGTTGGTTTCTGAATCTTTGGGAGAATATGCATGGGAAAATGTTGATCCGATGACGATCACATTGAAAGTCGATATTACATTACAAGTGAACTGATTCTATTCAATGACTCGCCTTGTAGTGAACTGCAGCCGGAAGTGTGTGAGGTATGCTGAATCCAAATATCCCGAGCTGTAGTGTCTCTCGGCCTCAACCCAGACGAGATCTTCCGCACTGCACAATTCATACTAAACAAACACTCGCCATGTTTTGCACATCACTCAGACGCCGTCCTTCGTTCGCTTCTGTCATCTCAGCACTCATAGCCTCGCCGGCATTGGCACTGCAAGGTCTGATTCCGTGACCATGAACGGATATAAGCTGTGGTACCTTTGCCTGGTTACTGACAAGCATCAGAATCCGACTGCGAAACTCATGACATTGCACTGCCACTCTCCACATCGTCCTCTTCGAACGTCTCCTCGAGGCGTCTTTTACAACTTCATGTTCTGCTCCTATCGCCATCATGCGTCGCGGAGAAAACATCCCATTCAACCATCGAACGTGTCCGTCGCCTGAGTCTCCTCACCGGCGGCCAGAACATCGCCATCGTCTTCCTCTTGCATCCACCTTCCAACGCACGCTTCACTTCCGCTCGTCTCGAGCATTCACGCAACGTGATCGGCGAGACAAATTCAGAGGCCGGCATACTGGCATACACCAAATTGCAGACAATGCTGTTCGAAGTGCACGATATTCCATATATTCCCGTCCATCCGGTGGAAAAGTTGGATGACTTGCCTACACTACTTGCAAGCCTGCGTAAACCACCCAGGAAGAACCAAACTCCTCATCGATCCGAGTCGAGATCAACGAGCATGACAGCCTTCGAACTATTGAAGTCATGCACCGCGAATCCACCAATGCCGCTACAGACGACTTATTACCTTTCAGATTTATTCATCGATTTCTCAGATCTCGCAAAGGCATGCACAAGTGATGCAGCTTTGATTGTGACGAGTATGAGCGTTGATGATGAAGGATCAACCGAGAACATCGATGATGAAACGCGACGGGCTGATGAGAGGATGACGCGATTGAGAGATCTGGTAGGGCCTGAGGAGTATCGTGATTTGATCGATTTCTGGACGGAGGAGTGGATTGCTGAGTGAAGACGGATACCTTTCGCAAGATATCATGCATTGCTCTGATATGGCTAGACTTCCAAAAGTAGGGTCATAGTTCACAAACTTCTGTAAGAATAGGAGTCACTATTGATGCTGCTTCACGACACAGAAGACGTCCTGGATCAAATAGGCAATCCCACCAGCGATGACGATCCGGCAGCTTTCAGTTGCTTTTCCCCGAGAAAAAAGCGCGCCCCGCCGCGTCTGTTAACAGTCAGACCCTGCAGCAGCGGACACGCGTTTGGGCGCATTCCCTTAATTGACGTGCCTGCGCCCGCCCGCCCGCATTGATCACATATATTTCCTGCCTGCTCCAACTGATATGCGAGCGTGAACAATGGCCGCCGAAGCAACGCCTACGCCTCAACTCGAACACGAGCCACCGAGCCTGCCCAACTCGCCCTTACCCAAGCGAACAAAAGTGCTCCCACAAAATCTCGCCTGTATGATGATTCTGATGATACCCATGGCCACAAGCACCCACCACGAAATCGCAGTAGACTGACAAGCAGCATTGACGCGAAGCCATCCTCAACGAACACGAAGCAACCCCAACACCAGAGACCATCAACCTCCCACCAATGTCGAACGCACAAGACTCCACCGAGGCTCCCTCCCTCCCCTCAATGTCCACCATGTCCTTCGAACCAGCCCCGCCAGCTCTCCAAGTCAAACTCCTCTCCTCCAGCGCAAAGACACCAACCCGCGGCTCCCCTCACGCCGCCGGCTACGACCTCTACGCCGCGAAAGAAGCTACCGTACCGCGCCGAGGCAAGGTCTTGGTGGATTTGGATATCAGCATTGCGGTTCCCGCAGGCACGTATGGGCGCATCGCACCCAGGAGTGGGTTGGCGAGTAAGCATAGCATTGATACTGGCGCGGGAGTCATTGATGCGGATTACCGGGGCCCGGTGAAGGTGTTGCTGTTCAATTTCAGCGATGAGGATTTCGTAGTTGCGGTGGGGGAACGAGTTGCGCAGTTGATTGTGGAGAGGGTGAGTTCTTCATGATTTTGAAGAATTGAACGTGGGAACGCTGCGATTTCTGATATTTCACTTCTTAGATCTACACCCCGGAAATCGTCGTCGTCGAACAACTCGACGAGACGGTCCGCGGCGCTGGCGGATTCGGTTCAACTGGAGGGTTTGGCGGCACTCTGCCCAGCTTGTCCAGTCTTCCTCCTACCATCTAGACGCTACACTGCGGAGCTCTGGACTAGAATGGCCTTAGATGAGGTCTATGCGGAAAAGCATGACGAATTGGGATATGATGGCAAGCCCGTGACGATCGATGGATGGAAGACGGTTATGGTGGAGTTTCGTCTTTGCTCAACATCATGGGCTCCAAGGAAAGATCAGTGTGTGATATGCATGGTCAATGCGCGTTAGGATGTTTCGACCATCATTTCTGGGTAAAAATAGAGCAGTGTTGAAATACCCTTTCATCATTAACACTGAGAACCTCACACGTTACACCCAACCCTATTCACACCTGCATCGCGCCAATATTTAGCCATATACCGTCGACGTCGCGAAACCTGATCCAAAGCTCACAGTGTCAACAATGATCATGTTCTCGCCCGAACAGAGAATTCGGCTGCAGTGGAGATATTCGGTATTTGCATTTCATATAAGCATTATGAGCAGGACATGCATCATGTTTTAACCCAAAGGAGTGATATTCCGCGTCACTGTCGAGCCCTGAAGCCCTGAAACCCATGACCAGTCAAATGTACGGAGGCGCAGTACCACAGCCCATGATCATGAGTCACTCAAATACGAAGGCTGACAGTGTTCAAACCACCGCTCTGAGTCAAATGGCAGCAGACACGCATTGGCTGGTTGTAGCGAAGTATGTCATGATGGAGATATAAATATAGGAACAGATAAGGGGCGCTCCACCGAGATTGAAGAAAATAATCAAGACAAAGACACGGCTTCTCTCCGTAGCAGCGGGAACTTCTCATCAGGATGGAGCGCCTCAAGAAATTAGATCGATCAAAGCAACACCGGCAGCGCCTCGAACACGCCGCCTCAACCCGCGACCTCCAAGCAAAGCCTGCCCCTCCGCCGCCTCCACCTCTCCCAATTCCGTGTGAGCCTCCAGAGCCGATCTCTCCACCGTACGAATACCGTTGTTGGTGGCCCGAGCCCGAGCGGCACGAGTCCGAGCTTGCCCAGCAAGCCTGGAGGTCCGTACGAATAGGCAGCGTATGGAGCGAGACGGTCTGGGCTGCGCGGGCGCGCGCACATGTCCGTCGACGACTGAGGATTTTGACTGCCTGGGGTTGTAACAGTGATCATCCTCGCAAGGGTCGCCGCGCGTCGGTTGGTACTGAGGGGACTAGTCTGAGGCATGAGGTCGCCGTGGAGATCAGCGGCCTGACGGGCAAGGAATTATGCAGGTACGGGAACGCGTGGCGGGGACTGGAGTATGTGGATGAGTGTTGTGCTGAGGGAATGATGGCGATGACGCTCCTGGATTACACGAATACCGCGGGAAAGGTCTTTTCGATTTCGATGGAACCCGCTCAGAACGACCATGACAATGTCGGAGAATCAGCCGAGCAGCCACGGTTCGGCCAGCAGGCTTTCTCCCGCGCCGCACTCCAGCGGAAAATCGAAACTCTCCGTCTTGATCGTCCGTTCGTCAATCAAATCCAGTTTGCCCGTCAAAGCTGGCGCGTTGAATGGCTTTCGGAACATAGCCCATTTGACTGGTTAGAAACCTTCCCTCCACCACGACCAGAAGAGGACTTCGGTGGATCAAGCAAAGAGGAATTGGAAGCCAACGCGCGAAGCGCACAATTACAAAGGACTCGCTGCGTCATGTTGACCCACGCCCTGGATGAAATCGGCGGCGAAGCCGGATTACAGAAACTCTTGAAAATCATGCGGAAACGAATACGTCGGTCGGATGGCTTGGGTGTCAAACTCATGGTCGCCCAGCGCTATGCGAGTGCGGAGGATTTCACGGGGATATCGATGTCGCCGGAGCAGATTACGCGTTTTGTGGTGAATCGGGGTTGGCGCAAGGAGAGGGAGGAATGGGTTCATGCGAAGGTGGGTTCGGGGACGTTTCATGCTGTTGCGTTGAATGAGTGGGGGGAGCAGGTGATTTCTGAGAGGTTGAAGGAAGAGGAGGCCGAGGTTGACGGGGAGCATGTATGGACGGCGGTCTTTGTGTTGGATATTGGTGGTGATTGACATCCCTGTAATCACCTCGGCTGCCTCGAAATTTCATAATTTAGATATCAATGTCACAATGACGGACTTCTTCCTCTGTGAAGACGAGTGGTCAAAAATTGCGTATCAAGCAGCCCCTTGGGCTGACAGGGACTATGACCACGTCGAGATCGCAAATAAAAGGGAGGCCAAAGGCACACCAACACCACTCTGATGGTTCGTAAGACACACGCGGAGCCTTTCTCGCGTTGCCTCATATATCATCTGTTTGCAGACTCGAGCGTTGTTGGCAGCCTGGCAGACTTCAGTGCCTCTCGCACAAGATTGATGAGCATCACGTCACTTCCTAATATGATTTATCAGCAATAGTTCAGGGTTATCAGAGCTGAGGTGCATACCTATAGCCCCCACGATGCTACAGGCTGCAGTGACCTGGCGATCTCCGCGTGAAAGCTCGTTTTGCGATTGGACTTGCAATGTTCGTCAACCAATGGCATATGTATGTCACAATATAGGATTTTGACTCACATGGAACGAACAGCTGAGGCATCTGCAAGATTCGCGCGAAGTTCTTGGTTCCCATGATTCCGGAGCTGGTTACAAGTCAGTCTTTACTTGTCAAGCAAGCGAGCTAGATATCATACTTAGTGAAAATGGTGTCAGGTATCGTTGACAATGGGGCATAGGGCATGACGATGATTGCGTTGGATAAGGGGTCGCTGCCCATGGTCACGATGTGTTTGTCGAACCATTTGATGAGCACGTCGATCAGAGCCAGGGCCTCATCCTGCTCGTTCGCCGATATGATTTGTGCATCTTCGCTGAGATTTGTCAGTACACTTCACAGGGATTAGCTTGAGTTTGACTCACTAGTATCCCCTTCGGAATTGCTCTTGATATAAGGTCCGTTGTTCGTGATCTGGGTGTTTGTCGTGGGCATGGTAATGACTATAGCGCAAAGACGATGTCGTACTCTGACCTTCGTCAGTAAACGACCCAGATATGAAAGTTGATCCGCAAAGACCTACATCCTCCGCATATTCTCTCAGAGATTTGCCATGCGCTTCTTTTGGCCGGGTCTCATCCCATTCCGCGGCGAAGCTAATAGCAGTCCTCTCAACGCCAAGGAACTTTTCAAGAATTGTCACGAAATTTTCTGTTGCCTTTTGGGTAGCCGGATCATGTTTCGGGAAGAAATCGGTAGGAAACAGGATTTTTCTCGGAAACCGTGAGCTGTCTTCGAATTGCAAGACCGTTTTCGATATGTACTGCAATTTCGACAGATCACTGCTGGCTATATTAATGGTATCAAAAGCGCTATGTTCCGTCGTTAGTGAGAGGTGAGGCTGAGAACACTTCTACTAACTTACAAGGCGAGAGGGAAGATACCCGTCATTGATGTTGCAGCCCATGATGATTGGAGGGCAAAAGCATCATGAGACCATCCCATGGAGTTGGGGTCGCCGGTAGCTTGAAGATAGATTATGATTAGCCAAATCGATACAGAATTTTCAATTAAAGTTATGAACTCACTATCAACATCAAAGGCAACATCTAGCCAGGGGTAGCTTGCGATAGATTTGGCTACGCCAGCGCCATCCACGGGTGAGAACACATCAGAAAGTTGGAACCTGTCTCCTGTGAACGATTGCTCTTCATTTTCGAATGCTTTGCGGTGATCCATCGAAACAATCGAAGCGGTTATGCCAACGATTATTGCACCGTGAGCGACCAGCTTTTTGACAAAGTCGGAGTGCGTCCTTGGAGTCAGGGATATATGATTCTCATCGCTGGCTTTGAAGTCCATCTTGATGCCTGCGACGGCAAATTTCTGGTCCAGTACTACGCGTACGCCAGCGAGAGGTTTGGATACTGTCTTTCTATGATAGAGACGACTAGGGACCGCAATTTGTCTCGATTCGTTGCCTTTATTGGTGAAGTCTAGGCTCCAACATCTGCAACCAAATGTGAGTTTGTCGTAGACAGAATATTTTGATACGGATTCACTCACGTGAATGTTCCATCTACTTCATCCCGCTGGAATATTACAGCAGAGGCATTATTGTCAGCAGGGTATAAACGCCAGGCTTGATAAATGTGACTTCCGATCAGAAAGTACGGGCCCGGTGGCAATGCTGCGTTTGTAGGGACATAGCTGACAGAGAGCATGTCTTGCAAAACCTCGAGAGTAAGGACGTCATTGCTGCCACAACTGGTATTGTTCTCTGAAGCCGATGTAACCTGCAAGATCAGCTGGTCGCCAAATGCATCCTGATAGACATCGTCATTGAGCCGGAACTGTTCGAGCAGCTCGCGAACTGCTTGCTGCGAAGTTGCCGCCTCGGCTGGAATGATCGCAGCTGGTGTGATGCATGATTCTTGTAACCGGCTGCGTGGAACTGCATTTGTTGCTAATTGTCCCTTTGGATGTGTTAGCAGCTGGCTTGCGTCGAACACAAAGAGCACTGACAACGATTCGCGGATGCACGAAATATCTGACCCCATTTACAATCGTGGTGAGCGGCTGGTCTTTCGACATCATGACGGCGAAGGTTTTGAAGGAATCTTCGAGCATGGCTTCAAAGCATGCCGGATCGGCTCTGAATATGATATGTACCGCTGCGAGGAATGTGGCGGTGCATTTTGGACCATTGTTTACATGGGCGTCTCGGTTGGAGAAATTGTGTTGGCCTCTTGCGAACCATGCTGCCTTTTCTGAAACTTGCTGTCATATCCGATCACAAGGCGCTTGCCCGGTGAGAGAGCAAAATTCATCATTGCAGGATCGCAAGATCATGGACCATGGACGGGCGGTAAGCCCGTAGACGACTCTGAACAATTTACACCGCCACGGAACATTTCTTATTACTACTGCAGGTATTGATTGCCGCTCATTTATTGCAATATCGGATATACGTGCAGTTCCACCTTGTAAACCTTGTAAGCTAGAGTGGTGAACGTTCCTGGTGGCGCGTAAAGTTGTGATGTCTGATTGTGGGCCACACTTCAAGCCACCCGCGGTTCTCAGGCTTTCGAGAGGAGGAAGCTACATGTACATCTCATTGATTTTGACATTCGATAATATCACATGGCGATACATAATTGGTCTGTCCCTACGAAAATCTTTCGTCGTACTCTAGGCGGAATTTCGTCATCCGGTTAAGTGCCATACGTGATCAACCGGCGTGCGCGTCTAGCGGGTGTCCACGAAACCATCAAGGTCAAGGACAAACTACTTGGAAAAGCGGTTCTCCAATTCAGATGGCGTTCGAACATCACTCCTGACAACAACTCCGTCAATTCACCATCTGCATGACTTTCATATATGACAAGATTCCTGGTATTTCCTGCTGTAGCGGAAGACTCTCATCACGCTCCATTCTTCTGATCGGCGCCCTGGAACTCACCACACCAGCTGGGTCGGTTTCTGGTAAAGATTTCCTGCACCGGCTTGCCATTCTTCTCCCAGTAACCGCGATCATCGAGGGTTCCGGCCTTGACGTTGTACACACCTGGCATGGCGTCGATGGAGCACCCCATAATGGTGCCGCAGTTGTCACACAGGTCATAAGAGATGTTCTTGCCCGACTCGCCTTTGCGCACGAATGGCTTTGAGATACCGCTGAGCTGCTTGAACTGCGCAGGATCATTCACGGTCAGCATGCGACGGTCTTGCTACATGTTCCTCGCCGCTGATCTGAGCTTCGCTCCCATGAGAAGTCGACGTACCTCGTCTTCCTTCACGATGACATTGTAGCTGCCATTTGGACCTGCAGTCTTCTGGCACGGAATGCAATGGCAGATGAGCTACTCCATGACATGATTAGGAATGTCTTGGTGTCATCGTCAAAAATTTGTCCCTCATACCACGGCTTCGGGCGCGCCCTCTGACAATTCGTAGGTGAAGTCACCGCATACGCAACTTCCTTTCAACATGATGATGGGCTTCTCGTCGGACTTAACTTTGTTTAACTTTCGTGACTTGACAATATTGATCTATGTTTCCACTGAGTCCTTCGATGTGCAAGCGAAACATGCACCCCGCTATGGTCGCTCCCGTCCATTTTCTACACGCATTTATCCGCCACCAATCGACTGGGCATGACGTAAAGAATGTGTTGCCAGATGAGATCTAATTAACCATTGCGCCCGCAGCGTCCAAGTAAATGGCAGCCTGACTATTCAGTCAGACCGTACCGGTGTCAACGATGAAATCAATAAAATCTCCGTATTCCTTGAGTTCCAATAGAACTCAGACTCGGTGATCTGAACACAAAACTGCCAGTCTATCTTGGAGGCCACGGGTAAGTTCGTCGAGCGTGACCAGTCCGGCACGACTTCGGCAGGGCCCATTAGGCGACTCAGCGGCCTTCGCCGCGCCCTGCCCTCAACATCTGGGCACACCTGGGCAGTGCTGTACTTCAGAATTAACTTCCAGCTCGAATAGTCCAGGTCGACAGATATTCTCATGTTGATGGTAACATGAACATCCCAGATCACATAACAGTTTCATTTCTCGAATCAGGCCTTACCCGTCGGAGCACGGCGATGTGCTGTTCTGACCGACGCTTGCGATCATTAATGCGTCAAAAGACATTCTTGGAAGGATTTTTGGGTGTCGGATCTAACAACCCTATTCCTGGCCAGACACAGGAATCCCGCTAAATCGGACGATGTCATTGCGGATAAAAAGAAAGCAGACGCTGGCGCCGTCAGGCACGAACGCTACTAGCTGGCGATCCGCGAGTTCGTGACGTTCGATCAACTCATGAACGTCTGCTTCGTACGCGATCAGCCCCGTCGCCTACTCTCCAATGACGTAGAGATTACAATCAAAACGTTCGCCCTTCGAGATAAATACTAAAAGTTTTAGTCTGTCACTACATTTTCATGTCTCGACTCTTCAAGCTGTGCATACTCCTCTTCCAGTATGGTTGAGATAATTTACGTCATTGGGTGGGGACCTGAGACGTTCACTCGTGAAACCATAGAGCACGAGCGAATATTACGGCCATCTCAAAATGAAACTTATCGCTCGCCGGTCGAGCCAGAAGACTGTGGATATGAAGTCAATTGAACTCTCGACCCTCCGTGAACAGAATGTCGCCCGCCGCAGAAGACCACGGTGAATCTATCAACTTGCCTGAGGCCACTCTACAACAGCTAATACAAGATGCTTCGGCACAACACGCCGACAAAATTGCGCTCATCTGCAAGCATCAGCCTGCAGGCCTATTCAACTTGCCATCACAAGGATCCGATTGCCTACGATGGACGCATCGACAATTGTTCCAAGCGGCGAAGTCTTTTGCTGCTGGTCTTTCCGCCGCTGGGTTGACCAAAGGCATGCGGATTGCAGCCTTCTTGCATAACGGAGCAGAATTTGCCGTGGTTCTGTACGCGGCTGCACTGATGGGATGTGTCTTCGTTCCCATTAATGCTGCATATGCCTCAAAGCCGGACGATGTCCAGTTCCTTCTAGGACTCGCTGAGCCGAACGCCGTCGTGGCCTGGAACCAGGACATGGCTGAAGCTCTTTCTCCCAACCTGCCGGCGAATGCATCTATCAAGATTCTATGCAGCGGCCATGCCGAGGATTGGCAGCCCATAAAAGAAGTATTTCGGGATGCTTCTGATTTCGATCTTCCTTCCAGCATGAGCTTGGACGACTTGGCTATCGTCATCTTTACCAGTGGCACGACGTCTCGGCCCAAGGGAGTGAAGCATCTCCAACGAACCATTGGAGCCGGAATCCGAGCAGCAATACAAATACTCGCATTGGACTCTTCGCGAAGCTTTTGCAATAATCTCCCTCCATTTCACATCTTCAGCGTTGAGTACTCGCTGAACTTTTGGTGCTGCGGCGGCACCGTCTGCTTTCCTGCGCCGACCTTCGAGCCCGGACTAGCCCTGCATGCTATCCACGAAGAGAAATTGACCAATCTTGCGGGCGTCCCCACGAGTATGGCCGCGTTATGTGCTCATCCTTCGCTCGCTGAAAAGGATTGCTCAAGCCTAATGCACGTTTTGGTGAGCTCCACCATGATCCTCCCAGGAATTATTAAATCAATCAGCGAAAGCCTGAAGGTCCAAAATATATCGGTTTCCTTCGGAATGAGCGAATCGGTGCCAATTACAGGCACACCATATCGGGACCTTCCCATAAAACTGGAGGGCGACATGGTGACCACTGGAAAGGCAGCGCCGGGTGTTCGAGTCCGCATCTGCGACCCTGAACACAAAGATAGAGTCCTATCACGAGGTATTGCTGGTGAGCTTTGTATGAGCGGGCCCATGCTTTGCGCAGGTTACCTCGGCGATGTAAAGGGCGACTTTTTCGAAGCCGACGGCCAGAGATGGCTAGCCACAGGCGATCAAGCGAAGATGGGCGGTGATGGTTGGATATTCGTGCTCGGGAGATACAAGGACATAATCATTCGTGGTGGAGAAAATATTGCGCCAGCGACTATTGAGACAGTTCTGGAAACCATCCCCGGAGTACAGACGGCGCAAGTCGTCGGAGTTCCGGATCCGATTGCTACAGAAGTGCCGTTTGCGATCATCAAACCCGCCGGCGATGCATCGCTGGATACGAGTGCGGCTCATCACATCATCAAAGAGAAACTTGGCGTTCAGTATCTTCCGGCAACGACCGTGAATATCTCGGATTTGGAGATTGATGACTTCCCGCGGACAGCTTCCGGGAAAGTGCAGAAGGAAAAACTTCGAGAGTTGGCAAAGGCGTACACCGAGGCACGGGATGAGAATGAGCAGTGCTCAGGAGAAGAAGCAAGGTCCGCCACTGTAAAGCAAATCTGGTCCGATTTGTTGGGCGTGTCAAAGAACAAGCTGCCCACGACGACTCCAATGGATCAAGTTGCGGACAGCATCACGATCATGCGCTTTGCCAGTAAGGTACGACAGATGCTAGGCCGAGACGTTACCATGAAAGAGCTAGCCGAAAATAATACGATCGACGCTCAAGTGGAATTATTGAAGCCCCAGGTTCAAATCGCCGCTCGCAGTGAGATAACAACACCACGACATGGTCCGCCACAGACCTCAGACATGACTCATACCCTCGGTAATGATGAGAGAGCACACCAGACCCGAGTTGCATTCGAACATGACACAGCCGGCATGGGCTTGTCGTGGGACGAAGACGTTGAGGATATCATCCCGATCTGGGACTTTGGCCAGGTTCTCGCCCGCCGAATCCGAAATCAGTCATGGAATCATCGTCACGTATTTGTGACGACCGACGCCGATATCCACAGCCTCCGAGCAGCTTTAGAGGAAGTCTTGCCACGGCATCCTATGTTAAGATCTGTGTCACTAGAAGAGCCCTCCGTCTTTGCCATCATTCGTCCTTCTGCTAAATGGTTCGCAAAAGCTATTACTGAAGTGAATCCCGTGGAAACGGTCGACGATCTCAAGAGATTGTACCTCAACGATCCTATGCTTGACTTCGCCGCGCGTCCTGGTCCGTTATTTCGAGCTTTATTGGCTCCGATAGAAGGCACCAATCGATGTGGTCTCGTGTACCAACTCCAGCATTCATGCTTCGACGGTCTCTCGATTCCAAATATGATTGAAGACCTTCGAACTGCATTGAAGCAAGATGCCAAAAAGGAGTATCCTTTGCGCACACCCTACAAGCCGTTCGCTGATGCGCTCTTCTTGCAACGGGGTTCTGCATCGGCTTCTGCTGATTGTGATTACCATGTTCGGCGCTTGAAAGGACTCTCGAAGCTGGAGTCATCTTTCTGGCCGCGTCAGCGCGCTCCAGAGTGGTTCAAAGGCTGTTCCGCGGACACTGACATCAAACGCGCGCCCATTGATGGTGAGAAGGCCATCGGGGTCGACGGGATCACGAAGCGCGTCGATTTGCCCGGATTGCCTGCACTACGTCAAAGCCACGGTGCCACAGCCCCTGTCGTGCTCAAGACCGCATTAGCTCTGCTGAACGTCACATACACCGGCCAATCTCAGGCGATCTTCACTAACTACCAGGCTGCACGAGACTGGCCTTTCCTCAGTCCGTGGATTGCCGAGCATCTCCCAAACGCAATGGACGTAAACGGACCCACGCTGGAAGCCGTACTGAACAAAATTCCCTTGAGGAGAGATGAGACGATACTGGAAACGATACATCGCATCAACGACGAACAGCAACTTCTCACCCGCCACGCTCATGCCCCTCTCTTCGAGATCCAGAAACGTTTGCGGGAAGACGGGAAGGATCTCATTGACATTATACGTCGCCAGATTTACAACTGGTTGCCAAGAATGCAAGGCGGCAGTGCGAGCGAGACAGCGGACTCCTCGCTGCAACGTATCCATATCCAATCGCGGAGTGATGTGGGATTACTTTGGAACTGTGGCTTAGTCGACGAACATACCATTCAGGTCAATGCGAGCTATGATGATGCCCAATTGAGCGTTTCAGAAGTCGAGGAGGCGCTGGATCTGCTGTTTATCATCTTGAGGAAGATTACGGATCCGGAGCATCTTGATGATAGTATTGGAAGCGTTCTTACAGATGTGCCGACTCCCAAGACTTCTTGGTGAGGGGTCATCTTACATAGTGCTGTGGATTGGTTGACGAGGCTAGAATCATGTCGCTTCTACCTGCGTAGCCCTACATGGTCGAAACGTGAAATGGGCTAGACAATCCTTGAAGCGTATGATCCCAAGGGGTGCGGACGTGTTCACAGCTTGACGAAATTTGCCGCCCGTTGCAAGATCATATCCTTTCTATCAAACAGAAGACCTACAACAAAATGCCGCCTTGGATAATTTTATTGACTTGGGCAAGTGCGTGAAAAGTACTCTACACAACGATGACACGATGATGACACGATGATGATATAATGGACCATTGACGCGCGAGGAAGTTCCGGAGACGCGCTGGTCCTGAGGTGGCCCGCGCAGACGCCACGGGCCTTTCCGCGACTTGTGACATCACCGGAGACAAGTTCACGTCGCAAATGAAAGGAATCGCGATTGATCTACCTAGGCAGCCATTGAAGGCTAAGCTGCAGTGGAGATCATCGGACAATCCAATGATGATACAACTATAAAGGAGACATAAGCGCTAGAACGGAACTAAGTCACCCGAAAGCAATCGCGGTTCGGGCTACCATAGATTGTCCTTCGCACGGTCGATTGTCTAACCAGCGATGCAGAGACAGTACGTCATTTCACTCAGCAGATATGTTCCATTGGGCACAAACGGCGCACGTTGCGTTACCATGTCCATGCAGAAGCACGCGTGGAGCACACTCGAGACGTCAGGGAAATAGCATCACAGTCAAAAGAAGCTCGATGAACTTCTGAATAAACTTTGAAAACACGATGTCTGTCGCCGACGACAAGGCGAAGACTCCGGCACAGCCTTTCACGGAATGGAGCGGCCCTCGAGACCCGGCCAACCCGTTGAACTGGTCCAGCAGAAGGAAGATATTCCAGACGCTTATGGTTTCTTTGATCGCCTTGGTATCTACATTGGCTTCATCTATCATCACACCAGGCTTTGGTGATATCCAAAATGACTTCAATGTCTCTACCGAAGTCGCTTTGCTTCCATTCGTCTTCTACACATTGGGCCTCTCTATAGGTCCGCTGCTGTCGGGTCCGTTGAGTGAGAGTTATGGAAGACGGAATGTTTATGCCTCTGCTACGCCTATACTTGCTGCGTTCCTGCTCGGAGCTGGGTTCTCACAAAGCATCGCCGCTTTAATCGTCTGTCGATTCCTTGCTGGCGTTGCAGGTGCTCCCGGGCTGACCATTGGCGGAGCGACGCTGAGCGACGTCTGGCGGAAGGAGGAAAGGGCATTGCCATGGACGGTGTATGTGACGACTCCATTTCTTGGACCGGCCTTAGGGTATGTTTTCATCACTCTACATTCCTCGCTCGTGCTCAGGCCATGGCGAGAGGTACTAAGTGAAGTACTCCTCAACTAATTTTGACCTTCATGACGTAGACCGTTGATAGGTGGATATGTCGCGACTACCATCGGATGGCGCTGGACGCAATGGATTGTGGTCATCGTTGCAGCAGTGATCTCGATCGCTATTTTCTTCATGCGGGAAACTCATAAGCCCACGATCCTGAGAAGACAAATGAAGCAATCGAGGCGCCACGAGTCCTCTCCAGATCAATGCGCATCATCACCATCATCACAGCGGCAGGAGCGCTCTGTCATGTTCCGAGAATTCATCACCAGGATCCTGCTCCGGCCCATCCACATGGCATGCGTGGAGCCTGTCGTCGGCTTCTTCACTTTATACATTGCGATCAATTTCGGCATGGTCTATGGTAAGTTACGATCATCTTCGCAGATAGGCAACGGGTAGTCCGGATTGTTCGTTCAGACCAAGCTGACCAAAGCCTCTAGCCTTTTTCGCTGCATTCCCCTTCGTATTCGCCAACGCATATGACTTCGGCCCGCGAGCCACCGGCTTGATGTTCCTCGGTCTCGTTGGCGGCTGCCTAGTCGGAGGCCTTATCATGGCCATTTACAGCCGCATCCTCCTACCCCGGGAGATCGCACGGTCCCGCAAATCCTCTATCAACACCGACGGCGATGCCCACTCCGACACCAACAGCTACCATGCTAAGCTGACCGCACCCGAAGCCCGTCTCTACCTCGCCATGTTAGGCGCACCACTCCTACCAATCGCGCTGTTCTGGTTCGGCTGGACGGTAGAATACCGCGTCCACTGGATCAGCGCGGTATTAGCCGAGGCGATTTTCGCCTGTGGCAATCTCCTGATTTTCATGTCCGCGACGTTATACATCATAGATTTCTATGGGCCAAAGTACGGGGCCAGCGCGAATGCTGTGAATGGTTTCGTGCGATATTTGCTGGCGAGTGCGTTTCCGCTTTTTATCGTGCAGATGTATGGGGGCCTGGGAGTGTGTTGGGCGTCGAGTTTGCTGGGTTTCGTGAGTGTTGTTACGATGTTCATTCCCTGGGTCTTGTATTATTTGGGACCAAGATTGAGGGAGAGGAGTGTTTATATGTAGAGGTTCGAAGCTAGATGCGGACGATGGGAGACGCAGAAATTTGAAGTATAGATCCTTATGAATTGCATTCAGCTGTATTGACTTCTGTAAGCTTTTTGTACATGGTGACTCCGGCGAAATGAGCATGCTCCAATTCGTTTTCATCTTGACTTGGTTGCGAGTGTCAGTATGCTAGATCGCTCAAGACACAAACGGAAGCGTGACGATACGAAACATGATACCGAAAAGATGAAGCGGAGTGGAGTCAACAAGTGCCCAGGTGATGAACGAACGATGCTTGGCCGAAAAAGTGCAAGTAATCTCTGCAATCTTATACCGTCGACGACAACTAAGGCATATACACCTCGAATTTCTGAAGCTACAATCGTCGCGAAAGATGATATGCATTCTTCCCGTATATTTTTCGTGATTCGTCGTACGTTGTCCTCAAAGCATTATCACACCAATGATCTCGATGCTCCGATGGCTATCCGGTCCTCATCTGAGCCCTTTTCTTCCAATGAGATGAAGGCTTGCCCGACGTGTCGCGGTTCTCTGCGTAACATCGCTCGATATGGTCGGGTTGTGCGCCGGGCGATGCTCGATGCAAGCGTGAAGAAGCTTACAGCATGGGCTCGACAGACGCATCAAGACCTAGCCAATAAACTATTGGTTCAACAAGACTCGCTTATGCGCAGTCGTGACGAAGAAAAGATCTTCTCCCAAGACATCGACTTGAGAGGCTCTCCTGAGAAGCAGATACGTTACATCCGATCATTGAAGCCATTGTCACGATATCGCCAGATCTTGACATTGCGTCAAGAGATCTTCCGTTTCCTGGAAAAGGTCCACGAAGATGAAATGCCGTATCATCGAGTTCGTGACTTGGTTGAAACGTCTCGCCGAGCCAACATGGATCGCCAAGTATCGCCTTTCGTTGTCGACAATAATGTCTTCCAACTTGGCGCGAATCTACAAGCTTCTACCCTGTTCATTCGTTGTGACCTGATACTCTTCGCCGACGTGATCGCATTACATAACCATGCAAGCATTGCTGTTCAGCCATCAAACCTGGTCGTCGACTTCACGGATAATATGGCCTCATGCGAGGTCCTCATCGCCGCAGCTCTCAGGACTACTAACATCCGCCAGCAAGTCGAAGGACATATCTTCTGGGCCCACTTTGCTACTTTGACACGCGGTGCCTTCAACTACCTCACCGAGCAAAACTCACCGGAGCGGATTCAGCAGCATGAGCAAATTACTGCCTTAGCAATCCAACACCTACAGACGGCAGAGGAAATCAGCAAGAAGTTTCCCGGTCCGACTAATGGCCTCATCGAGGAAATCAATGACATCCGCCGCATGCTGGGCGAGGGAACATCAACGAGAGAGATGCGCATGATCGTCACCGCCATGGCGAAGGAGTTCAACGGCACGGGTCATTGGTACCGTTGTGAGAACGGCCATCCTTTTACCATCGGCGAGTGTGGTCTGCCAATGCAGCTGGCGAGGTGCCCGGCGTGCAATGCGGGCATCGGTGGTCGATCTCATCGCGCGGTCGATGGAGTGACTCATGCAGCAGATATTGAGCAACAGTTTGGAGACTTGCATTTGTGAAATTGAGAACGCGATTTCGCCATTGTGGCGTGCTTGATAATCGTCTTTTGTCGAGATGATGTTTACTCTCCGCCTGGAAAGAGCAACGATGCACCAATGTAATGATTGATATTTCGCGGATGCTTGAACACTGATCTTCATAGTCTCAGCTTCCATTTCCCATACATGATACTTCTTCCAGTAGTAAATCCCATTTGGCCCGCAATAACGTTGTCGTCGCATCTGTCAGAGCGCGTCATAGCAATTTCGCCGAACGCTGCAACGCTGCGCGTCAATGAGCAAAGTCTTGTAGATCTCTTCTCTTCAGGTGTACGAAACACGGCGATATTCGGGAATATCTGCCAGATCCCACAATTTTACCGATAATGAAATTGCCTCATCCGGCCCGTCGTGGTCTTCGATTTTTCAAAGACGAATTTGCTCAGCCGGGCGACTTAATGGCTAATAAATTACACGTCCATCGTTCTGTGGGACTTTGGCTTCACCTTGAGTATCCATCACGGATGCATGCCCTCGCCTTTGAACTTATTCTGCCAGATGGGTTGATCTTGAAAGAATGAAGGCATGGAAAACGCAAGACAAGACCAGGAACACAGCAGCATAAGGAGGTTGCGAACATGGCATCCACAGGTTCCCCCGCAATTTCACCGTCAGCGCAACTCACACGGCTGATGAGCGGCACAGTGTCAGCTGCGACCAGAATTCACAACACGACATGTACAGGACCGATTTGATCATGTTCCATCTCCCGTAGCACGCTGCGAACTTGCGTACATGGAAAAGCCGGTGCGCAAACGGCGGCGACCGGCAGTAGCATGCATCGAATGTCGACGGCGCAAAATCAAGTGCGACCGTACGCTTCCTTGTAGATCGTGTGTGATCGGATCTTCACCGTGTGTCTACGATGGCTTCTCGACTATCGCAAACGCGTCTACTCCGCCAAGCTCTGGATGGGCCGATCCTGGTGTGCTGTATGATGGCGGCTCCGAGGTGCCCGAATATACTCAAATCCGCAGTGAATTCTTGACCTCTGGAGCTCGAGCTGATCACAACTCATCCGCTTCTGCCGACGGCTTCACTTCGAGCTTACCGCATGCTCCATATATCGCCACTCTGACCGGTCCTAGTCTCGGAGATGTTCAAACTTTGACAAAGTCTACTTTCGCTCGGACGAAACATATAACGCCGAATCATTGGAAGTATGCGATATTAAAGGTAGCGAGAGGACGAGCCAGGATCTTAAAGCGCTTTTCCTGCACGATACTAATGAGATGCAGACATCCTCTTTCACTGCGAGTTTAAGTGTGCTGGAGGGTGACCCTCAACTTTCTGAATTATTGAACAAATGCCGCGAGCTCTCTGGAAATATCAAATTGCGAAGGTCTGTGCAGAGAAGAAGCGGCGCTGGGATTCCTGCCAGAATCACATGCGATAGGCTGGTTAAACTATTCTTCGACACGTTCGGTTCAGTCTTCAGGGTTCTACATGAGCCTACCTTTCAAAGCGAGTATGAGTCGTACTGGAACGATTCTAATTTTAAGAAGAAAACATTCCATCAGAAGTTGCTACTGGTTCTGGCCATTGGGACTTGCTTCTATTATGATGACGAGAAGCAAGACTGCTCTCTACGCTCGCTCGCGTCTGCTTGGATCTTCCAGGCCCAGCAGTGGCTCGTGTCAGTCTTCGAAATGGGCGAACCAGACATGGACATGATCCAGATCTCGTGCCTTCTTTTGCTCGCTCGCCAAGTGGACAGGTCAGGAAGCGAGCTTGTCTGGATCTCTGCTGATTTGCCATTGAGGATTGCTATCAGTGAAGGGTATCATTTGGAGCCTAGCAAGCATTTTCCTGCGATAGCCCCATTTGAGGCAGAAATGCGACGAAGATTATGGGCCACAATCCTCGAGCTCTCTCTTCAATCTAGCCTTGACGCAGGCATGCTTCCGCCTGTCTCAAGTAATGCTTGGGACTGCCATGCACCATCCAATGTGGACGATTGTGACATGCGCGAAGTTATGGACGATTCCATTTCAGCTCAAGCATCTCAGCGATTCACGCAAAGCTCCACACAGATCATGCTTTTGGATACTTTGCGCGTGAGACTCAACATTCTTCACTCCCTCACGACTCCAGGCAAAATAATGGACCACCAAGAAGCGATAATGCTGGACTCCGAGCTTGAGGAGAAAGTTCTTTCGCACCTAGTACTGATAAGATCTGCTTTGAAAATTTCGTCTCCAGCTGACGCGAGTCGAATCGGATTCCAGTCACGACTAATAGACAGCCTCAATCGACGGTTTCTGCTTGCGCTGCATAGTCCGTTCTCTTCACTTTCCGGGACTGGTACAGTGTGGACTTTGTCGCGACACAAAGTGATCGAATCCTCTCTTCGGATACTCGCGTGTCCACATGCAACAAACAAATCTTCTCCTTTGCCGCCGGAATTCGATCATCTCGAGCGATTGCGGATTTTTGGAGGCGGTATGTTTAAGAACACTACAGTGCATGCGCTGGCTTTATTGTATTCTGAGCTCGAGGGAAGACATGACGAACAATTTACCCAAGGTTCGAACAGCCTGCCTCGCTCTCAAGCCCTCTTGATGATCCAGGCACATATGGAGATAATGCGTCGTCAGAAAGCCGCTGGAGACACAGATACCGAAACATACACGAGGTTCCTCTGTGGATTCGCACAGATCCGAGCGCTCGACTCTTCATCAGATCACTTGCGAGAGGTGACTCGACAGTGTCTAGAATTATGTCATACAGTTCTCGATACCGAGCTCAATGCGACAAGCGATGTCGATAATCTTCAAGGTTGATCTGCGTGCGGCGTGTGCATATTCGACTTCAAACTCCAGTCCCTAGATTCCACTAGCATCACCAAGAGTCATTCCAATACCGGTCAACAAGAGGCACGCTCCGCGCAAGCAAATTTCCATGAAGCATCCAATATCCTCCCGCAGAGTATTGTATCAAGACATGACAATTGTCATATAACCAACTACCATGGTCGTTGCACCGACTACCATCCACCCAGTTCTGTGAATGAACCTTCTGTTGAAACCTCTTGCCGTGTCCCAAGTCAAGTGGCGGACACCATTGATGCAGTGAAGCGCCAAAGGCCAAGCGACAACGAATTTGAGAGCAGCCTGTGCCACTACAGGCAAGGAAGCGATGGAAGCAGCAATTGCCGTCGACGAGAGATCCCAACCCACATATGGTGAAGCAAGATATGCGACGCTGAAGATATAAAATGATCCAGCATATGTGACTCCAGTGATGCGCATCAAGGATGACATAACAGAGCCTATCTGCCATTTGTAGATGGCTAGGTGGGGGGACACTGGACGTTGAGCACGACGAGCGGCCAGGCGGGCTTGAGACTGTTCGAAAGTGAGTACCTCAATGCTGGTATTGTCACTTCTCATCCTGTTGTGAGAACCATCAGCGTCAAGACGTCAAGTCGATAGTATGAACGATGCACACCTGAGCTGCGTTGCGCCATGCTCCACGATTCCGGATGGACAGACATGATGTCTCGATGCTGCTCCGGCGTACCGCAAACAGGCGAAACTCGCTTGAAGAAACTATCAGTATCATCTTGAGTGTACCACGCAGCGGTGTACATGCATTGCCAGCTTTCAACAGAAGTTCTGGGATGGTGACTTACTCGTTTTGTGTGGAACAGCCAACAACCTAAGATGAAACAACGGAAGCTTCATGGTCCATAAGATGTTTCAATCGATGATCTCACTGCTTGGTTGTCAAATGTGAAAAACGGACAAGGACAAAGCAACACATGAGCATCGAGGGCGAAGACATGTTCATGGACCTTCACTGTGAGCACGAATTTCCCGAGACTAACGTGGTTATCTCCGTACTAGCGCGAAGTTCATCCACACAACTTTCCTTGTGCACTAAGCGCATTGGGCCTGGAATTCGTCAAAGAACCTACCTCTTGCACAAGAATTGCACCCATAAAGCGATAGCGACTTGGCGTCTCGCTGTGAAGATACCTATCGATGACCGCAAATTTCATGGTAGCGAACATTCGTTTCGTTGGAATGGCCATCGTCGCTTGTTGGTAAATTGCGCATGGCGCCAACGCATTTCCTACTGCAAGTTCGCGACATACTGGAGATCGTGATCTGTTCACGGTTCGGTTGTGCATGCATTTCTGGCCTTTCAACGGATCTATGGGCATCACCGGACTGTTGCATTCGAATGATGAGCGAAACAAAACGAAACAAAACATACAGCACGAGGGATTCCCACGTGGTCACCCACCGTAGTACTAATCTCGCGGTCAGCCATTTAAATATGGGAGAGCGGACGGGATCCCTTGCTTTTAGCTGCCTATGACCGTATGTGGCAAACTTCAACACTTTACTGAATATATTCGTTTGTCTCAATTGTAGGCAAGATTGAATTTCTCCTTCCTAGACGTTGAAGCTCAATGATTTCTACTACTCGCGTTCCTTTCATTTTGGCATATGTTGCCCATCTTTTTACCATTCCTTTCTGCCATCAATCTCGCGACGTTGCCACCGCACCGATAGTTGCTGCTATGGCTTCTCAATGGATCCGAACAGCGCGTTTGTTCTATCGTGCCCGAAGCTGTCTTGCAGCTTCAAAACTGCCTGTTGGTAATCCGGTGCATCGCCAGGTTGATCGAATCTCCAAGTAGAGATAAGCCAAATGAGGTAATAAGCGAATTCCCAATTCTCAGGTTGAAAATATGCGTTCTTCACAACATAATCGCAATCCCACCAGAGCGCATCCGTTTCATCGTTGTTTATGTCGATAGCTCGCACTTCAATGCCAGGTAAATGCCTGCACAGGACTCTAGATGATATAAAGTCGATGTCGTCTAGAGATATGTCGTCGCTGGCATGTATGTCTGCGTAATCTATACCTAAGAGCTCAAAGTGATCATAGCCCAGAGCTAGTCGTCGAATTGCCAGGTATGACTTGCAGACGGATGTAGCATCCTCATCAGGACATTGGTGTGAGATACGTCGATTGTGGCTGATGTTACTCGCCTTGAAAGCGGCAAGCAACTTCGCATAGCGCGCACTAATTGCGTCACAATGTCTCGCTGTAGTTGTGATCGAAGTAAGCGATCTACGGACCTGGACGTTGAGCTCTTCGTATTCCGGAGCTTTTGTGGCGGGGTTTTGGTGCTGTACGTCATGCTCCTGTCTGGCGAAGACGACAGCATCTTTGAGTTCCGGAATCGTCAGACCGGTCAATCTGGAGACGATGTCTGTGGTATGTTGAAACCAAATATGCCGAATTCGCCTGCAAGTAGAGACGAGATTGCACAGTGATGAGGCGTCAATACAGTCATGCGCGATCTGCAGCAGAATCTCCGTAGGAAGAACCGCAAAGGCGGCTGACATCCAGAGGTGGCCACAAGCAAGTCCGGCTTGCTTGACTTGCTTGACTTGATCCAAATGCGGTTAGTCACCAAGTCAAGTCGGCCAGGTTTTTATGAGTAATCAAGTCAAGCCGTAGATTGAGACTTGCTTGACTTGCTTGACATAGGTCTTGGCATAGATCTAGATTGTACATGTCGCGTACACTATGGCGAGAGTCACTCATCCGTATAGATTAGGGTCTCAGCGTGACCCTCCAGCTGCAACCCAAACCCTTATTTTCCCCTGCGGATACTGCCGGCGTCCAGACAGCCAATCAAAAGCTAGTAACC